GGGGGGGTGGAAAAAGTGTCACATTATAATTATATTCGATTCAGTATATATATATATATATATATATATATATATTGATACAAAAATATGCTAAACTTTATATTTTCCAGTAACCGATTGAGCGTGGTGATGGATTGATTAAAATCAAAGTTTCTCTCATTTGTGTTACCCCATAAAAAAAATCTGTTTAAAAGGAAAGAGATACGGGAAAAAAAGAAGGTAAGAAGTCGAACGCCCATCACTACTTTTCTACGTAATTAAACACACCTTTTTTTTTTCTTTTTTTTTTTCCTTTTTGATATTGACAAAAGAGCTTAAGTAAAAAAAAAATAATAAAATAAAATAAATAACAACTGTGTGAAAAATGTGCTTGCATAGCACAAGGCAAATTGAATAACTATTTTTTTTTTTTCAGATATAAAGCTTTTAAAACTCCCACGAAGTATTATTTATTTTTCTTACTCGTTTATTACCCAATAATAATGCGTTTAGCATTTAAAAATGAAATACGCAAATACGCAAAAAAGGTGCGCTTCATTTTAAAAGGAGAGGAGGGAGCCTTAGGGAGGTATTTATATATATTAATATGTAACATTTATATAACGTCATCCACGTGCATTTTTTCTCGACGACCATTTGTTTTGGTAACATATAAATATCCCCCCACATACTAGTGCTTAAAGTGTGGAACTTTTAAAGATCATATTTTTTTATTTCTCGGTATTTTAAATATTTTCCTCCACCTAAATATTAAAGCATATATTACGCATATGTACATGTAAGTTTAATATACATTTGCGAAATGTGCGGCTTTTTGTTATTACATACAAAATTTATACATGACTTTTGGACTCTCTTTTTTCACACTTCATAGCCTCATATTATTCTTAAAATATTGTCATAGATTTTCTTGACCCTTATATTACGGAATTATTTCCTCTAATACAAATAAGGGGGGAAAAAGAAAAATAATGAAGCTACATTTTACACGTGCATATATAACCAACTATCAATAAAAAACGCATAATCTTCCCCAAGTTGCTGTTATGACATATGTAGATATTTAAAATGCATTTAAAAAAAAAAAAAAAAAAAAAAAAAAAAAAAATTGTGTATTCAACTTTTATCTTCTATATGATAATCTCCTAATTTGCCTATTAAAGTCGGATGGGAATGCTACATAAATGCACGCATGTAGCATTAATCCTGACGTATGCAGTTATACACGCAAACGTTACATATATGTACATATAAACTCATTTAAGGCTGAAAAAAAAATATAATATTATATATATATATATATATATATATATATATATATAATATTTGAAAAAAGCACATTTAAATGAAAGCTCGTCAGCTTGTAGTATAAACTGAGGTAGCATAAAAAAAAAATTACTTGACACAACATTGTTATATTTTACATTTTTTTTTGGGGGGATTATATTACAGCTTGGCTAAAATTTTCAAATTCAGATTTTTTTGTTCTTATTTTCATGTTCGTTTTTTTTATTTTTCATTTAAAAAAACAATTTTCATGTACGCCAAAATAGTGTTTCTATGACAAGGTACATATGTATATATATTTTACAATAACCATTATGGCAAGTCACGAAAAAAGTTGAAATCAAGAAAAAGAAGAAAAAAAAAAAATTTATATAACATACATATGCATACGTATATATATATATATATATATATAACTTTTCCTTTTTACAACATTATGCACATTCATGTGAATAAAAAATGTACTTTTTGTTAGGCACATAAAACTCATGAGGTGTTTTTCCTAATTTATTCTGTTTATATTTTGAGGGGGATACAGTTTTTATCCTGCACACAAAAGCTTAAGTTCACTTGCTAAATATCAAGTTTTAATTGTGCTTACGATTATTACCCTATAACTATTTGAGTTTTTATAAATGTTACATATTAAGATAGGCATAAATACATAAATACAAAAATGCACGAATGTTCATGTCGAATTAAAAAAAAAAAAAAAAGAACACTTAGGGGAAACACACAACAACAAACATGAATGATCATTTTGCTGTTAAAACGTCCAACCACGTGTTACTTATTTTATTTAAATTATATGCAAACCCACATCTGTGAGGACAAACATATATATGTTTATGTTTTTGCACACAATGTAATAAGTCAATTTTCATTTATCTATAATTCATTATAAAAAGAAAACTAGATACAAGTACAAAAGAAAACTTGTGTATATGTATAGATGAGAAGTATATATATGAATGTATCATATATTTTGTATGATCTTTAATCGGCAATTTTTTTTTTTTTTTTCCCCCACTATCCATCCACACATTACACACTTTATTTCGCTATATATATAATTTTTTAAGATATATTATTTTACCCTTTTGAGGATACATGACAGTAAAACATATGCTTATGTATTGGAAAACACTTCCATTATACCATTATTGGTGATTTTACTATATACTTCCTAGGGGTAGAAAATAAATGTAGATTAAAAAAAAAAAAAACAGAACGGAAATATACAAATTATCGAACAAACGAACGAACGAAGAAAGACAGTTTTAATGTGTAAGAAAAGTATAACGTATTTTCTCATTCATAAAAAAAGATAAATCTTGTGTCAAGGGGTTGAAGAGTGCGTTAGTGTTATTTCATAGGTGCAGCATCTTTGCATCATTATCTGTTTTTACACCTACATTTATGTATATGCATAAAAAAATATGCAGACGTTCCAAAAACCAGAAAACGCTCTGAAGAGAGCAGAAGAATTGCAATTTATAGGACAGAATGAAGATGCCCTTCAAATTCTTCACGCAGCCATAGGCCATAGAACATTTAGGTTGCAAGGATGGCATATATTACAAGAACAAATTATGCTAAGGTATATTGAATTTTGTTTATACCTAGAGAAATTAAATTTAGTGAAGGATGGACTTCATCAGTATAGAATTATATGTCAGCATGGAAATATTGCATCGTTAGGAAAAGTGATCACAGATTTTAGAGATAAAGCTGAGGAAAAAGTAAGATTAGCCAAGGAAAATATGATTTTAAATAAAGAAAAAATAGAACAAGAAGAGAGTAATGTAGATTTTACGGAGAAAATTTTAATTTCTACATTGGATATAGAAATAACTGGAAAGTATGAAAGGAAATTACAAAATTCGTTCAGGATATGTATGGAAACGTACAAGATGATTTTAGAAATATTAAGAGCAACTCCAAAATTAGAAAAAGCATATCATGAGACTGCAAAAAAAGCTTTAATTTTTTGCAAGGAAAATAAAAGATTAACAGAATTTAAAAAATTAAGTGACTTATTAAGAAATCATTACAATTTAATATTAAGGGGAAAACATAAACCGGAATATCAGTCGTTACTTAAAATTGAATATCATTTAGAAACCAAAATAATTCAGTTGGAAACAGCTTGTGAACTTGGTATGTGGAAGGAGGCATCAAACATTGCTGAGGATATATACAATTTAAATATGCATGATTATTTTTATAGATCCTTAAGGGCCAATCATGTAGAACCTGAGGTCTCACCTATTGTTGAAAATGTTACAAAGGGGGATAAAAATAACACTTCTAATGAGGAGGAGGAGAAGAAAAAGGGTGAAGACAAAGACGGTCAAAAGGACGATGAAAAAGAGGGTGAAAAAGAAGGTGAAAAAGATAATAAGACGAGCAATAAGAGAAAAGGTGAAAACACAGGAGAGGCGGAATCATCCAAAATGGAAACGGAAGAATCTGTAGCAGAGGAAGGAAAAGGAAAAGGGCATGATGAAACAAAAGATAGCAAAGGGAAAGGAATTCAAACAGTTGTTGTGCATGCAAGCGAAAGTAGTGGAAATGCAAATTACGCATTAAATAAATCTAGAGAAAATTTAAAAAGCTGGATTGCAATATTTTATCAAAGAATGGCAGATATTTTATTTGTATATGAAAGTGAATTATTTCATGGCTTAGCATGGTTAAAGTATTGTTTTCACATTCTAAATTATAGCAGACATTTATCTGAAAAGGAGAAAGGCTTCATGTGTACAAAGGCCGTTTTAGCTGTTCTATCCATTCCTTTAATTGGAAATAAAAAGAAAAATGAAGATTATGCAAAAACATTTGAAGCACATAAAAAAATGTCACAACTATTAGGTCATAATAGTGTACCAATAAAAGAATCATTAAAAAACGGATTAAAAGTGAGAAATATACTTAATTATGCAGATGAAAATGTACAGAAGTTATATTCCTTAATAGAAAATCAGTTTACTCCCTTAAGCTTATGTTTAGAATGTGATACATTGCTAAAGGAGTTAGAAGTCACAGAACATAAAGTATATATTAGTAAAATTAAAGAAGTTATTTTCCATAAATTAATTTTACAACTATCCAAGGTTTATAGCTACATCTCTATTGATTATTTTATTAAGAATATATGCCCAGAATCATTTATCACATGGAATGAAGCTGAAACTATGTTAGTAGACTTGGTTTATCAAAAGGAATTAGAAATGAGAATCGATTTGATAAAAAGAGCTATTTATTTTGAAGATAAGGAAAATACGAACAGTAGCAAATTAATTAAAGAATCACTTACAAATTTATACAACGAATTGCACACGGGGTTGAAAATGATAAACGAAGCAATTTGCGTCGAAAATGAAGTGGAACATTTACATATGAAACTGTTAACATATGAAAAAGAATTTGATTTATTAGATAGAGGTCATCATAAAATTTTGAATTATGACACTGCTAATGTTGAAGATATCATTGAAAATGAGATTTTTGAAGATAAACCAATTGAAGATGAAAAATTACTAAAGAAGTTATACGATAAAATTGATGAAGAACATTATAAATTCCAATTATTAAGTGAAGAAAATAATAAGAAGAGAAAAGAGATGCTAAGGAAACAAAAGGAATTAGAACAAGCGCAACTAAAGATGAAGATGGAGAAGAAATTGTTAGAAGAAAAGTTAGAAAAGGAAAAACGAGAAGAGCTAGCCAAAAAGGGAGAAAAATTAAGAATTAAAGAAGAAAAGAATAAAAAAAAAACAGAAGCAGCTGAACAAATGTTAAAAGAAATTAAAAAATTATGTACAAACAATACAGCCAAAATTTTAATGAAAGGAAAATATTTAGATGAAATTACCATTGAAGATATACTAAATGGTTATGTAGATTTTGAAGATATTGAAGAGGCACAAGAAAAATTACGTCTAAATGAAAAGAATGAAATTATAAAAATTAGAAAGATGGAATATAAAAAAGTTGATCATTATTTTAGAGCATTAAGACAAGTTGAACTTAGTCATATGAATAAATGGATAGCCCTAATTTTCCAAGAAGATACTGAAATTTTATTACAAGAACAGAAAGCAGCAGAAGAAGAACAAAAAGCTGATTTTGAAGCAGCACTTAGAGAAAAAGAAGAATATGTGAAATTCTCCAATGACATAGAAGAATTTACCAAAAATGAGGTGAAAGAAAGAATTGTGGAATTTGAAAAAAATCTGAAAGATCAAAAAGATCGTTTACATCAATTATTGAAAGATGAAAAAATACAAAGAGCTAAGGATAGGAGAGAACAACATTTAAGAAAATTGAAAGCCGAAGAAGAAAGAAAAAGAAGAGAGGAAGAAGAAGAAAGATTAATGAAAGAAGAAATGGAAAAGAAAAAAAAAGAAGAAGCACATAGAAAAAGGCTTGATGAAATAAGTAGAATTCAAAGGGAAAGAGATTTAGAAATTGAGCAACAATTGTTAAGGAAAAAAGAAGAATCAAAAAGTGGAGATAAGCATTATAGAAAATCTTCATATGAAGATGAATTTACATGGAGAAGAAGTTATAAAACAGGTTCACAATATGACGATGAGAATTATAAGAGACTAGACGATGGGCAAGATGACAGTTCCCATAGAGATAGATCAGAGAGAAGGGAAAGAAGAGATTGGTCAAGCAGGGATAAAGAAAGAGATAGAGATAGGGAGAGAGACCGAGAAAGAGATAGGGAGAGAGACCGAGAAAGAGATAGGGACAGAGACCGAGAAAGAGATAGGGACAGAGATCGAGAAAGAGATAGGGACAGAAAATACAAAAAAGAAAAGGAGTACAGGAGAGATAGGTCTAAGGATAGAGAAAGGGACAGATCTAGAAATAGAGATAGAGAATATCGAAAAGAAAAGGAATATAGAAGGGATAGAGATAGAGACAGAGAAAGAGATAGAGAATATCGAAGGGATAAAGATAAAGAAAGAGATAGGGATAGAGACAGAGAATATAGAAGAGATAGGGATAGAGATAGAGAATACAGAAGAGGAGACGATGATTATAAAAAAGAAAAGGGTTATCGAAATGATCGAGATGATAAATTGGATAAAGACTATAAAAAAAGCGAAAGAAATGGAAAAAGCGAGCAAGAAAAAAGAAGAGATAAGGAAGATAATGAATATGAAATAAATGATTCTGATGAAAAAGGGAATGATTTGAACGGTGCAGGAGAAGATTCAGATGTAAAGAAAAAGTATGATGTAAATCACGCAGATGACAACACATGGGCAGAGAAAGAAAAGGAAAGTGATGTTTCAGATATCGACTCAAACGGGAAGGAGAATCATAACCATACGAACGAGAAGGAAAAAATGACAAACGGAAAAGATTTAACAGAAAATGAGCAGACAAAGAATGAAGAAGACGGTTCTGATGGAGGGGGAGATTTTACTGTATTCAAAAAAAAAAAAAGAAATTTTTTGAAATATTTTTCAAAGTCCTAACATAAGGATAAAGAAGCGTTAGTACGCATTACATATTAGTGTTGCACATAAACGTGAGCTCGTCAATTGTATGAGAGCGGCACATATATTTCCTCATACATATGTGTAAATATATACATATATATATATATATATATATATATATATAATATGTAAAAGGCCTTCCCAGTACCCCCCCCCCCCTGTTACTTCCCAACGCAACGCATGTTGCATTAGGGATCCCTTACGATATCCCATTTATAAGCAGAGATATAAATTAGGATATGTAAAAATCGTGGATTCACGAAAATCTCATGTAACGTATGCATGGGCTTATTGAAAAGCACAAATACTACTTTACATATTCACATGGAATTAGGGCTTATTTCCTCTGTTTCTTCAATGAAGCTGAAGAAGAAAATATGCATCTCCACTGTCAGTTTCGTGCATATATATATCACACGTTTTACACCTAATTTTTAGACATACGAACTTTTTAATATATATATGTTTATACGTATATATATATATATATATATATATAAACATGTGCATAGATATCTGTATATTATGCATATGAACAGGGAATATATACATACACAAGTACATACAGGCATGAATAAATCCCCAGGTTGTGTATAGATCATCATTCACGTACCTTATTTTAAGCATGCGTAAAATGAAAATGAAACCATACCAAGCAGAACCATAGCAGAGAATTACGGACTAAATTCGTTTGTGAAACGACCTACGTATCCTTTAACCCCCACCCCCCCAAAAACAGTTTAACACAGTTGAATGTAGTTTAATACAGTTGAACACTTTTGCATGCATATATAAAAATATATCAATTCCCCGGGAATTGTTTTAACCTGTACATTTATTTTACACATTCATTATTTTTTCTTTCATATACACCAGGATGATAAAAAGAAAATTTGCATATTTTTACCCCTCATATTAATATTTTGTACATATTTTTACACATTTTTTTTTTTTTTTTTTTTTTTTTTTTGCATATGCTTATTGCCTCTACATTTTTTAATAAGACATGTATAACGATTTTAAACTAAGCTAAAATATTAAATATATTAAGAGACTATAAAAAAAAAAAATAAATAAATAAATAATTGACATACGCTTAAATGGTACCAAATTGTATATATACGCAAATGTGCAAAGTATATGTTATGTATACACTATATGCACAGAATAAATATAACTATTTTTAGTTGAAATCTTTTAAAATAGAATACATGTGTGATATTTTTAGATTCACAAAATAATGATTATATTTCTTTTTCTCTTAAGGTTCAATAAATAATCCCATTACCTTTATACTTTATACCAACTTTTATGTTAGCATATGATTTGGTCAATTTTTTTTTTTTTTTGTTCATGCGACATTTTGATATAATAATGAAAACACATTATTTTTTACAAAAAAGAAAAAAAAAAACAAAATGTTGATAATATATATAAACATTAGGTGATATTCTGTGCTTTTTTTATTATTTTATTTTTTTTAGTGAAAACTTAAGCAAGAACATACGTGTTACTATTATTTTCTTTATTATAGCGTTTTGTACATTTTAATAAAAGCAGCCTAAAAAGAAATAAGGCGTGTTGAATTGAAAAGAAGTTCTATTAAAAGGAAATAATACAGAACAGAGGAGAAGTGTACAAAAAGATAATAAAATTAAAAAAAAAAAAAAAATCGAAAAAATTGAAAACAAAGCAGAAGAAAGAATGGCTGGACAATCTGAGAAAAAAAGATTAAAAAAAGCGAGCTCCTTCATTGTTTATGCTACCCCATTTTTTACCATTTTTTCGGTATGAAAAAAGATACACATAGAAACGAGCACAAAAAAAAAAAGGAATTGGGAAATAATCGATTTTTTCACACTTCAATAATAACAGCTAGTTCCACAGATAGATATCTACGTATTTCTATGGTTTCATTCATTTTCAGAATTTTATTAATTTTCTTTTTTCTTTTTTTTTCCCCCCCCCCCTTTTTTTCCTCAGTTGATTTATATTATATTCACACTTTATTTCAGATATAATACAATTACAAGAAATGTCTTTTTTTTACACGGATTGCTATTTTTTTGCTATTACTACTCGATAAAAAATATACACTATGGTTTGACGAATGGGCTAAATTTTACGTAAGAAAAAAATAAGATAAATTAAAATTTCTGAAAAAATGATTATAGAAATGAATAGAATGATTTTTCCAAGCGTAGAGAAACAGATCAATATGGGATTGCAGCATTAAAAAGCCTCCGTTCAGACAGCTACATTTTAATGGAATCACAAAAAAATTAAAAGTACATTTGTAGTTATAACAAGAATGTAAACATATGTATATGTGCTCGAACTTTTATTTTTTTTCTATCTCCCCTTTTCCCTAGGTACTACACAGATGTGCTGATTTTATCCTTTGTCATTAACTTAGGCTTGTTTTATTCTTTTAAATTTTTTTACATATATATAATTATACCCATATATGCAGCATTTAAAACACTTAATTTTATTTTCAAGTATCTTCTGGGTTCACCGGTAACTTGTTTGTTGAATTATAAATAGAAAATTAAGGAGTATATATATTACTATACCCTAACGAGAATGAATTTCATGTATTTCTGTCTGCACATTTTTGCTGACATACGAATATAAACATGTTTTTACAAAGTTGTTTCAATGTACTTCATTACATTCAGCTTGTTGATGTATCATTTCTCTTATCTCTTATGTCTTTTTTTTTTCTTTCCTTCTTTTCTCTTCCATCTTAGTTTGGAGGAGCAAATCCTTCAGAAAAGGCAGATAAAACAGAAAAGAAGAAAACTAAAGTTGTGTATAAGAAGCTTTATTAAAAATAAAATAAGTATTCATCAATTATTGCACATTAAGTTAATATTAAACTAATTTAATTAGTACAGTTATAGTTTTTATGTGATTATGCATGTACATACGTACCATTGTTTGTTTTTACTGTCTCCCTTTTTTTACAGAATTATTACATATAATTTTGCTACACAATATCAATTTTTTCTTTTCTTTTTTCTTTCATAAATTGAAATAACAACCCTTTTTTTTTTTTTTTTGGAATAATTATGAAATATTTATTATCAATTTATATAAAGAGGCGTATGCATTAAAGAAAATGTATTTAATGTAAGCTGTTTTCTTTTACAATGGACATTTTATACAATTATTAGCATTCCCAAGTTTTATGTTGGAGAATATCTACATATAATTGGTTAAAAGAACACGTGAACGTGAAAAATGTATATTTGGTTTATATTTAAGAATAAACATCAATGCTTAATCTACGCATTGTTTCACCTTAACATAATCATTAAATATATCACTACTTTTCTTTTTTTTTAAATGTTATTAGATTAATACTACATGTTGCATATATAAAGGCCAACAAAAGGCCAGGAAACGTATATGAACATGTTAAAAAAAAAAAAAAATAAAATAATAAAATCCATTCCTCTAATATTGTTTTTTCTCACGTTTTAGAATACTCACAAAAATAGGGATTCGTGTTATTTTGTGTTTTTGCAATTTCCTATGGAGAACATAAATTCGTCTAAATATTTTTTTTTTTTTTTTTTTTTTTTTTTAAATTATTTTATTTTAATTTACTAACTCATTAGAATTTTTTCTAAATTTTTCCCCCATCCTCCCCTTTTTGAGTTTATAATCCAAAATAAACAGATGTGTATCAATAAGGGAATATATAATAAGGGGTACCAAGCAATGCATAATGTAGTCTGTAACAACATAATTTATTGTAGTGTATTTTGGTATAATCCTGTCCACATGAACACAGAATTTGGAACGAAGGAAAAGGCTTACCTTGTTTAATTGCTTGAGCTGGTTGTGTGGGTTCCCAAAAGGTTTTGAAAAAAAAGAGAAGCTGTTCTTATGTTTACACATATATATATATTATGGTTCTATGTGTTTTGTATATATTTTTTCACAATAACTAACTTTATACCCAAACCCTTCGTAAAACTACAAAAGTGTTAAATAGGACATTTATTAGTAGTAGTGCCAAATAGTTTATGATGTGATGCAACATGTTTAAGAGAAAAAATAACTCATGATCAAGTGAGCTGAGGAGGGTATTTCAGAAATTACACACGAGTAAAAAGCTTTAATACAGTTGATTATCGTGCTTTTTAATTTATTCTGTACCTTTTACTTGTGCACATACATGTAGGAATATTGTTTTTTTTTTTTTTTTGTTATTTCATGTTTTTCTTTGTTTATTTTGTTTTTTTCTGTCATGTGCTGTTATTACCACTTTTCATTTACATTACTATATGAGGCAAATACGTATATGTGCTATTACAAGTGTATATAAATATACGAGTTTTTTTTCTTTTTTTTTTTTTTTAACCTGAAAATTCGTATGACTTGAATATGCTTGACATTGCGAATTTTTTAAACTTTTTTCCCCATTTTGGCCTATATATGTGATTAAGAGATGGATATTTCATTTTTAAATAATTTTAGCTAAATCGTTTTTAACATATAGTAACCCAGGTTAATTTTTTAGTTTCCATGCTTTTCACATTTTAAAAATACACTTACATATGTATACTTATGTTGCATTTTAAACAAATTTTACATTACTTTGAATTAAAAAATATACGACTTTCTCTGAAATAGTATAAACTGTTTTTGTCATTACCCCATCTAAATGTAATTTAGCAAACACACCCACTGGTAATTTTTTTTTTTTTTTTTTTTTTTGCCTTTTTCATTCTTCCATCCCCCTTTGTGTATTTTTATTTACATACCCGAGAATACACATATGTAACTTCCATCCATTCCCATCCCTTTTTTTTTTTTTTTTTTTTTTATATTTTCGCCATCCCCAAAGTTTAAGGATGCCAGATTTATACTTTCTAATAAGATGGTTATCCAAAGCAATTGTTAGCTCCCTGTTTGGAGATGTGAATGTCATAAACCCGGAGAATGTCCCATTGTATGGATCAGTTATATTTGTGGGAAATCACAATAATCAATTTATTGATGCATGTGTGTTAGTAGCAAATATTCCAAGACAAGTAAAATTTATAGTGGCAGAAAAATCTATGAGAAGAGCTGTTATAGGGAAACTAGCAAGTCTTACAGGATGTATAAGTGTAAAGAGACCTGAAGATTTAAAATTTACAGGAATAGGACACATATGTTGGGTTAAAGGAGGTAAGAAAATTAAAGGAATTAATACGAGATTTAAATTAGATGTACAGATAGGAGATAAATTATTAACACAAAATAAAATATTCCCAGTTACGAAAATAGAATCAGAAACGGAATTAACAATACAAGATTCTATAAATATAGAATGTGAAGATAAAAAAAATGGAGTTCCTTTTAAAATAATCCCAAAAATAAATCAAACAGAAGTTTACAATTTAGTTACTAGTAGCTTAAAAAATGGGGATACCATTGGTATATTTCCAGAAGGGGGTTCCCACGATAGAACTAATTTATTACCTTTAAAACCTGGTGTCGCTATTATGACATTATGTGCATTGGCAGACGGGGTGGAAGATGTATCGATTATACCAGTAGGTTTGTCGTATTCAAAACTGTATCAGCTACAAGGCTGTGTTACCCTATTTTATGGAAATGCAATAATTATTTCTCAAGATTTATGCAAAGATTATAATAATAATCATAGAGAAACAATATCTAAAGTGCTGGCTAAAATTGAAGAAGGCATGAGGAGTTGTATGTTAACTTCGAAAGATCATGAGACAAGTAGGTGCATAGAATTATGTGTTAGTTTATATACACCGGAAAGAATGACAATATCAAAAAATAAAATTTATAATAATTTACAATTGTTTTGCAAAATGTTTTGGAAATTTGGAAATTCAAAAGAAATCGAACAGTTAAGTTATGAATTAAAATGTTATGAAAAATTATTAAAAGCAAACAAAATAAAAGATGATGAAGTATGGATACTTAAACAATCAACTTCAGCAGCTACTCTAAAGTTCATTGAACATATTTGTAGTTTAATTTTTTGTGTAATTTTTGGTATGACTTTTTCACTCTTATGGTTACCCTTAGTTGCAATCTCCATATATTTAGCAGAAAAACATAGAGAATCAGCATTGAAAAATAGTACGGTAAAAATTCAAGGTTGTGATGTTGTGGCTAGTTATAAAGTGTTAGTACTTTTAGTTTTATTGCCAACTTTTAATATAATGTACGGCTTAATATTTAGCTTATATCTGTACCAATCATGGTTAAAAAGAATAGTATTTGTAATTATAAGTATGTGTATATTACCTATTTGTTATTATATCAATTTAAATTATGCTGCTCAAATACCTACACTTCTAAGACAAATGAAAATACATTTAAAAGTTATTTGTGGAAAAATCAATATCTGGAGAGACAACGAAAGGGAATTAATAAGTACAAGACATGAACTCCAATTGAAGGTTCGTGACTTGGTATCCAATCTCGGACCTGATGTGTCTGATGACTTTCTTGAGCAACTCTACCGAAACATTCCTAAGTTTGTTGTTGATGCAGATACTAAGAGACTCATTCGTGGAAAGGACGAATGGGTTCCCATCCTTCAACGATCTCAGTTGGAGTACAAGGAGGAAATTCTATGAACTTTTATATGTTTGTTCAAGTTGTTTTGCATATTTGATATAGATAGACTTTCCCTCCCACACAATTCCTTTTAGTATATGCTATACCGATTTATGCACACATATAATGTATACATATTTGCAAGATCTATGTTAGGGAGATAATATGGGGGTTGGATGTCAGTAACTGAGAGAAAAAAGACCCGACAACAATTTGGCATAACGATATTACTAATATTTTTTTTGCAGCATGCTGAAAATATACTACGCTTCATATACATGTCCTTTTATTTGTGTAAATATATTTATAGCTTCATATGTTTTATTATAATGCGAAGATCGTTGAGACGCATGCATGTATGTATATATATATATATATATATATACATGCGGCACACATGTAAATATATTAATCCCAAAGCATCATCTGCGAATATATGATTTTTCACATCTTTTGTTAATTTTTTTAAAATTATTACTTATAAATATGCTCATATTATGTGCATGCCCATTCAAGTAGGTAACCACGCTGATTAACAAAATTTCCCATTTTTGTATATGTGCATATACATACGTCCATTTCGTTTTTTTTTCATATTTTTTTTTTTTTTTATGCCTAAAAAAGCCTTCCTCATTTTGTCACCCTTGCTTATTACATCAAAGATGCATCAACGTGTTTTAAAATAATTTATTTGTTTTTTGTTTTTTGTTTTTTGTTTTTCGCGTTTTACTGTCGCATTTAACATTTCGCATTTCACATTTCGCATTTCACATTTCGCATTTCACATTTCGCATTTCACATTTCGCATTTCACATTTCGCATTTCACATTTCGCATTTCACATTTCGCATTTCACAATTCGCATTTCACATTTCGCATTTCACAATTCGCATTTCACAATTCACATTTCGTTTTTTGTCTTTCCCCTTTTTTTCACCCCGTCATGTTTTTCCTCACCCCTTTCAACTTTTTAATTTTTTTATGAACACATTTGTATGTATGAGTGTATGTATATACATGTATATATATATAGATAATAGAAAAATTACTGTATATATTAGCATGTGTAAAAAATATGCATCCACACATATATACACATGTGTGTGTGCATGTATAATTATAATACAAAAGCCTTATTGGGGGAAAGGCACTCAGTTGTATGCGAAGCAAAAATTTATTTTTAAATGACTTTTCAATTTATTGATCCTTCAGTATTTAAACGCAATTTATTTCTTTCCCATGTATTTTCACTCAAACATTTCAAATGGTTTTAAACGCAATGGACTTTTTCAGTTTATGCAACAAGGAAGAATTTGAGGTGAAATATACATTCCTACTGGGGGACATGTATATTTTTAATATTAAAGGATGCAGGAAAAAAAAAAAAAAAAAAAAAAAAAAAATGAACTACAAAATGTGAGATTGTTGATGAAAAAACAGGTATCGTACAAAAAATTTACAAAAGGATTAGCAACTTTATGAATGCGTGTGTAAAAAATACGGCATAAAAATATCAATAATTTGTATATACATGGACATACATATACATATGTACATATACTGACATTTTTGCATGTTTGGTACATTTTTTACTTTGTTAGACACGTTGTCTCATCACATATAAATATATTGCAGGTATATACATTTTTCACCAGTTGGTGTGTGTGTCTTGGCTTTTTTACGAACTTTTCATTTTACATTTTTTAAAGATGCGAACAAGGAGGCTGGAAAGACGAGCAAAGAATGCACACACAAACATGAGTAGTACGGATATTAAAGAATAGACAGGCTTGAAAAATGAATTCGTACAATCCTTGTCATTAATCAAAGGCTTGTTCTTAAGATTGTCAAAAATATGTCTCATCATATGTTTTTCCTTTTTTAAATGAAGATGTTTTTTTCTTTTCACAAGAGCTAGTAAATTAACCAAAGCAAAATCGTTATCAATTTTGATTCCTTCGTTCAGGATTTGTATTGCTTTGTCAAATTCGCCTAACATAAAATATCCCTTAGCTAATCTAAAATAAATTTTCACATTTTTTTTATCATTTTCTTGAGCTAACAAAGAATATTTAACACATTCAGAATATTTATTTAATTTCATATACCCCTGAGCAATATTACTACAATAAGTGGATTGTAACTTTTGAAAAGCTTCTAACCTTTCATTGTTTAGTTCTTCTTTTTTTGATAAAACATAATTTATGGACCTCAATCCTCTTTCCCATATTTTAACTGCCCCTTCATAATCTCCTTTATTATATTTTTCATTTGCATCATCTTTTGTTTCTTTTTCATTTTCATCTTCTGAATATTCTGTGTTTAATGAATCCTTTGCAAACTTCTTTTGGTTTTCTTCGACATCAAGAGGGCTTTCATTTATTAAATTCTTCTTTTTATCGTTTTCTACACCTGAGTTATTACTACAATCTTTTTGTTCTCCTGAGACACTTTTTTTTTTTAAATAACTTTTCGATGATTCATTATTTTCACTGTCATATACATCGGTGTCTATATTTTCATTCCCCTCCTTTTCTTCATCCAATGTATGGTCATATTTAATGTTGCCTTCTTTTAAATTCCTTAGGTTACTTTGAGTACAGCTTTCCAACAATGAATCCATTTTGCATATATATATGTATATATATGTGTATACGTGTATATACGTGTATATATGTGTATACGTGTATATGTGTGTATATGTGTATAATATGTGTATTCTGTCCTTCACTTTTTTTTTTTTGTTTCTTGCCTTTTTACTAATTTTATTTTATCACTAATAAAAAGCAGTTTAAATATACATGATCCAAAAAATTTAAAATGTATTTTCGGGATTTATACCACCCATCCCCTCCTCTCTATGTATACCTTTCTGAGGAATATATGCCTTTTTACATGATGATCCTTTGCGCCAATCTTTATTATATTATGTTTCATTATATTTAAATAAATCATATATTTATGCATCCATGTTTTCTCACCATCACTAATGTTTTGCTAATATCAATTTGACAAAAAAGTAAAATAAAACTGAAATAAAATAATGTAAAATTAAAAAAAAAAAAAAAAAAAAATGATCTTAAACAACTTGGTGTTTTTTTCCTCTGTATGTTCATCTTATTAAAGATATTTTCTCTCCATTTGGACTTTTGTGCTGGGTATGTATATCGATCTTCATGCAATTGTGATAAAAATATAGAAGCCACAAAAAAGGCAATCACGAAAATGATATCATAAGAATGAGATCAAAAAAATAGGATAAAACTCAGAAGAAAAAAATACATGGCATTATATTCTCGAAATACAGATATCATACCAAGTTGTATAGCGATTTTACGATGGGGGAGGGCGATAATCAATTTTGTTGTGCGAACAAATCAAACACGTAAAAAAAAAAGGGGCAGCAGAAATCTTCGATTTGGTGGCCTGTTAATTTGGTGGCCTGTCAATTTGGTAGCCTGTCAATTTGATAGATTGTTAATTCGTTAAGTTTTTAACATTCCTACTTTGATTGCTTTTTTTTTTTTTTTTTTTTTTTTTCTTCTGCCTTGACATTTCGTCATTACAAAAGTCTCTTTAAATAATGACTCATTACAGTCACCAATGTATATGAAGTGAAGATCCTAATTTTTTTTTAATAGATTTACTGTCGTTTCTTTCATAGACTTTGCAGCACTTTTTAAAAATACTTTTTTGGTTCCATTTTTTAGGAAAATTTTGCTAATCATCAATTTTAAAATTTGATGATATTAGAAAGTACTTAATGAAACACATTTTTTTTTTTTTTTTTAAGTCTTAATTGAAAAACGTTAATTTTTCCTTTAAGTCTCAAATGAAAAACGTGAATTTTTCCTTTTTCTTTTTTTTTTTTTTTTTTTGACACATTAGGGAAATTAATTTTGACGCTAATATATTGCAAAGACCACATAACGTCCTATTTATTTATTTACATGTGTATATATGCATATTCATCTGTGGGAAGAACAACGCAAAACGGATGTTTTTATCCATTTCACAATAATGTAAAACCACAAGTTTAATTTAATTATGGGTATGATAAGATTTTTCTAGTAAAAACATTAAACAATGATAACTGACTCTAATATAAGTGGATCAATAATTGTGAAAATTATGTAATGCGTAAATTTCCAAATGAAGAGGGAAATTCATGAAAGTGTACACTTCATATGGAAAATAAAATATGTCAAGCTTGTTTAATCGGATGGTGAACGTGTGCCTGTGCATACATACATATATGTATCTATCTACGCATATATATATATATATATATTTACCTACGTCAAGAATACATGTGGAGACTCAGAAATAATCATACGTATCCAAAGACTTCAAACAATTTGTCAACTTTATTTTCTGCTCATAATCACTGAAGCCCATATTGAACAAATTCTTTATTTTCATCATAGAAACATTTGCTAGGTTATCTCCGCATAGTAACATATCGTTTTCGTTAAACATTCTTGAGGAAAAAGTTATGGAAAAAAAGGGGGCGGTTAGTATAAATGTGCAAATGGGAACATAGGTATGAATATATATATATATTTACTTATTTATGTGTACATGTACAACTGCGTGCATTGTCGCCACTTCTTGGCCACGCACATGTCGACACAGGTACGCACTGAAATGTGTTAAAAATCCTACTTTAGGGATATAATTTTAGACGATTCGACTAGGTTCGGATAGAAAATAATCAACGGGTCTTTTGAGAAAAAACTGAAGTCCCATAATTCAACTCGCCCATCATCCGAGCAGCAAAAGAAGGATGTGGAATTGTTGGGAACCCTACGTGGTATATAGAAGAGAAACACAATGCATTTTCATATATGTAGTTATCCATTTGTGTGTCAATATTTATATTACAATGGGTGCTTAGTATACGTGTTAAGGGGATGTGTAAATATATATATATATATATATTCTGATGAAATTATGCAAGAACGCTCTGGGTAATATTCCAACCGAGGAATTCGTGCCCCCTCACTCAACTTTTAACTAGGTATGGTATAACCATAATATATCATTGATAGAGGTAAATGAATTCTTGGATTTAAAAGTTGTTATTTGCTTATTCGAAAATTTATGCCATAATTTTACTGTACAGTCTTCACCAGCACTTAGAAAAATATCGTGGTCAAATTTATTTATTTTTATTTTGTTCACAGCACCGAAATGGGCGTCATAATAATTTAAGTAAGATTTGTTATAGCAACTATTGCACCGGTATATTATTCCATTCTTTGTACCTATATTAGATTAAAGTAGAAATTATGTAACATTTTCAGGGTTACCACCACATCACCCCTCTTTTATCTCGTGCACTTATCTAATATGCACAAAAACAATAGCTGTGTAATATCAGGATAATATTAAACATTTAAGATACATATAATCATGCATGCAAAGAAATGCGTTTATGATGCATACAGCAATGAATCGTGTGTTGACTCATATGTGTGGAGGAAATTTTTTATGTTCTCAGAAACATAAACCTCAATACAAGTTCAAATGAGCGGGAATGTGTACTAACCAAGGTAGTAATAAGAATGCGTTGGCTTTATTTTCTTGTCAATAATATTTTCCGTGATATTTTTATAATGGTTCAATAGTTCATCTTCCCTAGATATTTGCTTTGCATAGCTCGCACTAGTTGTGGTGGTAGCAGTTGTAGCAGCATCCGTAGTACTAGCCACAGTTGTCTTTTCATTTGTAACCATTTTATTTCCTGCATGCATATCTGCATCTCTTAGCACATCCTTCGATTCCTTAATTTCACTTTTTACATCATTTTCACTGGTATTGTCGTAATTTTTTTTATTATGACCAGCTTGCTTTTCATAATTTTTCTCTATGCTACTAATGACAAAGTCTTCATCGTGGTTCATGTAATTATCTATGGCAATACAAGATAGGGAAGAATTAAAAGGTTTATTTGCAAGATTTTTATTTTCAAAAACTGATGATAAATCTTGATATAAATCATTTTTCTTATTCTTGAGATATAAAATTTCTTTATTTTTTAATTCCTTCTCAATATTCCATTGATATACATAACCATTTTCATGAGCTGAGTAGAAAACACTTTCATTCGTGTTGTTTGTAAGGTAACTGTTTTTAAATGAAATATCATAAATGGGTTCAAAACAATTATCGTGATAATTTTTTATGTTAATAGATTTCAAAACTGCTGATTGATCATTACTTCTAAGGTCATAAATATTTACATGTCCATTACACATGGCAGCAACTAGTATATTAGGATTGTTGTTCGAGTACATAATTTTCAGAACACTTGAATTTAAATTATACAACCTTAGAGGATAAGTTGGATTGATATAACTAAAAATAGCAATATTCCCCTTACTATTCTGAAAACTACCTATATCTAATGTGTTAGAATAGCTCGCTGTTATGTGATCTTCATAAAATTTGTTCGTATCTATAGATGTCACTATTTTTTCTAATTTGTTATAATGAAACTGGAACAATTTGTCAATTGATATGTTTTTGATATACTTTTTTTCTTTAAATTTGTACATCATCACCGTGTCATTTTCATTTGTACTCTCCTTATTTTGTCTATTTCCCATGTATCCCTTCAAATAAACACTTTGGTCATTTTGCATATTATCCTCGTGCATAACATGGTCATCACTGTTACTTATAAATAGATCATCATCGTGTCTTACTTCTGAGATGAATTTTATTCTATTACCATTGATACACGTAAATTTTTCTTTCTTCTTTAATACATATGCTATTTTTTTTTTTTCTACGTTTTCTTTTTCTAAAATTTCTTTCTTTTTCTCTTCATTACAGGTATCTTTTAAAACACCATCTAGGATTAATGTACTAATTTTTTTTATTTTATCTTCATTGCTTTCTTCATTTGCAATAATGTCAAATATTTGATGATCCCCCTGTGTTCTATCACCATGAGGCATTTTTGTATGTGAATTTTTTTTTTCTACATTTGTTTGTTTCTGCATGATTTCACTACACAGTTGTTCATGTGTGTTGTTTTTTTCTTCTTGTATATCGTAAGTCTTTTCCATTTTGTAAAATTTTTCGCTTTTTAACTTTCTCCCGATTTGGTTTTCCATTTGAGTTGGGATTTTTTTCCCGACTCTTTTTGCAACCTTTTTCCTGATTTTTCTCCTCAATTTTCTAAATAAAATTTTTTGGGTAATTTTTTTTTTCTTCCCTTTGGAAAGAACAGACACTCGTTTTAGTAAATCTAAATGTGTAATCCACTTCAAATTATCATTTTTGGTTGTTGAATTTATTGGGTCATGTATTTCTGTTTTACTATCTAGATTAATGCATTTGTTCAATTTGTGGAAGTTAATTGATTTTTTTAAATTTCTTTTTATTTTTATTCTTATGATAGTTTTTTTTTTTTTGTAGTTAATATTTGGGTTGGTAAGGGCGTCATAATTTTCCCCGTCAAACATTTTTACCTTGTTATTTCTCCTGTTGTCTTTTAGATAATTTAAGCAGATGTTCTTATAAAGCATTTGTTCATAATAGAAAATATTTTGTACTATATATTTTTCCATATTTTTTAATATATGTACAAAATTTCCTTTGTTTAAATTTTTTTTTGGATTATTTATTTTCCATGCTATAGCATTTGCATCGTCTTCAATGTCTTCTTGGCTTTTCATGGGTATGTCATTTTGCTCTCTTTTCTTTTTTATTATGGATTTTATTAGATATTCATCTTCACTGAAACTGCCTTTAAAAATTTGGTGCAGAAAATAAGATTGGTTTCAGTAGGGGTGCATTTGTACGTACACAAAATCAGATTGTGTAAAGAAAACACACCAAGCATAACACACCAGTGATTTTTTTTTTTTTTTTTTTTCTCTCAACTTCAATATATATTGAAACTCATTGAAAGGTATGATATAAATCTATCTGTCAAAAAAAAAAAAAAAAAAAAAAAAAAAAAAATACACTACTTTTGATCATTGTTTCGTGTATCACACAAAGGGACAAGATAAACATTCGAAATATTATTACTTGTTAAGAATTTCATCGTTTTCATGTTTTTAAATTTGCTCCTAGTTCTGAATGTTCTACTTTTATTTGACAAAGTTCGAGACATATTTTTTGTTGAAAAGAGGGTATTAAAAAGAGACGTATTATTTTTCTTTGATTTATAAAAAGATTTCGGTATGATCGTTGTCTGTTTGTTATCAATCACATTTTTATCAACAACTTGAACCCACATGTTTTTTTTTAAAATTACTCTTTCGTTAATATTTAACGAATCTCCATATTCATCCATTATTTTTTTTAACTTTTTGTTTCTGTATTTTAGAAATTTCTTATGCAATACTTTGGATCTGTAAGGAAAAATGAACATGTAGTCAGTGCATATGTAGGTGCATTTAATGAAATGTTCGAAGTGAATGAGATTTACTGATGCGTGAGTTCTGTGTCACCATTGAATTGTGAGAGAAAAAAAAAAGAGCGAACTTCCCCCATGTTATAGTGGTAGGTTCTATTTTTTTAATAAATAGGACTTCCTAACTGTCTAACGTAGGAAATTCGTTAAAATAATCACATTTTTTTTTTTTTTTTTTTTTTCCATTTAACATGTCTGATGGGTTCCTTATGGTTAGTTTGTGCAGTTCGTATAAGTTTGTTTGGGAACTTTTGTTCTGTTTGTTAATGGTAGAAACATATACTCCCTTGTTCTTTTTGAACACATTTAATGTTTGTATTGTTTTATTGATATAATTACTTTCGTCATTATTTAGCAATTTTTCATATCTTGTATTTTTGTCCTCAATTGCTTCTTTTTCTTCTTCTACATCATTTATTATATTTGGAATATTCAGCAGATTTATTGTTTCTGTTTCGCTTAGCAGAATTTCTGCACAAATGAAGTTGCAGTGGAGTAATCATTGGAATGATAAAGCTAGAATGGCGGAAGCTCACACACATATTTGTTTGTTTAAACAAAAAAAAAAAAAAAAAAAATTAAAATTTGTGCTCAAACAAATTAATCTCTTAATTTACCATCATAGGAATCTAAAATATCCTTTTCGTTTTGAATACATTTTGGTAAACTTTTCTGATGTGTCTCTTCAGTAATGGCCTTTTCTTCTAGTCGATATTTTACCTTTTCATGAATTATATCTGTTGTATTTTCTTCACTATTCGCTTTTTTTATAGTTCCCTTTTGATCTATATACTCATTTTTGTCATCGAATTGTTTAAGTAGATAATCTAATGACATTAAGAGAAAGATCTTTACGCATGTTTGTGCGAATAAACACTTGTGTAGATAATTACATGTTTTTCTACCACTGTAATGCGTTACTTTAAAAATTGCAATTGGGTGAAGTTTTGATCGAACATATCCCTCTCCCTATATATATATGTACATGTGTGTGCATGTTAAAATGAATATGTTCAGTTATGTTTGCCCCCTTTTGGGAACATTCTCATTTTATGGCAGATATAGATCACTTTTACCTATTTGATCAAAAGATTTCTTCGTTTCTGTTTCTTGAAAATTGAAATATATAGGCTTTGGTGTTATGTTTTTGTTATCTAGAATTATTTCAATATTGTCATCTTTAAAAAGAAGAAAGGTAAAAAAAAAAAAAAAAAAAAAAAAAAAAAAGTGTTGAATGAATTTTTTTTTTTTTTTTTTTACATGTTATCTTTCGTACACATTTGTTAATAACATTTATTTCACATCACTTTTTTTTATTACTATTCACACCTTTAAAATCACCATTTAGTTTAATTGATTTATTGAAGCAAATTTTGCTTATGTTGCTTTTTATTTTTTTAATACTGCTTAGTCCTTCCTCCATTGTTGCTTGTCACAAAGGTGGTTGTAAAACAAGGCACAACAAGTTTGACTTTATCAACATTCGCATGTATGTATTTTTACATGCTTTATCGAGTGTGCATTTAGAACATGTTGTTCTATTTTCCTAAAAGTTACAACAAAAGTAAGAGTTATGCTTAGAGCATTATTATTGTTAGAATCAGGAGAGCTAAAAAAAAAAAAAAAAAAAAATATTCGCATTTTATCTACGTTGGCAATATTTTTACATATTTCTGGATTTGTGAATTTTCAAAATTAGCTCCTATGGGGACTTTGTCTTCCCATTGGAGAGTTTTAAAATGGTCAGAATGGTCAGTATCGAAGTTTTTATCCTTTTCAATTTTTTGCTATTGCAGCAAGCAAAGGGGCACATAAAACGGTACAAAAAATTTCCGCATGCGATTCTTACCTTTTTTAAATTACCACGTGCTGTTAAGGGACGAGGCTTAGGAAAAAATTTAGAAAAAGAAAAAGTGATGAAAAGAAAAATGAAAAGAATGATAAAAAAAATAATGAAAATAAGAATGAAAATAAGAATGAAAATAAGAATGAAAAAAATAATGAAAAAAAAAAAAAAAAAGGACATTAATGTAGAACCTACATAGTAAAAGGAGTGCAGTGAAGCCACTCGGCAAAAACAAAATGTGAAAAATAACATGTTTGAGAGGGACTACAAATATTTATCTCTTCTACATTTCTAGATATCAAAGAAAAATAGAAAAAAAAAAAAAAAAAAAAAAAAAAAAAACACGAATTTGCTAAGGATGTTTTACACATTATCTTTACACAAACTTTTCTTCTCCGTGTTATGCGAGACTCTAAATACATTTAAGCCGCATCCTCACCAGAGGAGAAAAAATTGGAAGAAATCACCAAAATTGATGAGATGTTTGTCTTAAAAATTGGATTTACAAAATTTGAAAGAAGAGGGAGCATAAGAGGAGGAAAAGAAGGGATTTTTTTTTTTAATACAATAAATAAAACAAGTACCAATTTTTCAAACAATTTTGAGAATGAAAATAAGAAAGGACAAAATGAATTCCATTTTTCAAGAGAAAAATTTCTTAATTTTAAAAATGTAAATATACACACTTTAAATAACAGAGAACTATTGTATTATCTTGGATATTGCAGTAAAAATGAGCTACTAAATATTCATATTTTAAATTCCATAATGGAAGAATTGCATGGGAAAGTGTTAAATAGCGTGAATTGTATTTCTAACGATTTTAATCAAAATAAAAAAAATATACTAAATTCGAAATGTTACCAGGATGGTAATGGGAATGCTATCCAAAAGAAGCCCTTTTTCGATATTCACGATTTGGTAAAGGTTTATTTAAACATTTGTTACATTAATTCGTATTTTTTTTTAAAGACAAAACGGGAGAAATATAAAGACAGCGCATGTATATTGCTTCCTAAACGATGTAGTCATAATGATGTTGACAAAAATGACAACATGCTAATTCAAAAGGAGAAGTTAGTAAGTGCGGCAAAAAATGTTTTCACTTTCCAGAATGAAGAAGAAAAATTGAAGGAAATGCAAATAAACGAAAGTAACAGGATTAACATTGGGAGAGACATATTCAAAAAAGATAATAAATTTATTTATACAAATAGCACCAATAAGAACACACAATCATGTAGTGAATTCATATGTAATGAACATGTAAAAAATATATTTCATTTATTATCCATTTTTTTTCTTCAAAACGTGAATATTCTGAATGACCATTATTTATGCCGAATTTTTTATGGATACAATAAAAGTAAATTTTTTAATGAAAGATATTTGAATAACCTAAGTTTTGAAATAATTAAAAGAATAAAAAAAATTAGGACATATCATTTATACTTAATATTGATGAATTCATACTATTTAAATTATATAGATAAAAGTTTTATAAAAATTTTGTTGATTCATATTATTAATAAGCTTTCCCAATTGCCTTGTGAAGCAATATGTCAGGTTATACCAATTGTCCATTTATTCATTCATTCAGAAAAACTTATTTATAAAATTAATATCATATATGCAAAAAAAATTGCTAGCTTTAACCAACTTAATCATCTAATCACCTTGTTTAAAAAAATGATACAAAGGAAAATGATATCCCAGAAAAATATATTCTTAACATTTAAACATTTAAATAAATTTATGAAAGTCAAAAAGAGTTCCTGCAAAAAGAGGGAGAAAAAAGAAAGGAACGTTAATTCATCGGATCCATCCCAAATTGTACACAATGGTCGAATGGCGCAAAATGATCAAGTAATAAACAATGTAGTAAAAAACTTCGAATCTTTTAAGACGAAAAACAGAAACAGTGAAAAAGACAGTGAGGTGCAAAAAGATGAAGGTGCAAATTTCCCAACAAAGAACAGTTCAAATGACGGAAATAAAAATACCGAAGAGTGTATTGCTAGTGAAGTGATGCAAACCAGGGGGAGTAGTAATCCATTGCAGAAGGATACAGGAGTCATTATTTCTGAAAAAATGTTTTCATACGAAAACGAACTTATTAGATATAGCAAAAATTTGACCAAGGAAAATACAGAGGAAGTTTTCAGAAAGGGAAACTTACTTTTTAACATGAAAGTTATAGAAATGCACTTAAGGCACGATTTCAAAAATATATATTTCCTTTTTCCAAATGATTATAAAAATTTTCTTCAAAAAGTTAGGAATATTCCGTATAATGCTAACAAAAATATGCAAGGAGAAAAGGAAATTTATATTTTAAAGAAATATATGAATATATTAAACTATAAATTTATTACATTTACATATGGTCCTTATGTTCTGCACATATGTGACCCTTTTTACAAAATTTATCTTGAGTGGGAAAATGGATGGAAATTATTCCCAATGTATCAGCAAAATATGGAAAAAAATTTTCGAGAAAATAAGATGAATCACCTCAGAAAAGAAGGGTTTAGTGAAATACTCATTTGTCATGATACTTTTACGAATTGTCAACATGAAGAAGAAAAATTGAAATATCTCATTTCTGTTTTGAAGGATTCCAAGTTTACCAAGTGTAACAACATCACTGGCGCAACTGTGGATATATCCCATCCACTGGAATCCCAAGACTTATACATATAAATTTTTGAAAATCGACAGTCAAACGTGAACAGAAAAATAAAAATAAATTCCATTGAGCACTCTGATGATACATATACATGGGCGATTTTTCTATTAAACGCATTTCTCAGAGGAACATTTTTTTCGAAGTTTGTTCAGTAGCTTTTTTCTTTTTTTTTCTTTACCTGTACCAACTGTGTATGTTCATATCTTTGTTCCTATTGTGCATATCTTACATGTGTAAATGTCTTTACCCCTTTTTTTTTTTTTTTTTTTTTTTTTGTGAATATGTATTTCATGCAGCATGCATCAAAAAATGCACACACATTGTATGATATATTTATAAAAAAGAAGACTCTGCTTTTCAAAGGATGTTGCATTTATAAAATAAGTTAAACTTTATTTGTAATTATTAAATACGTGTGCGTGTGTATAATAAACTAAGTGGTTGGCAAATATATAGAAAGGTCTTTGTATCTATACGTATACATATATACAAGTATACGTGATACACACATAGGCACATGCACGTATAAATGAGCATGCCTTGTGTATGCAGATACATATAGCGGCACTGGTGTGAACTTTTTTCTTGACAGAATAATGTTAATAAAAAAATAAAATAATAACAAAACGAATGAAAATCAAAAACAAATATTTTAGTTAGGTGTACATTAAAAAATTTTTAATCAACTTTTTTGGCATTACCTATTTTAAATATGCCCTTATTAAAAAAAATATATAAATTGTGAATGCATGAAAGAAAACCCTGAGACACAAAAGAGATTTTGTGTGATGTATTGTGTTGTTATGTATACAACCTTTACAACATGCCTTCTTTTTTTTACACATTTCACTGTGGGCGTTGCATATAAAGCATAATATACATGAGCATGTAAAAAATATATAAATATAATAAAAAAAAAAAACGCACACAGGTGCGCACATATGTCCATAAACATAAAACAAATTTGAATTTTAAAAGAAATATGCATATAAATATGAAGAAAAGGTCGTTTTGTTTATATCATAAAAATTGTCATAGGTACATATATAATCGAAGCTTAGTTTATTATATAGATTTATAGCTGCTTTGTTGTAATCTATTACATGTAAATACATGTATAGTGGAAGGGATGCATTTTCATCATTATAATCCATGCGTAATTTTTTTCTGTTAAAATTTTTTACTTGAAAAAATGGCCTGTCTTTTAAATTAAAGGCACAAAAATTATTTAAAAAAAGGTCGAGTATTTTACAACTTAGGTTTGAACAATACAGTGGATTTTTAAATATGGGGAATTTTAAGAGTGGTGGAAAGGGACCTCCTTTTGGGATCTCTAATTTTTTCACTTCGCCACTTTTCGCTTCTCCATTTTGCACTTCTTTTTCTACTAACATTTCTGCATTCTTATTATGAATAATGGCGTACAGGTGGTACAAATAGTCATTCAATATTATCTGCTTATAACACTCTCTCAGTACGCCATTGGAAATACTATAATTTTTAGATTTTTCACTGTTCCATGTATTTTTGTGTTTGTTGGAACGATTAATGTGATCGTTCATTCTGTTCATTTTATGGGTTTTAAATGTTAGAGGGGAATTATCCCCTCTTTTGTCGCTGTTTTTTCTTCCAATGTCATTTTCGTCCAAATGATGGCCATAAAAACAACTTCGTTTAGTAGTATTAATATAGTTGATTTTCGAATTTGGTAGGGGTTCGTTTTTCCTTTCATCTGTTTGGGAATTATCGAACTCATCGTTTCCTCCATCGTTTTTCAGATTTCCCAATTCATCTTCGTTTTTTCTTTGGTTTTCCTTTTCACATATTTTACCACCTTGCCTATTTTGTTTGTCATCTGCTAATTTATTTTCTGTTTCTAAACAGTTTCGTATTTCTCTTACTAATATTTCCCCTTTTCCATTTATACTATATCGATGTTTATAGTCCTTATCAGAAAGCGATTTTTCATCACTTAGGATGGAGTAAAAATCATCTGATGAATTGTCCGTAAGTAATCCATCATCAAATATTTCGTCATGATATTCGTCTCTTAAATTATCAGTGCAAATGCTATAAAATAAATTATTATCAATGTAACAGTAGAATTTATTATTATAGAGAAACATTCTATATATGATGAAATAAAAATAAAATACAGTATATTCAATGAGGTAGGAAGCTAAATTTAATCCTCTAAAATATTCACTTATTCCAACTGTTAATATGTATATACTATTAATTTTTTTTTTAATATATTTTTTTGTCATTTGTTTAATATTTTCATTCATATATATTTCTTCATATAACTTTTTTACAAAGTGTGCATTTTTATTAACATGTTGTGATCTCAAAACTGATAAATCGTTCAGTGCGTTATTTAGATTTATATGTTCCTTTTTTTCCATGTCAAATGGATTGATTGGGGAATCATTTATTTTTTCATCATCCCCATTTATCAATTTTCTGGACGAAGTCTTCATATTTGCATTTTTTCCATTCATATGGAATGTGCAATCACTGTGTAATTCACTTTGGTTCATTTTTTTGGGGTTATTAAATAATGCAGGTGTATTTTTTTCTTTGCTGCTAATATTTCCATTTTTATCTAATGGGATGTAATTCTCCAAAAAATTCATAGACGAATCGTACATATATTTCAGGTAATTCTTTCCCTTTTTGGAATTATCTGATTTTTTTTTGAAATGATTATATATATTAATAAAATCTTTTTCGTTTCTAGCATCCTGGTAATTAATCAAATTTGAAATACTTCCAACTAAATAATCTTTTTTTATTCTTTTTTTATTATAATTATATAAATTTAAAGTTTCTTTGTTTAAATATATTTTATCCCTCAATCTGTTGATCAAAATTTCAGAACTTAAAATTCTATCATTGTTCTCTTCATACTCTATGCTTTTTTCTTTTAGCTGTTTGTATATATCCTGAATATTCCTATTATTATCATATATATGATTAAGGTGGTTACCTGGATAATTATTAAAATGAATGTTACCATTTTGGTTTACACTTTCAGAGTTCTCTATGTCTTTGTTATTTTCGAGGGATGTTGTCGACGTACTATTATTCCTACCGCAATGCCAATTATTCAATTTCACATCATTTTTTGATTTATCTACAGATGGGCAATATTTCTTATTATTTTCTTCCTTTGTGTAACTAATTCTTCTACCACCCTTATCATCATCATCTTCATCACCATCATTGTGTTCTTCCTCATCGTGTTCATCATTAGCGTTATTATCATTTTTATGCACTAAATCATTATCTTTTTCCTTTAAAATATCATTTTTTTTTAAATATTCATCCAAATGAATTCCGTTATAACTACACAAATTATGCCCAACTTTATAGGAAATCCAATTATGGGGAGTACGGATTTTGCAATCTCTATTAGAAATATATTCATTTTCTTTATGATTAATCTTGCTGAATGTTTCTCGTTTTCCTTTACACATGAAGGGTTCGTTTTGTGTACTTTGCGAAAAACAAATCGTGGGGAAACACTTAGCAGATGCATTTGTATAATTGTCTGATTTATTGTGAAATTTGTTTGGAGGTTTGGTTCTATTAATATTTCCTTTGGTAAAGGGGGAAGAATCACCAATATTAGCCGATTGAGTTGTGTCCACAGAATTCGTGTCACTATCCCCAGTTGGGTCATTATTTCTCATATTATTACATTCGTCCATAAATTTGATATAATCTATGAGAATCTCTTTTTCATTCACCTTTTCTAACGTTTTTTTCTGAATCAATTTGGTAACACTGTCACTATTTACATAATCAATAAATGAAAAAGGCAGAAAAGCTCCAATGGAGAATATTTCTTCTTCTTTCCACTTTTTATTTATTTTTTTTTTAACGTCATTATCCGTATCCAAAGAATGATTTGACAAATTGCAATCTTCCGAATTAACTACTTTTTTATTTGAAATGTTGTCCAAATCATCATCGTTACAGTATGAATTTTTATCAGCTTCAATTGATTCCTCGCATTTCTTTCCCTCTATTTCATAATCATTATCATGGCAAGGGGGCATATCACAATCCTTTTTTATCTTATCATCTTCTGTTGAAAAATCAAACAAGTTTAATCCATACATGGAATTCCAATTGCGCGTCCCATCACTTCCTTCATTACTAGAACCATTAACTCCTTCACTGTTACTACCATTCTTATGGATACCTTCACTGGTAGTGCCATTTGGATTCACTTCTTTTGGAGATGCAGTGATACTGCTTCTGTATGCTGCACAATTGTTTCCATACCTTTTGGTTGTCACATTACTTCTTAACGAACGAGAAATTTTTTCACTAATTCTTGTAACTTCATCATCTATTATTTTATTATCGTCAAAATTACAAATACTGAAATAAAAATCAGCTTGATATTTTACAGGAAAGAGTTCTTTATGTAAATCAAATACATCATCTATGTCAGTATCTTTTAAAAAACGAAAATATATTAAATTTAAAATATTTATTTTTTTTAATATTTTATGCAATAAGATTTCTCTATCTTCAGATAAATCTAAAAATAATCGAGAACTTAAAATTTGTTCATGCATATCACTACGTAAAGCAGATGACGTTGAGACAAATCTTTGTTTGTTTTGTTTCTTGAATAATCCTAGAACGTTGTTTACAACTTTTCCATATTGAAATTCCATAAAATTGCTTTTTCTATTTCTGGAATTCATATTTGCATCATTACTGTTCTTACAATTTATAAAATTCAAATTCATCTCCTTATGGGTATTATATCCATCCATATCTATAATAATATCCCCACTTTTTTTTTGTTTCTTTTTTTTTTTTTTTTTTTTTCTCTTCTTTCCTTTTCCTACTTGAACATTTTAATTAGTTAAAACGGTCTTTTCACTATTTCGTTCTTTTTTTTTTTTTTTTTTTTTTTTTTTCTTCCTTAAGTGTACATGCACTAGGAAATGGTGAATACAAATATATGTTGACAATTCTATGCACACATGCACGTATGAGTATAAACGTTAAAGGTGCATCTTAATTTAGTGGTTTCGTTATTAACACATTTATTTTGTGTACAAGCAAACTTTGATTTATTTTTCATTTTTTTTTATTTTTAAAGCTTAATTTATACATCCAATTTATATCCATTACGTTATATTTCAATGTGTTGTGATTTGGGTGTATTGTATTTCGTCCTCTTAAACACCATTACACTATATCTCGCGTGTCATTTTTACATAATTTTTTTGGAAATAAAATTTTGAAATGTACTCTTGAAACATGTTTATACAATATGTTCGCATTCATGTAACACTTTATATGTATGTGTTCATCTGTGTATAATATGTAACTGTAAATCGTTTTTTATTTATACTTGTATTTTTTTATTTACATTTACATTTATGTTTTTTTTTTTTTTTTTTTTTTTTTTTTTTTTGCATAAACTTTAATGTACAAAAGATTTAGACTAATTAAATACATGAATGAGCACTTTTTAATAAGAAATAGTTTTACACGAAAAAAGCGAAAGACACTTGGCTAAAATTGCAAGTTACTCAAAAAAATAAAAAGATAAATTCTAAGAAGGATGATGTAGTTATAAAAAGGTGAATAAACACTTTTAGGTTTATTATGAAAAAAAAAAAAAAATAAATAAATAAATAAAATAGAAACCGCATAATGAATGTGTTTACATGTTTATATTCAAACGCATACGTATTTATATATTATGCACGTTTGTATGAACATGTGCAAATATGCTTCGTTGTATTTATCATAACACCATAATACACCATTAAAAGGCACAAATAGGGGAAAAAATATATCAAGCATATGTGAAAAGGATGGACAGTTTTTTCAAATTGTAAAAAAAAAAAAAAAATGGTATAATAATTTTCTTGCGTTGTCACAGAGGAGAATAGCAGAAAAAATGAAGCACACAAATGTATTTGTACAACAAAAAACAGTTACAAATGTTTTGAAATGTAACCATCTAAAAATTAATGTGACAATAATCTGAGAACATATAACACCATTTCATTGTGAAAAAAGTTAAAATTGCAAATGTGGAAAGTGGTGAAATACAAGATATATCAGAAGTAAAAAAATCAATAAAAGCCAAAATTAAAAAAAATATATAGCAAACATCAAACGTATGAAAAGGTAAAATATTAAAATGTTATACAGGAAATACATTAAATGTTTGGCTCGAAGAAAAAATGCAAAAATTCTTATAAACTACGTTTACTTGTTTTTGATAATTTTTTTTCTTTTTATTTTTTTTGTGCAAAGGGTTAATGTAGTAACTCCAGGTGAGCAAAATCTCAAGGAGTTCATTTAAATTTATATATTTAAAAGAATTGATATGTAAATATAGAAGGCAAAAATAAGAGGTTACTAATCATTATATAATAATAATAATCTGTTTTCACAGAATGGAAGAGGTGATATACTGTTTTTAAGCTAGCATAATAAAAATACAACGCCTCCTTTTTTTTTTTTTTTTTTTTTTGTTACTTTTTAACTCAAATATTTACAGACCCTCTTTCTCCCCTTATGATATTTTATATTACACTTGAGGGTGGTTTGTATTAAAATTATAAGTAGAAAAACATTCAACGGGAAAAAAACACATGCATATTAAATATCTAATGTGCAAAAATGGAGCAATTAAATAGTTATATATAAGTATATATTGTTTCTTTTACCTATTTTTTTCTTTGTTTGTAATGGAGCATTGTATCAAGATTTTAAATAAACCATTTGTACAATTGTTCGTACTTATAGATTCAGCCACATGTTTAGATTTTACTTAGAACTTTAATTACTTTAAAGATTCTATCATTAGGAACTAGTGTGTATTAATTACGTGTTACATTTGAGTTGACTGAATAGGCTTCCCTAAATAGGATCTCTCTATGTGTTTATATGTACAACTATAAGTACATAAGAGCACGTATAGAGATAAGTGTATATATAGATGTGATGTTTCAACAATTCGTTAACAAACCTCATTTTAATATGAGAAATAGGATTAGAGCACTTGGAAGAACTGAACAATGTATATATATATATATATATATATACATACAAATGTTTATACATGCATATTAAATGGGAAGTATTATTTATGTCTTCTATCCCATTTCTCATTAATCTTTTGATGCACAGATATAAAACGGGGTAAATGCTTTTTATTATGCTCCGTTTAAATATGGTATAAATAAATTTCCATAATTATATACACGTGCATAAATAATCCCAAAACAATTTACTTTGGTCGGTATGCTTACACCCTCGTATAAATATTGTACCTTTTAAAGGACTCCCGTAGAGTCATAAATATATGGTTGTGAAAATATGCCCCAATTGGGTTGGTTCACAGATGGGTCAAGAGAACAATTTAGGTCATTGATAGGTGTGACGGCGTGTGCGTGACTGTACATAAGTATATATATATATATATATATATATATATATATATATATATATAGCATGTTTCTGCGAATCGACAAGACCCATGGCCTTACTATTTGCCTAGATACACATTATAATTTCTCCTCTACCCCTGTTAAAATTATTTGCCAATGATATATTTATTGCCATACATTAAAGGAATGTAGGTTTTAAGGGTTTTACATTAGCCTCTAAAAAAAAAAAAAGAAGAAAAAAAGAAAAAAAAAAAAAAAAAAAATCCAAGAAAAGTGTAATAAAGGGCAGGTATACAAGCATATACTCAATGATATCACCTTCCTTCTGTTACTATTTTTTTTTTTTTTTTATTTGGGGAGGGGGATGATAATAGAAAAGAATACACTTAAAAAATAATCATATATATATGTAAAATGGGTGCAAATACGCACTTGAAAGATATGTACACAAATGTTTCCCCTAAATAGGGTGTATGAGAGTGCAAACATATAAATGCGTAGGTGCTTATTATGCAAATGTCACTGTATGTATAGACATGTGACTGTTTTTCTATGTGCGCAGCCTCAAATTGATGTACCTTATTCAATTTCTTTTCTTTTTTTTTTTTTTTTTTTTTTGCTATGTTATGCACTTTAACTACTATAATTCATTATTATACATTTCCATTTTTCCATATGTTTCTTCGAAGCTGTGTTCAGCTTTTACAAATGATTATATTCTTCACGTTCTTTATTGCATGACATGTATATGTAGCTTATGAATTTTTATATGTACACACTTGCAATATGCTCATAATGAGGTATGTTTGTGATAATTCCTTTGTGTGAGAATAGTAATAAATACTTCATTTCTGCGTCATTTTTCCTCCTCTTTCCACTTTTTTAAAAAGTTTAAATAATGGATAATTTTTCCGGGCTCATTTTGATTTAACATCCTTCACTTTCCATTATCTTCAGCTGTGTTTTTATTGGGTAAAGACTCAAAAGTCTTAAATTTATAAATACCATACACATTTAAAGCACATGGGAAAAACAAAAAGGAAAATGCTGTGTATGGTTTGTATAAACTTCTCAGGTCCTTCATCATAGTAAAAAAGGTGTAACATAGGGCTCCCATTTTTTTCTTTTACTCTGTTCAATGCATAAATTTTATCATGCGCATATACTTTTTCATGTCACATTCATATGCAATTATTCGTAAATAGGACACCCTCGTGAAGCATATAAATACATGTATGTTTGTTTTTCTCCAGCAAATGTATATATATATGTATATTTTTATTTATTTAAATAAATATTTACTTCACTAAAAATGGAAAATTGTGCAATATAGCTTATTTTCTCCAATTTTTCTATCCAAAAGAGGGGTATGGTAATATTAACGCATTTGGTGATATTTTTCAACTGTTATCTTCCTCTTCTTCATGTGTAATATATTCGATGTTTCAGCTTGTTTAGTTATAAAATTGGAAAAATAATGAAAAGAAAGGCAGATTAAATTTAGTTGTGTTCAGTAAAAATTAAACATGAATACATAAAAATGGATACGCAGAAAAGAATAACATTAAATTGAAGTGATGCTAAATTAAATTGCATTCATAGTGCAGTATGGAAAAACTCGGAAACATCGCGCAGCACCTTCAACGCTAAGCTTGTGTTTTTTAAGAACTTTGAACGAACACATTTTACCCACCTCATTTATGTTGGAGGTGCAATATTGTGATGTGGAAAAAGCAATGGCAAACATTTAATATAAAAAGGGGTTTAAAAGGTTTTGAGGAAGAAGAAAAAAAAAGAAGCATCAAAAAAATGTGCCAAAAAAGTGCGCCAAAAAAGTGCGCCAAAAAAAATGCGCCAAAAAAAATGCGCCAAAAAAAATGCGCCAAAAAAAATGCGCCAAAAAAATGCGCCAAAAAAATGCACCAAAAAAAAGCACCAAAAAAAAGCATTAAAAAAAATGTTACACTTTTTTCAAAAGTGCTAAAAATTGTTCAAAGATGTTCATTGATCTACACCAGGATAAAACAAAACCAGCCCTACATGATACCAAAGTTTTTGATGTTTTTTTATATCCTTAACTAGCTTGTTTCCCTTATGTAGTATGCGAAAAAATGAATGAAACACCAACCCTTTTTTTGAAATGCTCTTAAATAATACACCACCATTTAAGAAGTGTTTACAATGTGTGCACTTTAATGTTGTCTTTCTTTTTAAACACAAAAAAAAAAACCTCTGCATATCCAAAAGATATACATCCTCCAATGGAATTTTTGAAAAGGCAACAAATGATAAAACTTCATCATTTAAGCACGAAAGGGAAAAATATAAAAAAAATGATGTGCAGAGGGTGAAAAATTTGCAATATTTTAAAAATGCAGAAGATAAGAAAAGTGTACATGAAATTATGGATGAAGATACATATTCTCGCAAAAAAGTGGAGGAAACACAAGGAATCTCATTCAGAGAAATGTTGGTTGAAGACCAAGGTATGTTTGCGGAAAAAAATGAGACTACAAACGGGCACATAACGTACAACTCAAAAGATCAAGTTAACGATGACATATATGAGAACTCGAAACAAATTAACAGCCTAGATGTCGAAGACGAATATCTGGGGGGTGATGACGAACCCCTGAGGGAAGAGGGAACTGAAGAATTTGAAGACGATTTGGATACATTGCTGTTTACAAATAATCTGAACTCCAGCTTAATTGGAAACCTTTGGCACGCCTCTGCCAATAGCGCATATAAGGAATCATGGAAAAAAAATTCAAAAATTACGAACGAAGGAAACAAAAATAAAGAAGGTGATTTACATATTTACCATGATGAGAAGAGAGAGATGAAGCATGTTAATATAAATACCACCGATATGGATGATAAAGGAAAACCAGAATACATAGACGAAAAGGACAAATCATTAGGAGGTAAAAGATATGAACAATACTATAGGTGGACAAATGATGATGTGAAGGAAGATAAAAAGGAAATTAATTACTGGAATCTACACCAACAGAAAGAAATAGAAAATGGGTCAATAAATAACTTCCATTTTGAGAAAAATATGGTGTTTCAAGGGGATAAAATGAATGAAGAATGTGAATATAATAAAAAAAATGACTTGAATTCATTTATCAACGAAATATGTAAGGAAGAACAAAAGGAAGTTGAAAAAATGAAACAGTTTTTTGAAAAAAATGAGAAACATTTAATGAAATTTAGAAATTCAACTTTATGTAAACTAAAAATATCAGAAGAATTACCAAAAAAATTCAAACACTTGAGCAAAGACACAAATGTATTTAATAATGAAAAAAGTAAAGAAGAACATTATAAGAAATTAATTAACGGATTAAATTATGATAATAGTCAAGAAGCTTATTATCGTAAAAAAAAAAAACAGAAAAATGTAAATTATGATCACATCGAAACTTTAAAAATATTAGATATTGATAGTGTACCTTGTGATGTATTAAATCAACTATTTGCTTATAAAATTGTGAAAAATTGTAGTGCTGAATTATGTCTAAAAATTATAAGTAGAATAGGAATGTATAGGGATAAATATTCTCAAGTTTCATATGAAAATATGATTAATTATTTAGGTAAAACGATTAATAGTAACAGTAATGCTGAAATAATCGCTCTATTTTCAAGGTGTTATGAGACAGTGAGTATCCCATTTTTAGTTAATTTTGTAAGAAAATATGCTACATTCTCCAGATCATTTATTGTTAGCATGTATGACAAATATTTTAAAAAAAGACTATTTGATTTTGTGCGATATGAAAATAATATGGGTATCCGAAAAATACCAAACATATTGACACATCCATATCATTTATCTTCATACATTAAACTGTTGGGAGAATGTTCTGCTAAAAAGGATATGTATATACAGTTAAAAATGAGGGGTCATATTCCCCACTCAGGTAATTATAATGACGAAAGAAAAATAAATCAAATTGATTGCTTAACGGGAGAAGTGAATTATCTATCAGGGGAGATGAATTACTTAACGGATGAAACGATTAACAACAAGAACAAAAAGATAACTATAATGGATGATAAAAAGAAATCAAAAAAAAAAAAAAATTATGTCCAAAGACCCAAAATGTATGACGTTATTTTATCAGCAGAGTACACAGGTCTCCCCATTGAGCACTTTATTGAAAAAGAAAAATTCATAAATGTTAATCCAGCACTGGAAAAGGAACTGCAACATAATAATCATAATTTGTTAAATAGTCCAGATAACATCGTATCCAATGGAGAACAAATAGAATGCGAGGAAGAAGTAAAATATATAGAGAATTTACTTATTCCGAAAAATGAAGAAAGACATGATACCATAGCAGACGTTAAACCCACATTTACAAATAATCGTGAATGTGTAGAACAACCCACGTATCAGATTAACAACGAAAATGAAAAAAATGAGGAAAGAAGTGAAAATATAAATTTTACTTTGGAGGAGGATTGCGACATTTACCTGTATAAAGGATTCAACAAATTAAACAAATCATCCCTAAAGTTACAAACAACATTAGTAAAATCGGATGATAATAACACAGATGAATTGGCTCTGTGTTTAAATCAAGGAGAACACTATGAAGAAATAGACAAAGAACAAAGTAATGAAGCCCTGTGGGAATTACCATGGAAAACCAGAAGAAAAAATTCCTTTTTTTTTAAAGGCCGTTTTTTTAAGATCCTTCCTGATAAAGGATGGTTAGAAATTAAGGATATATCAAATCAATACATTAGACCAAAAAGAAAAAGAACAAAACATTTTATCAGAAGAAAGAGAGTTTTACAAAAAAAAATTAAAATTAATTTACTTAAAAAATATATTTTAGAAAAATGAATAAAAAAAAAAAAAAAAAAAAATGTGTATAGTTAAAGGGGGTGGAGAAGGCGTGGGGGTACTTGATATTCTTCACAAATATGAGACGTTTGCGAGGAAAAACCTTTCCCGTTATCCTGAAGGAAAATGGAGTAAAGTGTTTGTTACCATGTATGCGCTTGTATATATGTAATTTTTTGCAGTTTATTTGTCTGTTCTGTGTTACGAGTGCATGAAAAAAAAAGAGAAGTACTTATATATATATATATATATATATATGTGTGTGCATGCTTACACATGCCAACGTGTGTACTTACCTACACAGTTTTGATGCCACGCCATTTTGACATCAGTCTTTTTATCTCAAACATTTCCCCATTTTCCAATTAAGACGCTTTTTCATAACACTACTCTTTTTGAATTTTCTTTTAAAAAACTAACATAACTTTTTTTTTTTTTTTTGTGATTCTTTTAATGATTAATTATAAAAATGTAAAATTTGGTATATCTTTTTTTTTTTTTTCCATAACCGGGTATGCCCCCGTTTAATGAATAAGTACAACGCATTTAGGGCGCATTTTTGTTCTATTGTGGTATTTATTTTTTTTACATAATTATGGTCTACACTTTTTGTTATGATTGTTAAAAAGGTGATAATAGGTCCTAATTGTCCATTATTTTTTCTACAAATAAGCAATTCACATGTTTTTTTTCCCTATCAAGGTGTGATATATGCAACCGTTTCTATAACATTCCTTTTTCCATTACTACACGTGATAAAATAAAAAGTCTAACTCAGCAGGTGCACGCTATTTCGGTATAAATGTCTCCTGGTACATATTTTATGGCAATATAATTTTGTAAAGATAAACAAAATTTCACAAAATTTTCAGTCTTCGTTAATCCTTAACGATTATATTTTCCTTTTTCAGGATTTTCATTTTGAAAAAAAACAGCCGCTGGGGATGTGCAGGAGGTTAGGGAGAGCATCCGTTCTACAAATGCATCGTTATGGTCATCTCTAAATGTTCTAAAACATAATGGCTCTAGGGATGCTTTTCTTAAATAGTTGTCCCAACCTTTCATTAGATTCCCACCATCAACATTACAATTTTTATGATATTCTATTTCAAGTCTTAAAATTTTTTCTTCCAAAGCTTTAATAGAATTTTCTAACTTTTTTTTGCATTTTATTATGTCACGTTTAACTTTATGTTTCATTTTAATTTGAAGAAAGCGTACAAGTAAAAATAACAAGTAAGATAAGGAAACAAAGTGGATACTTTTGCGTACTACATATAGCTGTTATAATTTTTAATCTCCTCACAAAACAATAACTATTTTTTTTTTTTTTCTTAAGGAATTTTATTCACGTATGAAAAGCCTTCGAATTTTAGGCTAAATATATACGAACATTGAATGCACATGTAAATGTGACTTATAATCATTTGTTCATAATAAATTTTATTTGACTTTTTTTTTTTTTTTTTTTTCTCTTATTTCTTTTGAAATATTTAAATAAAATTGTTTAATACTTTCACTAACTCATTGTAAATAAGTTGGATTTTTTTTTTTTTTTTTTTTTTTCTTTTTTTAAATACTTTTGAGTATATAGAAAATGGTTAAAAATATTAGGCGCATTTTTGTTAAATGCTTAAATTTGGAACAGTAAAATTGTGCTTTTTATTCCAAATGATTTACTGTGCTAAGACAAATTATTAAAATTCTTTTCTCTATTTTTAGCCTATCTTCCATATCAACTGAAAAAATTTGGAAACAGATTTCGTTACAGGGGAATACCCATTAACCATGGGGATTCTCCCCACATTTATTTTTTTATATACACATGACGGGTACATGCCAAAAGGAAATGCCTGCGTACATATATGTACATATATTTTAACCTCCACTCTGAGCATAATGCGAGCATATTTTTTTATGATAACTTTTGAGAATAAAATTATCCACCTTGTTTATTTTCTAAGTTTCTTCCTTGGCTTTTAATAATTGCTTAGTTACAAAACCTCTTCTGAATAATTCCCTATCACTTCAGAACATTGGAACATGTAATACACCTCACCACTGACACCAGTTCAGATTTTTATACACAACGTTTTATTTTCAACATACCCAACTTTTCTTAATTGGGGAATGAAAGGAGTAACAAAAATAAAAGAAATTTGCAAAAAAAAATTCATTTCAGTTTAGTAAAAATGGATTTGTTACATAATATGCTTTTCAGAGAACTCGTAAGGGAGATCCCCTGATGTCATTTGCAGTTTGTGCATATGTACCTAATATACATATATATACACATACATCTATATGCATATGTATATATAGGTATTAGTATAAATAATTATGTAAGAAAGTATGCACATCAAATACATTCGACACTTGATGTCTTATACTAGACAAAAAAAAAAAAAAAAAAAAAAACATAAAATAAAAAATAAAGCAAAATAAGGCAAAATGGAGCAAAAACGGGAAAAATAAGAGCAGTAATATTTCTTCTTATTGTTTTTATAAGGGTAGGCCATATATAACTACAGCAGAACCTGTCGTGTTTGGAAGGCGGCAAAATTGCTTGGCTTCTGCTAAAGCTTCTGTCATACTCAACCATGTATATTTTCGGTTCTGATTTATATTAAAAAGGTTCTGATTTAAAGTAATGTTGCAATGGTAATATTTTTGGAAATATTCAGAAAAAAAAATTTTTTTTTTTAAATATGTATATGCATCAAAATCGAGAGTGATGAAATTATCTCCAACGTCTATTAGTAGATCGTCATTATCTCCATCTCTCCAGTATTTACTTCCCCATTTTTCACCTTCGTTGTTCATATCTATTTCTGCATTCTCAAACGCCAGTAACATTTTTGCAAAATTACGAAAGTCAAATGTTGAAACATTTATCATTTGGACACTGCTGTAATTACTGTTGGAGGAAAATAGGGATGAAGAATTTGGTTGTGTCCATTTCCAGAAAAAGTTTTGAGTGAATCCATCAACTTCACCATCAGTGACATTCCATAAATTACCAAAAACAAAAATACATCCACCAACAATGTAGTCATATGGAGTACCCCATACATCCAAATCAAAACCATGGGACGAGAGCAAACCTGAACTACATCCAATTAAGAAAACACATGAGTTTATGCCATCATTTTTGTTAGTACTAAAATGGGAATGGTCATCAGCATCTTCCTCTTCATCTTCTATTTCTGTTTGTGTGTATAAAACGTCATTATCATTACTAGTGCCATGCATACAGGTGTCATTTTCAACACATTTACTCTTCATATCTTTTCCCATAGTACGTTTTTCTTTCTCAAAATAACACGAAGTTTTCCTTCTGTTTTCATTTTGTGTTAAAACATAATTTTCTTTTTTATTCGTCTTCCTCCTACTACATTTCACAGTATTCGTATAATGATTTTTTTCTTTTTCTAAAATTCCTTCTTTTTTTTCTTCGTCATTTTTTGCGTCTTCCAAAAGTGCATTGCTATAACTTAAAATTGCATTTTGAATTATTTCCTTTTTTATGTACTGTTCTCCCCCTTGATGCCCACAATAAAGATACAAATCATCACAGCATAAATGTTTCAATAACGTTTTTTCACATGGTACTTTTCCAAAATAGCCATTCCAATTTTTATACTTATACTTTTCTTTATTTTTAAAATATATGAATGGATATGTTGCATCTTCTGTTCTTTTTAAATCTCCATTTGGATTAATCACAAAAAAAATGTTACTCTTTTTAGGATCTATTAATCTGGAACTTTTCATATAATAAGGAACATATTTTACATATTTAATTTTAGACATTTTTGAATGATGCTCTGGATCCGCTGAATAGCTTCTTCTTTTTCTCTCTTTTTTATCACATTCTACATATGAACTTAAAAAAAATTTTTCTTCATCAAAGTAGGCTTCCGATTCGCTTACACTTTTTTTTTTTTTTTTTTTTTTTAAACAAAAAAGGCTGTATTCATTGTTATTACTATAACTCATAATGTTGTGAATATTCATTGATCTCCTAGCATTCATAAATATTTTTCTCAATTCGTCTTCATCTTGAATTAGTTCTACTGATGAAGCAGATTCTGATGAGGATGGTGGAGGAGAGTGACAAAAAGCAAGGGAATGGTTGGAGGGACATGAAGAACGTGAAAACATATTTTTAACGCTCCTTCGTTTATTAGCAGAATGTAATAATCCCAATTTGCATTTCCCTTCTTTCTTTGATCCATCATACAAAGTCTTTCTTTCACTTTTTCTGTTTACTTTGTCTTTTCCATTAAATTCATCTTCATCGAATAATAAAGAACTTGTACCTTTTTTATTGCTACTATTATTATTGAATGGGTTTAAGAATGATTGCTCAATGGAGGTACTTTTTCGTGAATTTTTTTTATTTCTCACTTTCCCATGAAGTTTCTTTGTAATTTTGCTTTGGTTCTCCTTTTTATTTAAGTTTTCAATTTCTCCAGCTCCAGATTCTCCATTAGTAATTTCACCAATGGAGTTTCTCTTTTCATTATGTCCTTTTGCTTTATTGTTTGAAACGATCAAGCTGTATCTCCCCCTCCCAATTGAATGTGCTATTCGTGAACCATAATTAATATCTACTTCTCCTGAAATATTCATAGTTTCATACTCAGATGGAACTAGTGTTGTCCTCAAATGTGTTCTTCCAGATTTACAAGAATCTATTTTGGATGTTAATTTACGACGATCATAATTTTCAAGGAATGCTTTTACATGACTTAAATTAGGATCGCGTTGATAATTGTCGCTATTATTATCAGCATTCATGGAATCATATGCACGCTGTCCAACATTATAAGACAATTTATTTTCTTTGTTTTCAGAAATGTTTTTATGTTCCCATTTTGCATTATGCATTTGGGAAATAGTGCAATCATTAGTAGTATTTTGCAAAATATGTTCATTTTTTTTCTTATCTTCGAAATTTTGAGAATCTATCAAATTAGTTCTGTTCATTTGAATACTTTTCCTTTGGAACACGCTTTTGCAAAAATCAGTCTTCCAATTTTCCGAACATTCCTGTTTTGTGTGCTCCAACATGCGAATACTATCACGTTTGTTATCATAATTGTTAACTTGGACATTGGTTCCACCTTCATTTTCATCCATTTCATTTTCTTCTACTTCTTTCACTACTTCCTCCTCTTCGTCCATCTCTTGTTGAGCATGATTCGAAAACGGATCTCCCTTTCGCTTCTTCTCTTCCATTTTAATTTTATTCAAAACCCTCTCATATAAATAAGCAGTGACAGTTCTGTGTACCCCTCTCACTAGGTAGGAATCTTTTAAGGGTTCTAGATTTTCAAAGGGAAGTCTATTTAAATTGTTATGTATATAAATAACAACAGGATTTTTTCTTATTCGTTTATTTTCCACGCTTCTCACATACGTATATCTTTCACGATCCATTGCATCCTCTACTATAGTACATTTGATAATATCAGTAACAAAAGAATGAGTGATGATATTGAAGCAGTTAAATATGTCCTTCGGGTGGATATGGTTATTTTCAAATATGTCTATTAATATGTTATACAAATACATTCTTAATTTTAAGAAAGAACATTTTAATACCCCCTTATCACATTTCTTTTTTAGATCCAAATATTTTAAATAAATGCTTTCTTCTCCTTTTTTCTCTTCTTCTTTTCCCTCGTTTTGTTCCTCATCATCTTGTTTCTGCAGATGATTCAAATTTAACGTCCCTGCTACTGTAATTCTTTTTTTATTTTTTTTCTGTTTTATTATAATGTCATTTTCGATTTTATTCTTCGACTGTTCAGTATTATTTCCTTTTAGTGGGCTCAAATAAGAGTACATTGTTGAGCCTACCTTTTTTTCATCTTTTTTTTTCTTTTCTTTTTCATTTATTGAAAGATTTTTTCCATATATATTTAAAACACTGTTTCTTTTTTCACTAACAAGGTTAATAGTCCTTCTTCTTCCTTTTTTCTTTTCATTATATTCGTAATTACTACTACTGTTTTTATCCTTAATGAGTATACTATTCTCATAGCTAGATTCATTCCACCCTTTTGGTATAACAATCTTGTACTGATTGTCGATACTTGAGATGGCTTCTATATTTTCAGATTTTTCTCCTCCTCCTTGTATGTTGCTATATTTTTTATTATGAACACTATAGTTACTATTCTGTATTTCATCCTTTGTATTGTCGTGAGTGTTATACGAAATAGTCATTCTCTTTTTTCCTTCACTTGATAAATTGATATTTGACGAATATATCTGGCTTGCTGTGCTGCTTTTTCTTTTGTATTTTTTATTTTGATCTAAAAGTAAAATAGTTTCAATGTCCTTATTAATGAAAGGTAAATAGGAGGTTACAACATTTTTGTCCATGTTGATCAAATTCTTTGGAACTGTTATATTCTCATGACTATGGTTTGATTGGTTCTTTGATTGTTTATGATTTGTCTTGTGCATAATATTGCTACTGTTTGTGCTACCGATAGAGGTAAGAATGGTTCTTCCCTTGAAGTTTTCCATACTGCTGTTTATCCGGTTTACAGAAATTTCGCATAACCTGAGGTACTTTCTTTTTACATGTGTAATTTGCACATTACAGTTTTTCAAAACGATGGAAAAAACAGTCAAGTTTAGGAGAATGTTAATATAATTAACATCATCCCAATGTTTCAAAGGTAGAAAAAAACCTTCCCATTTGTTAATCCATGATATGATATTTAACATATTTGAGTAATAATATAAAACCACGAATAGATCAAAATTTGTTTGCAAGTAATATTTTTGATTATTAACAAGTGATAATGTATTATATGCACTGTTCATATTATATGTATTGCTTTTTTCCATGGACATAGAGTTATCAATTCCGATACTATTCATAAGTTTGGTATCTTTGTTCAGTTCAATTGTTCTCCTTATATTTAAAGAAATCAAAGGGATAGACATTAATTTATGTATAGAAAATCCGAATACATTAGATATGTCCAAATTTAATATCCTCAAATGTTGTTCTAATGTGTATCTATTGTTCCACCACAAATCTATGAATATTTTTAAATTACTTCTGTTCCGGTCCACATTTTTAGATTCATGTAAAATTTCGCACATTATCTTTATCATATGCTGATACTGCTTTAAAATTTTTTCTAATTTTTTTATATAATTCCATTTTTCTTTAAATGTGAATTTTTCTATATTCAGGTGCACTTTGTCTACATGAAAATAATCGTGCGTTTTTCTGTTAATGCAGTTATTTGCACTTTTGTATAGGCATAAAAAAAAACGTACAAGTTCGATCTCATTTTCAGTTTTGTTTTTATCACCGGATAGAAGTGGTGCGATATAACTGTTTACCATTGTATTCATAGTCTTATCCGTTTTGTTATTTTGAGTGGGTGTTCCTAATGTGTTTTCCAACATACATGTGAAAAATATGTTTCCTAAATATTCGTTACGTAACTCTTCATTTACATTTTTTGCATTTTTCAAATATATCTCATCGTAGATGATTGCTTTATTTTTTTCGTCCTTCATCTCGGCTTCATTTTTTTGAGTGATGGTGTCATCCTTAATTTCTTCCTCTCCCCGTTTGATAGTAGTGCATGTGTCATTTGTTATATATGATGATGGTGATAAAGGTCTCTTGTAGCAATTTAAATGGTTCTTATTTTTTTCATTAATGCAGGAATGGCTCATTAATTTTTTATACTTCGTTGCATTTATTTTCTGTGTGCACCTGAAATAATTATCTACATTTTCACTTAAATATGACATTGTGTTTCTTTCATTCATGTTTAGGTTTTCCCTATGATGTAGCAACTTTTTATATATATCTTCATCCTTTAGCATGTGAAGAAGATTATTCATTTTTTCATAGAAATTGAAACACTTTGTTTCTCCTTCAATGGAGAATATTTGTTTTTTTTCATAACTTTCGGAACAATTTCCTACTTTCTTATCTCTTGATTTATTTTCTTCATTTGAATGTTCCATGTATGATGATTCCTCTTCGCTTATTTTCCCTTCTTTAATAATCCTAATTAATACAAATAGGAAATTTTTGAAACATCGAGAAATGTAAAGATCACATTTGTCATGACTCATCGATACTATAGCGTAATCCCAATAAAAACAAAACTCACTAAAATTCGTTTCACATATATATTCATATTTCCTTATAATGTCTATATTTAAGTCTTCATGGGCATGCTTTCTATAATAATTTTTTTGGCTTATTTCTTGGTCTATGTTATTTTTAATAGTGTAAAATATTAATTCATCTGTGTAGAGATGAAGTAAGGATAGAAGCTTTCTGAAGTAGAACTTAAGAAGATTCACTTGGATCTGCTTTTCAATCTTAGCATTTTCAAGGTTATGATTATCTGTTAAATCATTAGCATTCTCACTACGTTGCAAATTTTTTTTTTCTTCTCCATATGCCTCAATTATCTGCAGTATAATTAAATTATTTTTTATATTCTCTATAAAAAAATAGACAAAGTCTAAGAAAAATTGAGCAACTTTTCTCATTTCATGCACAAATGTTTTCTTGCATGTGTTATAGAGAAGCAACGATAAATATAGTAAAATAGTTTGAAAATAGTAAATGGATGAATTATTTTGATTTCCTCCTTGTATAATAATTTTTATTAAAAATTCATACATTTTGTGCTTACATACATTTCTTAGTTCTTTCGTTTTATAATCTTTCATATTTACTAAAAATTCATAGCACACAGTTAGAACCTCTAAATAACTACAATTTTTTGTTGGGTACAAAAATATTTCTACAAAATTAATGAACAACATTTTGTCAAAATTATTTGTTTTATTAAAATGATCATCCTTTTTATTTATATTCTTTGTTATGTTTGTACAACCGATAGGGTTTGTTTCATCATTGGTGTAATTCTCTGATGTGGAGTTATTCTCGTTCTTCTTACTCTGTGATAGTAAGTCTAAATATTCATCATAATTCTTATTTCCAGGGAAATAGTTGGCACATAACTCACTTATGATTCGATTTGAAAAATTGAAAAAATGAAAAAGTTTCAAGAACAAAAAAAAAAAGATATTACTAGAGCAATCATTAGCTGAGGAGTTAAGAAACTGCTGTTTTTTGATGGTATAAATACAGTCATCACAAAAAATATTTTTTATTTTTAAAAATATTAAATTCATGTAATATAACAATATTTTGATAAAATAGGAATTCATTTTTTTACAGTTCAATATAAATAATCTATTGTTAATATAGTTTTCTATATAAGTTAAATTTATTTCAAAGTCATAATTTAAATATAAATAATTCAGAACTGCAATGTCGTTAATCTTGAATGAATAATGGTTCCTTCTATAATTGTTAGTATATAAATTATTAGCATTGTGGGTGTAATTCTCATTATATTCATTTTCTTTCTCATTTTTACCTTGGTATATCTCCCCTTTTTCCACCTTAAATGATTTATCCTTTTCATTCCATATTGAATTCTCCACGGTTAATAAATTATAGTGGCAACAAGAACATTCATATCTAGCAAAATCAAGACTCGTTATATCACGCATGACGTGTGATGTTATAAGATCCTCAACTGGTTCTTCACTGTCTAGCTCAATATTGAATAAATCTGTGTCTAAGTTACTTAGGATAAATAATTTTTCTAAGAAGAAATTAAAAAATGTTTGCTCCTTTTTTTCATTACATTTGTTAAAACATGTTAAAAAGTCTTTTTCAAAATCTTTTATTTTGTAAGTATTTTCATTTTTGTTCATACAATTCGGAGTCATCTGAATTCCTCGTTCACCTTTTTCTTTCAGAGTATCACTTATAGATTTTTCTTCCCTTAGATTGACGATTCCATTGTCCTTATTATTTATGATAGTGTTTCCTTTGAAATTACCAGCATTCTCATGCAGGGTCGATGAATCCTTGGACTTTTTTGGTCGCACCGTGCTTTTTGAAAAATGGTTTGCTACCTTTTTTGTAAAAATGATTAGGGAGAGTACATATAATATTTCCCTCCTATGTTTCGTGCATAGTATAAACATATGGTCTGGATTTTTCACTAAAAAAATTAAGTACGCCATAAATTGAGTTAATAATTTTCTATACATGTAAATGTGTCTCTTGGTTAAATATGTATTAAGAGGTGTTTTTACATAATCAATGTTCATAAAATCAACATCTTCATATATTTTAAAATCGTTAACGTCTTTTACAGTTTTGTCCTTTCCACTTTTCAGTTCAATGTCTTGATCTAAAATTTTTTTATCATTTAAACTTAATTCGTTGTTTAAATTTTCAAAAAATATTTCCTCTTGGGTTAACAATTCAATTCTTTCCTTTCCACACTTTAAAATGATATTTGTTAAAAGAATGTAGCTGTGAACTATTTCTGGTAAATAAATCAAATCACTTATAAATAAAATGTTCTTTTTTAAATAATAATAACTAAGAAAAAAGTTATTCATTTTATGCATAATCTTTGAAATCTTTTTGTGATATGTATATACAAATTTTAAGTGATAAAGCATGTCTTTGTTCAAAAACATATTACAGAAAAGATTTTCTAAATTCAGAAGAATAGCTTTATTTGTTAGTTTATTATTTTCTTTTCCATCTTCTGATTTTTTTATTTTTGTGAACATATCTATGTAAAACAAGTGTGTAGGATGTTCAAATTTTAGGGAAAAAAAATCTGAAGTTATGTTAAAAAATGAAAAATATTTCGCCATTGTAAATTTCATAAGTGTTACTATGGAAATTATGTACGAATTGGTAAACAACAGCAGGCTAATATATTTCCTTTTTTTCTTATATAAACAATTTATCATATTAAAATATAGGCAAATATTATTCTTAAAAAAATTTTTACTATCGCTTTCATATTTTTTCTCTATGCTCCTTAATTTGGAAACACATTCCTTCAGAGCATGTTTCTCATGACGAAATAGGTAGGAAAATTTTGACAAAAATTGTGCCTCTTCTCTGTCACATCCATCATTCATATTGCTAATTCTGGAACAATCTCTACGTATCCTATTTATAATTACACATTTGTGCCTTTTTTCCATGCCTGAAACCACAACACCGTTAGAACAATCTAAAGCAACAGGGGGTTCACTTGAGGTATTTTTTGAACATTGCACTGTGGCGTTAATTCTTTTCATTTTCTTCATTCTTTCAAATTCCTTCTTGTACCTTTTTGCGCGTACATGAGCTTGAAGCTTCAAGTTTATTAGATCTAAGTGGAAATTATCGAAGAAAAAGTTGGATGTGTATAAATTATCCAGGCAATATTGCTGACAAAATTTCTGAACGTATTCATAAAAATCTACATAATAATTATACAAATTATTAGCACAGTTTAGAAAAATAATATTCTGCATATTTTTATGTATTTTTTCTGAACATAAAAATGAGAGATAAAATATGGAAATACAAACGATTAGCAATTGCACGTAATTATGCAAATTGTTGTATATTTCATTTAGATTATCATCATTCATGTTTGACACTATTTTGTTATAAATTTCATTCAGTATATATCTTCTTCTCGACTTAGCATTTTCTCTCATTATATCATTATCATAATATTTTTCTTTTTGGATTTTCCTCGCCCCGTTCATACTGCTTTGATCAGGTGTGACTTTATTTATGTTTTTCTCTTTTTTATTACACCCCTCTTTTTCTTTCCTGACATTAGTAGATTTATTTTGCTCATTATTCTCATAATAGTCTGTACTTCTACAACCTTGCTGTTCATATTCATACTTCCCGTTAAATATATAAATCAGCCAAAACCTGGATGTAAACATAAGACATAATATCAAAATTTTTAGGCAATAGTGATACATTTTGTAGAAAAAGGATATTTTGTATATTTCGCTGAAGTATGCAATAATTTTTATATCAGTAAATGTTATAATCATGTCAGCAAATTTGGGATTTTCAAATATATTACTGTGGTATATTTCATATATGTTATTCAGAATTTCAAAAATGAGATATGTGTTCTTCATCAAATCCTTTTCTGTATACATTTGGAAAGGGTAGTTGTAAAAAAATTCGTTCTTGTTCTTAGTCACATCTTCGATAAGTGGAACATTCACATGGCTACAAAAGCTGCTACATATTTTGCTATTGAATTTATCGAATTTGTTTTGAAAAGCACATATAATATAATGAAAGGATAATTTATTCCTATCTATATCATACTCATTGAAGTGAAAGTATAGAACAATATAGTAAAGATATACCAAATAATTATCCATATACTTGATCATTTTAACATATTTATCTTTTAAGTTCGTTAAATAATTTCTGTTAACAGTCAATGAACTGGTGAAGGCGCTTTTTTTTCTTCCTTTTCCCAAACCGCTTTTTTCAAAATTGAGTGGATGAAATAATTTCAATCTGAAGTTATAAATGTTGCAAAAGATGTACGATATATGTTCGTTTCCTCTGTACCTTTTTTTCCCTTGTGTGTCAACTCCTGTGATTTTTACCACATTAATGTCATTTTTTTCAGTTTTGTTAAAATTAAAGGAACTATTGTAATACTGTTGGGATGCTGTGTCTTCCTTTGGATATTCGGCACATATGGAAAAAAAAGACGACATAGAATGATCAATTAGTTGAACATAGCTGCTGCAGATTTTTTCTTTCAAAATGCCGTTCATGTGAAAAACGGAGAGTATGTCATCATAATGTCTAGAAAGTTTTTTTTCTTCCATCTTTTCTTCAGTAGTAATGTTTTTCTTGCTCTTAAAATGGTTTTGGTTACACGTCAAAACGAACATGTGGTAATATAACTTGTATAAATAGTACAAATTATTTAGATAAGAAAACCTTTTTAATACACTTACATTCTTATATATATAATTATAAAAAATTTCAATTTTTATTACATAATAACAATTTTTTAACGCATTTCTATATAAATAATCGACGTCCATTCCTTCTATCTTTTCTAAAATAAATTCTAAAAATATATAATCTACGTTATTCGTGTAATTTGTATACTCTATTAAGGTAAAACTAGATTGGGATAAACTTGATGTACTGGAGTTGCTTTTACAACTCTCTTCGGAATTTTGATCAATAAAATCATTTAATTTTTTTGTCTTCGTCTGTGATGCCTGATGTTGTAAAGTGTTAGGTCCTTCTTCTTCTTCGGGTTCTCTCCAGTGGTCATATTCTAGTCCCTTCTTCTCTGCATTTATGAACTCAACGAGATCAAAAAAATCTCTGTTATTTTTAAAGCATTCTAAATAGAGGTTAGTAATGTTTTCTTTTAAAATCATTTCATACTTTTGCGAACACACATTTTTAAAGAAAACAAAAAAACAACATGATCTACAAAAAATAAAATTAAGTTGTATATATGTAACTAGCAATTCGTCAATGTCCATCATAATAACTTTTTTATTCTTGTTTTGGGTTTTTCTTTTCTCTGTATTGTTTAATTTATGTGGAGATAATCTATCATTTTGCATATTTATGAAACAATTTTCAATCTGACAAATGCCACTTTTTAATTTATTTACTACGTCATCATCTCCATGGTTAGAGTTTGTAATTTTTTGAAAATTGAAAATATTAAAATATTCTAAATGATTTGAGGTACTCACCAAATTCAAAATATCAATACATAATTTGTTAAAAAAAAAACAGAAGAATTGAAAAAAAAAAATAAATTTTTTTGTGACGTATTTAGACATGTGTTCATAAAATATTAAGAAAAGCAATATGTTTATATGTACTAATAACAAATTGTCTATCATTTTCATTTTTTTGTTCCTTCCTATGTTCATGTTGACACATGTAAAATAAAAATAATTCTTCCATTCTTCGTTACTAAAAAAGTTGTTATAAATTTTGTTATAACCTAATTTTAACATATCATCATTGTTATAACTATTTTTATAGTACAATAATTTTTTTTTAATTTTTTTGCTTAAATAAAAGACCTTAGATTTAGTATATAAATTAAAAATATGTCTAATAACAGCACAATTTTGAGTATTAATCTTTATATTATTAAAATATACTTGTTGGTAGTAATTGTAAATATGCGAGATGGACGACCGTAAGTACTCTTTGGTGTTATAATCACATTTGTGTACAATATTATTGAAAACATTTTCAACAATTATTATTACTTTTTTATAACCCTTCTTTTCAAAATAGTGAAAAACTTCTAAATCGACAATAATAAATAGCAAATAAATGTGTGGTATGTAATAATTACTCAAATATGTTTTTCGAAAATTGTTCTTGTCCTTATTTTCCTCATTTTGTGTGTTGTCATAATTATGCTTCGGAGTCACATTAGCATTTTCATCTGCAAATTCATTTTCCCCCAAATCATATTTTATCCTTTTGTCTATTTTATCTTCCATGTGCTTATTATCCTGAAAAATACACTTTTTTGTTGTAGATTGTGAACAATTATTACTTTTCCCAAAACAGTCCAAAGTTAAGAAATGTTCATCAATATTCGTTTTTCTTTTCTTCCTATTTGTGTTATTTAAAAATACAGGAATTAAACCTCCTATACTTACTCTCTTTTTTTTATTTATACTTTGTAAATCGTTATTAATGTTTTCAACGTAGTCTGATGGGTTAATATAGACAGAATCATCATGGATATTATCCAATTTGTGTACACTACCTTGACTTTTTTCACATAACTCACTCTCGGGCTTATTTAAAAATTTGAGAGGACTTATAGAATTCATGTATACATTTTCACTATTAAATTTCTGTTCCTCCTCTTTTTTCACATTTTCATAATTATCATTAATCAAAAATTCGTAAAAATCATATAGTTTTATTGTTGTGTCTATATTTATTGGGTTAAATGGTAGGCTAATAAATTTTGTATAAATATATTTTAAAATATTCAGTAGGAATAAAAATCCTTTATCTTTTTTTATAAACTTTATTATTTTAATTGTTGTATTGTAAAATAACTCAAAAAAAGTGTACTTCATTTTATTTAAAACTTCTGCTGGTATTTCCAAGAACATTTCCCACACTGATACAATATTTATGACAACCATAAAGATGTTGAGATATACAGTTTCTATAAATTCATCTTGATCTGAAAGGAAAAGGAGACTCTCTTTTTTGCTATCATGATCTTTTAGAATGTTATAAATTTCTTCACGGCATAGTTGTGTTTGCACTGACGGGGTGATGGCAGAAGTAATGGTGGAAGATATTGCATTAGTTGAAGAAGAATAATTACGAAAATTTCCATCTGTATTATTCTTATTTAATAGATTAGAAGAAAAATGGAATACATTTTTAAGCTTTCTTAACTTTTCAATATCTTGGTCTAATATAAAACTGATATATTTATCGAAAATGTTGTAAGACATTATTATCAAATTCAAGTCATATATCTGTTTCAACATATCATCATAATTTAGTTTAACACAGATGTATGAGAAAAAACTTGCACTCAGAAGGCATACTCGTAAAAAATTAACAAATATATTTTTACACACATAAATATTAAAGTTAGCTACAAAATCTTGATTAGTTTTAAAATGAGTAAGCATACTGTCTGTAATTAGTATGCACCTTTTAATGGATAAAACAATACTATGACATACACTTTTAAAATCTATGTTTGTTATGTTCAACTTCTTCTTACTGATTCGAAGGATAGAATTTTCAAATATTGGCATGTCTTTTTTTTCTCTCTTCCCATTTGATGTGCTCAGTTTTTGACGCTTTATTCCTCCTGAAGATTCTCTCTTACTGTAGATTCTTAACCCCTTTGGGGGGGTGTAACTGGGTTCACTTTCTTCGTAATCTGCTTCGTCATAATATGTTTGATCATCATCTGATTGATCATCATCTGATTGATCATCATCTGATTGATCATCATCTGATTGATCATCATCTGATTGATCTTCATCTGATTGATCTTCATCTGATGAGTCTTCATCTGATTGTCCTTCATCTGATGGGTCTTCATATGATTGGTCTTCATCTAATTGTTCTTCATCGGATTGCACCCCATCCGATTGCCCTTCATTCGATTGTATGTTGTCTATCTGTTCATGGCCTCTCCCCTTTTGACATATTTTATCATGACCTTCCAAAGCCATGATATAATCTACCCCAACTTGATTTCTTCCAAACTCGTACATACTTTTTCTTTTGATTTGTGAATTAAAAGATTTTCCTTGAATAGCATCAATGGCATGTGCATCGTAATGCCTACGATGTAAATTAATACCCATGATGCTTTTTCTTGTCGATACTTTTTTTAGTCCAGTTTGATCAATTTCATTTTTCAAAATAATGTACTTCAAAGGGGAATGATATGGCTTCATTAGCTTTATTAATTTTTTACTTTTATAATTTTTTTTTTCCTTTAAATTAGAGATATATTTTTTTAAAACTAAATCATAATGATTTTCGTTATAATCAATATTTAATAAATGAGAAAAAAAGGAGACAAAATTTTCATTGTTCTTGTTAATGGTATAAATGTATTTTCTAAATATATTCTTATCATTTTCAAGCAACATTTTGATAATATCTAAATTGGAATAAAACATATTCATTTTATTTATTTTGATAATAATACAAGAATATATGTCATAACTATTTGCATATTGGTTGGCGTAGTTATCCGTGTCTAAATGGAACTTTGTCCTGCTACTAGAATGAGACAACCTTTTCTTTGTAATCCCTTCAACAAATTCGTCTATGGTTAGGATGATGTATAAGCATTCTTGAATTTTTTGGTATATTTTTTCCAGTGTTATAAATTCATATTTTAACTTATTCTGACACCCACTGTTAATTTTGGAACTACGACTGCTATTATTATTGGCATACACTTTTTTCCTTTTCTGCATATCTAATTCTGAACTTTTTTGCATGTAAACCCTTTTGAAGTATTTATAAATATAAGTAATTATTGCAATTAGGGTTAGGTTATTATAGTTGTTTTGCAAAATATACTTCTTTATGCTGTTATTTATGTTGCATATCAATTTTGACAGAAGATAAAATATATAAGAAATGGCCTTAAAAAGGACTTCCTCATTTAATGTTCTTGAATTCACTAAATTGTTGATGTAGGAATGACTAAATTTTAGCACCTCTTTTAAATATATTTGTGAAATGAAGGGAAAGGAATGTTCTTTTTTATTTTCCAAACGAGTTGACCATTCTCTATTTTTTAATAAAATTTTTTCTTCAAATAAAAAAAAACTTAAAGTATACTTTAAAATTTTTAAGGTATAATTCACATTTTTGGTGTCTATGGCATATATTTTCTTTAATTCATCAAAAAAGGTATTCCATAATATTTTTTTATTATTCATATTATTATTTGAAAAAATGCATTCATTATTTGTGAACTTTTTCTTCATTTTAGTGTTGGCTTGTTCTTGTAATATGTAAGGTGTAGAACAACTGGAATTAATTGTCACAATTTTTGTTTCTTTTTTTGTACTACCTATTTCACTGTTCGCTTCTGCTATTTGGACATAGTAAAGGATTTCAAAAAAATGAAAATGTGAAAATAAAGATTCCATGTTAAGTGAACTTAGGAAGGGAAAAAATGCGCTAAAGTCGTAAACGCTTATTTTAAATAAATTTTTCATAAAGTTTAAAAATATATTATATGTGTTATTAATTGAAAACATACATAAACTTAAAAAGGTGGAATGTATGTTTTTGAAATTTTGACATTTCGTTATGAACACAAATGATTTTTCTTCCTTTGTAGGATTTAACTTCCTTTTATCTATATTGTGTATATCATATTTGCTTTCTCCAATGGGCAAGTTTTCCCCTTCAGAATAACTTACCCAAAGATAGTTATATAAATTCTGACTATTCGTAATTGTATATACATATTCCTCCTCATTTGACGATAAAACATTCTTCTCTTCCTTTCTCTTTTGTATAGATTCATTCTGGAAAAAGACAAAATCATTTTCTTTTGAAATCGTTTTAATAAAATAGATATTTTCGTTGATAATTATTTTATTCAATTCTGATATCACATTTTTTGTATGAAAACCTACTTCTTTTTCACTTAGATTTTTCACTATAAAGGTAATTTTTTTTTTTTTTTTTTTGTCTTTCATATAAAAATAAATCAATATAATGTACATGTTCATAAAAAAGGAACACCTAACAAGACTTAAATTAAACAGCAAATCAACGAACTTATAATAGTAGTAGAATATTAAAACTCGTTTGTCATCATTTGAAAGAAAAATCCACATATATGTAATATACCTCAGAATAAGAAATAAAAAATCTAAATATCTTATATTATTAGATATGGATATTTTATTAAGCAAAGATTCGAACATATAAAATAGGTATTTATGTACATTCTTGTCTTTATATGTTTCTACTAGTTCGTCCAATGTTAGAACTTCCAAGTCACTCTCCTTACTAAATAATTCAAAAAAATTTTTATACACCTTTTCATTCTTAATTTTTTCACTTGTCTTATCATTTCCATTCTTATCCACACTTTTATATTCTGCATCTATGTTTCTCAAAACGTCGCACACTATCTTGTCAAGCTTCTTATACATGTCAGACTCTTTTTTTATCATTTTTTCTTTTGCATATAACAGCTTTCGTTTCTGTCTCTTTTCGATCGATTTCTAATCCACTTTGTTTTTTTTGATCGACTACTGAGTTTGATCAGTTTAATCAATTTAATCAGCTTGTTTAACGTTTTTTTTTCCTTTTTTATTTTACCCTTTTTGCATTAATCTATTTTAGATCCTAATTTTTTGTTGACCATTTTTCCCTAAGCGAATGCTTAAAAATTATATACGAAGAAAAAAAAAAAAAAAAAAAAAAAACCGAGTAACATCGACTTTTTTTGACATTAGGAATAATTACAGCTCTATAAAGTGAACCCGGCGTAAAGAACCCTCTCAATGTGTTCCAAAGTTTTCCTTCATATATCCATTTCTTAATTGATTAGCTATTTTGTTTTTTCCGTTTTTACTATGTTTATTTTATTTTATTATATTTTATTTTTTATTTCTTTTGTCTTATTTCTAGTTTTAGGGAAACACAAATCATTGAGCTGGGAAATGCAAGAAAAACAGAATAAGCTAGATGCATAAAATAAGCTAATAATATGTCACATTTAAAAAAATGCAAGGGATGTCGTCCCATGGATAAATATTTGAGCTCATTGTAGTAAAATTAAAAATAACATTGACTCTACAGTATTGTATATTAATAATGTTTATCCTATTTTTTGGGATCTCCTCACAAAAAGATTTTTCAGTGTTTTTTGCATATTTCCTTTATCACATCTTGTAAAGAAAAAAAAAAAAAAAAAAAAAAAAAAGGTAATGAAATAATATGTTAAGTGTCCGCATATGTGTAATTTTTTCAAAATTCTATGTAATTCCATTAATCTTACACACATAGTATATACATATGTATGCACATTTTATGTACACAAGGTTTGAAGTTCTTAAAAATTTCTTACCTTTGTGTGCCCCTTTTTATAATTCCTTTTGTCATACATTTTTCATCAATTGCCTCATGCAAAAGATGAAAAAATATTTCTGTTATTTTCCTCTAAATGATGACATATGCATAAAATTATGCATGAAGTTAAAAATAAAATAAAGAGATAATCAACGTAGTAGCAAAAATTAACAAAAAAAAAGGAAAAAAAAAAAAAATTTAAATATAATCCGATGTGCTACACAAAATCACAGTCTCATAAATTAAAATTTTATTTTATATTAACTTATAGCACACTTAGCGAGCAATGTGACTCATTTCCTAAATTGCTATAACTGGGGCTGTATGGGTTGATTCATCTTAACACATTCCTGCTTATCCTATTAAAGCATAGGAGAACGGTTGCGTAAAGGTCTATTATTTGGGTAATTAAAATATACACAAATTAGTTCATTATTAAAGCCGTTTGAGAATAATTTACACCTTAAAAGGCGTAAACATTTTTACGAGAAAATTTTTAACTTACACACACTGTGATTTATAATTCATTTTTTTTTAAGTAATAAATAAGATATAGAAGTATATTATCTTATCACAAAAGAGGTTCATAAATGGAACAAAAGCATAAGGAAATTTAAAACATAAAATTTGTTTAAATTAGGAGCAAAAAAAAAAAAGAAGTAAAAAACACGTTAAGAGAAAATTGTTTGTCGCTTTATGAATTTACCAAAAAAAAAAAAAAAAAATGAAAAAAACTTATGTTAACCTTGGATTATTTCTTTTTTATTCTTTTTAAATTAACCATGTATGCAAAAAATGAGAGTTTATATAAAATGATCTTTTGTATTTTTGTCACATTTAAATATTGAACAAAGTGAAACAAAATAAAACATGTTAAAAGTAGCACTTAATGGCATTTTTTTTTTTTTTTTTTCTCCAAAGTAATATGGAGAAAATATAAAAACATGAGTATGTATTGTTGTATGTGATAAAATACGAAAGGAATAATACACAAAAAAAATTTCTGTTTATGATAACACTCTTTATTTGTATGCATATTCACGTCCTTCTTTCCTTACACAAGCATGCACATATATAAAGCAATGTGTATACATTGCACTTTGAATTAAGGTTCACACCACATCAGACAAATTTACTCCATGTGTTCCTTGTGTCAATTTTAACGTAAGACAACTGTCAAATGGGGGATTAATATTTATCTAGTTGCTAAATTAATACAAATATTTATTTTTATCATCCAGTAAAAGTTGGGTAGATCTTTTTGTGTCAAAAAATATGGAAGAAACAATTTCCACAATGCTTTTATTTATCTTTTTTTTTCCTTTTCTTTTGGATAATATTTTCGCAGGTGTTAAAAGTTGAATTGCGTATCTGAGGGAGCACTGAATACCTGTAATTAGGAGAAAAAAAAAAAAGACAAACAGTTGGTATTAATGCACTTTTGCTGAAAAAATAAAAAAATAAATAGAATCAAACAGAATACATTTTCCTAATTTATCTTATTACAAATTCGTTTTATTTACCTATATCGGCTAAGTAATTTAAGGCTTCACTTTCAATTTTTATTTTCTCAAATTTGCACCTCAGTTTTAGAACCTTAGGGTTCAGGTGATAAAAAAAAAAAAAAAGGTGAAAACAGTGGACGTTGTCATAAAAATGAGCAAAAGGGAGAAAGCTGTTTTGTAAAGAGGGACTTGTTTTTTAGGATGCATATTCTTCGATGGTTTAACAAACACGTGTATGTGCATATATATATTCTTGCATAGATACGTCCAAGCGCGTTTACACATGTGCATGATTATACCTGCAATATTTCTTCCTTATTGTATAACATAGTCTTAACGATTATTATTCTGTCTAGCAAGTCAACAGGGATTCCATGGGCAGATATTATGTTTGTCCCTAAGAGGAATTACCATCGATGCGTGTTTTGTGTATGTGTATATGCATATTAGTACATAAAATTGCATATATATGTAATGGATTTGGAGTTTACATACATATATACATACTAGCATATATTTCTATATATTGCCGTATGGCTATATATTCGGTAAGAAAATAAAAAGGACACCTTTTATATTGCATATTCCCCTGTTTGTTGCCAAAATAACTATCGGGGCCAGGTTAGATTCTAACGTACGATTTAAGTATGTGAAACATTCAATGTCTAGCATATGAACCTGAAAAGAAATAAAATGAAGAAATGATAATAAAATTGGTATTAACCTTCTGATGAGGAAACTTTTTTTTTTTTTTTTTTTTTTTTTTTTTTTTTATTTATTTTTTTTCTTGCTCTGTATTACACAAAAAGTAAATTATGAAGAATTGTTTCCAATAATATATATGTGTGTTCTTTCTTTAGTACGTATTAGGTTTTTATTTATTTATTTTTTATTTATTTTTTTTTCTTTTTGTGAATAATTTTAAACCTCGTCAATAAATAGGACTCCCGGAATAATTTGTGCTATCCCCTGATCGACGTATTTATAAACAATTTTGTTAATTTCATTTCTTAATTTATCTGTAATTTCTGTTTTTTTAGATTTGGAGTTTTGTAAAAAATTAAGAATATTGTCCTTTGGTTGAACATTGGATATATCTAAATCGTAAAGGGTAACATTTTGAATAATATTTTTTTTTTTATGCACATTTCCTTTTGGTAAGTCAACAAATGTGTCGGTTTCAATGTCAAACATATCTTTATATAAAGTACATTTGCCTACCCTTTTGACTAATCCACTATGTGATTCGATGTATATGATATCCTTTTCTTGAATTTTTTCTTTCAAAATATTTTCATAAATAGAAGAATGTATTTTAATTTTTTTTTGTTCTTTTAAGGTCTTCAAAGTAATATGAACATAAGAAATATGTTTTTCATCATATGTGTCATCATAAAATGGCTCTAATTTTATAACTTCACCTTCAAATACTTCCTTAACTTCTTTTATTTTTACCCCGATACTTTTTCTTATATATTGAGTTAATATTTCTGTTTTTTTCACTTCACAGGAATATACCTGCGAGGCATTAAAAATGCAAAATGGAATAGAATCTTCGCTAATTTCTTTACTTATAGCAATTGCTATAGCAGTTTTCCCGCTTCCACTGGGACCAGCCAATAGTAAACATTTGCATATGTTTTTTTCCTTAATTAAATTGATAAAAATTCCAGCAGCTTCTCTAGCTTTCTTTTGTCCAATCATTCCTTTACAGTTATAAAAATTTCGGAAGACTTCATCATCACTTTCTTCATCATGCTTAAGGCATCCATCATTTTTATCGCCATATCCATTACTTATATTTTGCTGTATCTCATGCCCTATCAATTCATCACATAAGACTTCATCATGATTTATATATCCATTCTGCTGTCCATTCATATCTATATTGTTATTTTTCTTTTTCTTCTGTTCAAAATTCAATTCATGCACAAATCCATCTGCATCTAATCCTAAGCCGCTAATATGGCTATGTAGGCTTATCCTCTCCCGTTCCTTATTCGATTCGATGATGTTCATTTTGAAAAGAAGCAAAAAACGCACATATATAGGTTGCACTTTGTGTATAATAATAGGAAATTGATGTAGAATGAAAAAACGTGATACTACGTTACCAGCGTAAAGTGGAATACACAATTTCATGTGCACACACAGAAAAATAATTTCAAATGTGGTGAAAATATCTATATATGCAAGAACTAGAAAAAAAAAAAAAAAAAAAAAATGAAAAAAAAAAATCCCTTTTAAAATTTATTCAGTATAGCATAATTTTACCTATATTATGTTTTACTTTTTCCGTGTAACATGAAATTATAAGAGTACACGTATTCTTTATTCTGATAAATTTATACTTATGACAAAATTTAATACATATATATTAAAGTCTTGTACTTTCCCCATATCCCACAAAAAAAAAAAAAAAAAAACAAACAAACAAACGAACGAACAAACAAATTGTAGAAAAAAAAATTAGGAAATTTAATTTATGAAATCAATATTTTTAGCACTTGTTTACTCACTGCTTATTGATAAGTTCATCCATGGAAGTTAATTTTACTTTAATTTTTTTCCTTTTGTAGTATTGAAAGAATACATATTGGCTATTTCTACTTTTTCAAATAACGATTTTTCATGTCTTTTCATTGTTGATATATCCACAAAAACAGTGAAACGTACATGTGAATATACAAACGTAATAGTTTAAATGCATTAACTTCAGCTTGAAGAGAATAAGTTAATATGATTACATGTGTATACATAAGTGTGTATATCAATAGGCACAAAAATAGCTACTTAATTATAAATGTGTGACAAGGAGAATACAACAAAAATGAGAACGTAAAATGTTATAAAAAAACTGCAAATAAAAATAAATTTTTGGATGCTTCTACGTATACTAATGTATATATATGTATATTTATTTATTCATTTTAGATGTCGAGGAAAAATGACATCCTAGGTAGGGATGGTGAAAATAGCTATAATTATCTTGGAAAGACGTTTGGCTTGGTGAATAGGATTCTCCAAAAGTATATCATATGATGTTGAACAATTGGCTAGAGCACACACATACAGCTACGGCTGAATGTATGCATGCATAAGAATTAATTCCGTTTTAATATTATATAGTATTAAAATATCTTCTTTGCATTCCTCCTACAAAATGTCCCTAATACAAAGTTTTTTCTTATCCCTTCTTCTAGCGTTATCAATATATTTCAAAACTGAACATAAGAAATTAAAAGTAAATTACATATATATGAAAGGTAGATATTACGATAAGATTCATTTTTATTTTTTGCGTTTTTTTTTTATTTACTCCTTACTATGTAATAGTCTTATATCCTTTGAAAAAAAATTTAGAGCAACGATGCTCAAATTTTTGCTTAAAATAAGATAATTTAAATTTCTCCTAAAAAAATTTTTTTTTCAAGTTTTTAAATGAAGCATTGATGCAATTTCTTTGTAATAATATGAGGATTATTACATTAATGTTTTCATATATTAATACATACGAATACTCTTAAGTACTCACATTCACGTACACACGGTGTGCGTATGAATATAAGTAGATAGGCATAAATGTGCATATATAATTCCCTTCCCATCACTCACACAGGTGTAACATAATTTCGTTTAATGTGAGATTGAGTAGGATTATGTGAACCTATTTACTCATATGCTTTTGCCACATACCTTTTAGGAGAACAGAAGTGAAGTATAATATATGATTTTATTAAATTCTCAAAGTACACGTAATTCAAAAGAGAGCTTAAATTTGTTATCACATTTTTTGTTATTCCACCAGAATCCATTTTCTCAAAATTGTAATTTAACAAATAAAAAGGTACGTATTTGTGTTGTTCTTCATAAATTTTAGAAAAAATATAATTTCTCAATTTTTGTTTTTTTAAGCTAAAAAAAAGAGCCAATTCACTGAAAGTTATATATTCTTCGTACCTAAAAAAATTTTCATGTGCCATATCAAGGAACATGGAAAATGGGAAATATAGGGGAATTGAAATTTCTTGTATAAATACACTTGTGCTCATTTTTTTTTTCTATATTTCTGTTTTATTTCCATATTTTAAGAATGGAATAAATGTTACACAATCTGCATTTTCGATTTGTACTCTCCTCCATAAACACAATCATATTATCATTACAAACACATAATTTTATATTATTGTTATGCCAGAGGCACAATATTTATGCTGCTTGTTATCCTCTTGTTAATTGTAATGATAATAGTGTGTAAATAACGGGCATACCCATTTCGAACTCAATATACTTATGCATACATATTTCATGGGTACGAATTCTATAAGATAATATGAATGCAATGAGTGTATATAATTTGGGTTCAATGGGTGAACATAATTTTAGTTCAATGGTTGTGTATAATTCGAGCAGAACGAGTATATGTAATTACATATTTTCTTACTTCTTAACCGTTAGAGCGAGTAATGAAAGAATGTAATATACGTCAGGGTGATAATGATATAAGTTATATGCCTTTATGAGAGAGGTGTAACACTTGATGGGAAGATCATTTACTAAGTAATAATATGATAATAATATATATGAATATATATTATTGAAAAATAACTTATTAAAATTTTTACAAAGGGAAATAATTTGATGCGCTTTTTGTGTTAATTGTAATTCATATATTAAATTAAACAAGGAATAAAAATACAAGTCAGAAAAAATGTTCTCGTATGAATCCACAATGTATTTATATATTTGAATAGATCGTTCAATCTGCTTAAAATGTAGCAATAATGCTGCGTTACAGAATAAAAAATAAATAGTTTGGTTATTTTTTTTTAATTCTTGCGCTAATTTTTTTATGCAGCTAATTTTATTTAATAAATATGCAGAATTTACAAAGAAAGTTATTACAGATGAATCATACATATGGTATGTCAATAATAGCTTGCTTAAACTATAAGACATTGTGAAATTTTTTTCATAAAAACTTCTTTTAATATTGATTAATATATATAATTTGGAATATAAGAAGAATTTTGGAAAATAGCTTGAAAATTTATTATGTGCAATATATACATAAGCGTCATATAATGTGACTTTGTTATGTGAAGAATTGTATAGTGTAATTTTTTTATAAATGTTCACATTTGTGTTGTCTCTATCGTTGTATAAGTTATTCCCACATGAATAATTTAAATCTGATGGATGATCAAAATATTTCCCTTTTTTCCACTCCTCTTTGTGTTCTCTCTCCTCGCCCCATTCGCGCCTATCACCCCATTGACGTTCATTGGTGTTTTTGCTAATATGATTAACATGGCAAATTTGGTTAATTCGATTAATGTGGAGTTCTTCATTTTGATACTCTTTCTTCTTCTTAAAATTTATTTCCATATTTTTGTTGTCACTTTTTGTGTTATGCACTTCTTCAATGTTTTCATCCATCATATTGCAGCACAAGCAGCTTGAACCATTGAGACCACATTTATTATGGATAATTTTCCTTATAATTGTTTTCCCTCCTTTTGTTACACTTTTTCTGACATTCTTTTTTTTGCACCTTGTGACCTTTTCAATAAGAAAAAGAAAATTGTCGAGAGTTTTTTTACATTGAAATTGGTAATTCACTGAATATAGAATAAATATAAAAAAATATTTTATCCATGAAATATTTTTATGATATTTAGCTAGTAAAATTAAATGAATTTCATCTTTTAAACATAATATGGAAAAGCTGAAAAGTTTCCTGATTATTTGGGGATATAAGGGGCATTTCAAAAATAACAGCATAGAATATTTCAAGGCACAATTATATAACCCCTTTAATTCGTATACTTGAATAACTGTTTGTGTTAAATAATGACCATTTTTATTTAACAAGCATTTTTTATTTATTTTTTTTATAAAATTTATGCACTTGTTTAAGCAAACCTGATTATTCATTTTAATTAATGATAAAATTTTTATAAATGCTATATAACATATGCAATACATTTTTTTACTAATTTTCCCTTTACACATTTTTTTCCTTGCTCTGATGCTATTAATAGAACCAGTGATATCATATATATGTTTACTTTTATATTTATAATGTAATTTTGTTTTACACATACTATTTATATTTTTGCTTACTTTATTTTTTAATTTGTGCACTACGCTAAGTTCAGTGCAGTAAAAATCATTGAATGTTTCATTGTTTTTTACCCTGTTAAACAATGATGGACTATATTGGTCGTTTTCATTAAATCCCATACACTTGTTATTAATACCAGGATAGAATTTAGTGTAATTTTTATCACAAAAAGAATTCATTCTTATCATTTCCTTTTTTCCCTTTTTGCCAATGTTTCTCGCATTGTCCCCTTTTTCTCCAATTATCCCTTTTTTTGCACTTTTGCAACAAAAAACCCATAAACTTTTGTATTTCCTTAACAAACACAACAAATCAATGTATTTTTTTTGCAAAAATAAGGCTTCAATTAAGAAAATAAAATTTTTTATGTTTTTTTGTCGGTAAAATAAACACTTACTAAAGAATTCCATTTTAGAGTATAGGAAATATTTCTTACAATACAGATAAGCATTGTGTAAATAATCATTATACTTATGATCATATTTTATATTATTTTGTAAATATTCAAATTTCAATTTTCCTTCTTTTGATAAGTTTTCCTCACATTTTTCACACTTATTCATTTTTCCATTACCACCATCCCATTCTGAAAGTATTTTCTTATTGTTATAAAGAAATTCACTATATCTATCAGAACATTTCTCACTATAACAAGGAGAACGACAGACACTATAAATATCTCCTCTTAACATTTTATCGATAACTGTAATTTGCTTATTTTTTTCAACAGCAAATTGGATAGTAAGACTATTTTCCCTTTTCTTACTTGTATTAACATTTTTAAAGTAGCTTAAAATACTCGTTGAACTATCGGAAAAAATACATTTTTTGGAAACTTTACATTTTTTTAAGCCTTTTTTTTTTTCTTTTATTTTATTAGTTGTTTTATAATTTGCAGATGTATCTCCTATCCTATTTGCACTTTCTATATCAACATTTTTAACGAAGATATTTTTGGTATTGTTATATCCCTTGATATAGTTTAAAATAGAGCTTTCCTTTTTATTTTTAAATAATAGAATATTTTTCTTATTCACAGCTGGAACAGAACAATTCAAATGAGGTTTTTGTATATTTAAATGATGATCTGTAACATTTGTATTAACATATTTGTGCAAATTGTTAAATGCTGAGCCTCTGTTCAAGCTTTCATGAGATAAATTCGATTTTGGTGTATAAAATTCTATTTCTGAACATTTTTTCTTTAAATGTGCATTAATGTGTTCCTTTTTTTCTTGCTCCATTTTATTTTATTCATATTTTCCCCCAATTTTTTTCTATCTATTTTCGTTATTTCATAATGACATATATTCTTATAAAGTCAGCAAGTGACATATGAATTTGTAATTAAAAATCATTCAGAACAAATAGCAAATTGAGAATATAATTGATGTAAATAAATGATTAATTATCAGAAATGTTGTAAAATCAATGATATTCAAATATATCCTGCATATATTAGCACAATTCTTGTAGAGTATATAAAACACTCTGAAATAAATAGTAATCATCTATACTGTAAATTACAAATAAACCTTCAGGGTACTAATTTCATTGCTTTAGATAAACAACATTACACACATATATAATTATTTTCTTTTTTTTTTGTCTATTTTTTTTTTTTTACTCATTTCATTGTGGATAAAAAGTTCAATGAACTATAAATTACGCAATGTACATGAATAGAATTATTTACATTTTTTTTTCTAATGATATAAACATTTTTAATGCTTAACTAAACATCTTGATGTGCTCATTCATATTATATTTTCGATATTTATTAAAAAAAACATTGAAATGTTATTAAATTTGAAATCGACCTTTACGTTCCCTTCATTTAATTTTTTTATCTATATTTTTTAAAAATACAAAATACTTAATGCACCTAGTTTATTTTTATAAAATAATACTCACACAAAAAAAAAAAAAATTATAAAATTAAAACTAATCATTCATTCTTAGTGAAATTACATTTTATTAATGCTTCTTTAAAAAAAAAATGCTAAAAGTTCGTGTATAAAGGAAAACATATATACCAATTTTTAGATTTTTTTCTTGTAGCTTATGGATTATAATATCCATGAATGTAAAAGTACATTGGATAAAATTATTTAACCCATATAAATAAAAAGCTACAAAATTTATTACATGTATGCATTAATATGATAATTGAAAAAAAAAATAAATAAATAAAAATCCAGATTGCACATAAGTGTGTAAATATATAGGTGATACACACAAATTTGTTTTTATATATTTTAATGTAACAAAAAATATAATAATTAAAAACGTTAATATATAAAATAACGTAAAAAACAAATAAAAAGGAACCACAATTAAAATGTGTTAAACTAGTATGGTATTATATATTGAAATAAAATAATGCATATTGTTATAAAAAACTATTTTAGCTAGCTGTATGCAAAAAAAAAAAAAAAAAAAAAATGTTAGCTAGCTAGCTAGCTATAACTAGCTAACTATTTTGTAATATAATGTTCGAATAATTATTTATTATACAAAAAAATGTGTTAATATATCAAGGAGACATACTTTTATACAAAAACAAAAAAAAAAAAAAAAAAAAAAAATTAAATATAAATATTTGTGATTCATTATTCTAAAACAAATTAATTACTTGAAAAAATTATAGATTACGTAACATATATATATATTGTCTTATATTTCCAAAATAAATATATTTTGTCGCAAAAAAAAAAAAAAAATTATACATATATATATGTCCAAAAATAAAACATATCTTTTTAATCGTGAATTTTACTTTTATTGTATCATATGATACTAAAATTAAAAACAAAAAATTTAAAATAATTAAAACAAAATTATTAAAACAATTAAAATTAAGTTATCAGTTTTGGCAATATTTTCAAAGGATTATCTTCCATTTCCTCTTCATACGTTAGAAGAAAGTACTTGAGGGTTAATTTTGTCTTAAAATTATTTGAACTTATATAATAATCTTCTAAAACAATGCCTTTTTCATTCTTTAATTTTTCCTTCTTGTTCTTTTCCTTAACGATGTTGTTTACTTTTTCGAAGCAGTAATTTTCCAGGTCCATGTAATTTGTTGACTTGGATCTTTTTTCATTTTCTGATTTTTTGGTTTCTCGAATTAAATTATATAATTTAACTGAATTTTTGTCTTCAAAAATTTTCAAAGAGTTGTAATCAGGTATGTCATCAAATCGTACTTCTTTCTCATCACTAGATTTCTACAATAATTGTAGGAAATAAAAAAAAACGGGGGAGATAAAATCAAGAAATAGTTAAAGCATAAATGGGATTAATATGTGTATATGTGTGTATGTTTGTAAATGTGTGTGTAAATGTCTAAGTGTGTAAGTGTGTAAATGTGTAAATGTCTAAGTGTGTAAATGTGTAAATGTCTAAGTGTGTAAGTGCGTAAGTGTGTAAATGTGTAAATGTATACGTGTGTAATTGTGTAAGTGTGTAAGTGCTTAAGTGTGTAAGTGCTTAAGTGTGTAAGTGTGTAAATGTCTAAGTGTGTACGTGTGTATGTATGTGAGTGTGTCAGTGTGTATGTATAAAAAGCAATGTTAAAAAATATATATTCATGAGCACACAGGATGTACATGAGTTATACAACATCAATTGTATACTACAATGTGTCAGTATAATATAAATCATGAATATATGTAGAAAAAAAAATGAACTTTTTTAACAGAAAATTAAAAAGAAAACGAAAAATAATAATATATATACGTACATAATACTACGTTACAAAATAAACAATAATAAATACGAGGATGTGTGTCATGAAAAAATATAATAATTCACTAAAACAGTTATATATAATGGTGCTTCAAAGAAAAGAATATTTAAACATATATGACAAAAAAGCACAACAATTTTAATAAACGTGAGGTATAAAATGTAAAGGACAATAATATAAAAACTTAAAAGGGTATGTAAATACAATCTACAATTATAATATAAGTAAATCATCAACGTATTGTCCTATCATATAATGATCAATGTATCATCTAAAATACATAAAACTAGAAAACAAGAAGAGAAACAAGATTTATGTAATATTAATGTCAAATTAAATCAATACATATACTGTAAAGAACTTGTAATAAATATATAAAAATAATGTAACACGAACAAACAACACACTAAAAACTGACGTAATAGAATTAATCATGGTACCTGCAACGACGAGCAAACAATATGCAAACAATGAAGATGGCACAAAGTACAAAAACTCAGAAAGTTTGAACAAGCAGATTCATAAAATAAAAAATATTGTTTAAAATATGAGGCATCTCACACTAAAAATTTATGATAAATAAGGCAAACTATGCTAAACCATCGTTATATAGAACATATATTTTGAAAAAAAAGATATTCACAATTCTAAAAACATTTATTTATGTTCTTACAATTTTATTGGCATATTGAGTTAGTAGGGTCAAAATCTTCATCATTTCTAAGAGAGTATATCTCTTTAATGTAACTCTGAAAAAATTAAAAATGTAGAATAATATTTATTTTTTGTTTCCATAATTAAATACATAAAATAAATTATATAAAGGGGTTATATAAGATATATAAAATTTTCAACGCTTTCCTCTATATAAATAATTTCAGCATGCTACATGCAATTATATATAATACATATATGCGTAAATTATAACTAACTTGAATTTGCAGTTGCAACTATGTTCTTCCGAGCAGTGAATGCATAAAATATCATTTGAGTGGGGGCATATAATTGAACCTGAAAATAATAGGTTAAATTAGCAACACAACGGGGTATTATATTTTACCATATAAATATATTATAATTTTATACATAGCATCTGGGTGCTATATATAATATTAATAAATGTAATTTGCGCTTTCTACAGAATCATTTTTATGCAATTTTTTTTATTCTCTATATATTATCTGTAATTTTATTAATATAAATTAATTTTTAATTTTTTTTCTATATGCATGTTATTTTTTTAATTTTTCTATTTTTTCTTCTTATTTAAATATTTATTTTAATTTTTTTTCTTATTTGCATTTATTATGTACCAAAATTTTGCGAATTTAATTTAAAATGCATGTATGGCGCATTTTTTTTATCCATTCTGCAGAGTATATAATTAACGTTCTTTAAATGCGCTTTATAATAGTATATTACATGCATATTTTACATGTAAAATTTACATGCAAATTATATATGAATATTTGGCATGCATTTACTACATGCGTTTAATATATGCATTTATTACATGCATTCACTACGTGCATTCAATGAATGGATTCAATGAATTGATTCAATGAATGCAAATGTTATATGGGATATATTTTATTTGAGGATGTATTATGAGCGCAAATGCATGTAAATTTCTATGCTAATATATAAAAATAATTGCGAGTAATCTTACTGTTGAAAGTAGGGGAATTGCAGGCATCGCAATCCTTATAAAAAAATTCCAATTTACTTTTAATATTTTGAAAAAGTAAGTGTTTATTTTTCTGGCATTCAAAATTCGAATACATCTTGTTCAAATCCAGTGATAAATGGTTGGAATAATTCATGAGATTATTGTTTAAAAGGGCATCACGATTTAGCGTAAAATCTATGAATAGGGTTTTACTTTCTTTAAAAAATTTATATTCATCAGCTAGTACATAACGAAGGGAATATATTATGTGCTTTAATTGGCTAAAGGTATATTCTTGATAATGCAATAAATTTGAAAATAAAATAAAATGAATCGATATACAGGTATTTCTAAAATATTTGTAATTATAATATGATTGTAAGCCATAAAAAAGCCAAAATGTAGGGGCAATATTACAAGCTTCATTGCAGTTATAGCCTGAATTAAAACCTCCATGAAAAGTTTTTGGCCATAGAAAAATAAATTCATTTTTTCTTTGAATATTTTTGTACACCGGAATATTGTTTTTTAGGAATACTTCAATTGGTACTTGTATAGTTAATTTATATATTTTATTTTTATTATTTTCTTTCTTAAAATTAATTTGTTTTTTATCCACAATTTTGTAGTTTAAGTGGGATTTTCTATATAACAAATCTACATTGTTTATATCCACATCTAAAACGCTTAAGGTATCTACTACTCTGTTAGCACTGCTAGTGTTAATACCAATATAACTGCTGCTATTACTACGGCTATAATTAGCCACAGTAGTAGTAGTAGTGCTAGTACTAGGCACTACATTATTGATAAAGCTTGTAATATTAGTAGTACCATTCATCGGTGTCATCTGGGGGTTATTTTTTGGAATGCGCATATTTTTTAGCCTTTTGGCATTTTCGATGCATGGTGTGAAGCACTCTTTGAGTTTTTTTTTTGGATCCGCATTATTTATTAAACTTTTCTGCTCATTTTTTTTCAGCTTACCATTTGTTTTCTCCACCATATCATCTTGATTATTATTTTCTTTTATATATTCATAAATGACATCTTCCACCTTGTCACTATATAGAGGTGGTATAACATACCATATTTTCGGTTTCCCCCAATGTTGATAATTTATAGAAGCAAAATAATTATCTTCTGTGTGCCAACAAAATGAGGAAAAGAGGGTTCCGACATATAACCATGGAATATTAACCCCCTCGATAGGTATATCGACATTTCGTAGCATAGATCCCTTAATAAATGGAAGATATTTTATATTCAAATTTTCATTTATGTTCTTAATTACATTATTTATTTCTGAGTAATATTTTTCTCTTTGTTTTAAAAATACCTCACATTTTTTTAAGTCTCCCACATGATTTTCATGGTTGTTATTGCAATTTTTCATCTCTTCTATTAAGGTGCTTTTGCTTCTATCATTTCTATTATTAGCCATTTCGCAAACACCTCCTGCACTCCTAGAGATGATTACTCCATTACATTCTATTTCATTGATGATATTCCTTGGATGATCAATGTGATCCTTTTTCCTATCACACTCGTAACAAATATCCTTGGCGCTCCTATTTACGGCATGACCCCTGTTATCGACACCATTTTCTCCTCTAGTGACATTTTCAGGATCAGAAATGTTAATAATATCTATAATGCAGTGCTCTTCTTCAATCAATGATTTCTCATTATTATTGCGTTCCTTGTTATTGCGTTCCTTGCTATTGTGTTCCTTGTTATTGCGTTCCTTGTTATTGCGTTCCTTGTTATTGCGTTCCTTGTTATTGCGTTCTTTGTTATTGCGTTCCTTGTTATTGCATTCCTTGTTATTGCATTCCTTGTTATTGCATTCCTTGTTATTGCATTCCTTGTTATTGCATTCATTGTAATTGCATTCATTGTAATTGACACTATTAATATCACCATTGCGATTCTCTGACGGAAGCGCAACACTTTTATCATAATTCAACTTATCTTCAGATGACGATGTGTTTATGCTTTCAGGATCTTCACATATTTCCTGCTTAGATAATAATACATTAATCCTTTCTCTATTTTTTGGATGGCAATTCTTTGATTCACACGATGATTCATTAGTTTCACATTTGCTACACTTCGTAGTACTAATGTCAGTGCTACAGTCATCACTTCCGGAATCTCTTAACCGTTTTAAGCTGTCATGAAATAGGCATGTTGGATGATTTTTGGGTACAGGTAAATCAGCGCCATATATGGAGATGACTTGTTCCTTATCGTTACTAATTAATTCCCAGTATTTCTTTTCAATATTTTCTAGGCTCATTTTTTCTTTTGGTAGATATGTATTTTCTAGCATTTTGTTATATTTGTACATTTCATATAAGGACCAATATTCCTCTGGATGATCAAATTCTTTTCCATGCTTAAGCTCGTTAATTTTTTGTTTCCTTATATTAAATTTCATATTTATGTAATGTGAATTAAATTGCGGTTCGAAAAAATTGGGTGGTTTTACTTTCATTGCTCCATATTTTAGTCCAATAGAATTATATTTTTCAAAAAATAAAATTGGGTTTGATAATTCTTCCATTGTTGTGTGGATTACAGGTATTTCTTCAATGTTTTCATAGATACTACTATTTGAATTATGATCTGAAAAAAAAATATTTTTCTTTTTTCTTTCATTTATCATGTTGTTGTCCTTATTTTCCGATTTCATTAATTCTCCATTTTGTAATTTTTCAATTTTATTTTTTCTGAGTAAAATATTGTTATTACACATGTCATTAATTTTGATTAATTCTTTTTGACCTGCTAATTTTGTTTCCACATTTTGTAAAAATGATTTTCCTACTTGTTCTTTATCTTCTTCTTGTAATTTATTGTTATATTCATTGAAATCAGGCTTAATCATTTTTTTTAATTTATCTTTTCCTCTATATAAAGTCTTTGTTTTTAGAGCACATCTATTTCTCGTATCATATTCTTTTTTTAAAAAGGTTTCATTTTTTTCATCTGCTAAATTATTATTATCAACATCATTGATAATTAATTTCTTTTTTTTATTTTTTTCTGTAAAGTTTACACTGTCTTCATTTCCTGACGATATAACAATCATGGGGTTTCTTTTCCTTTTTCTGATGTTTTTGTCATGTAAATCCATTGCAAATTTTATAAGATCATCTGAATTTTAGGATTCGTGTTCAATGGTAACCTTTTTTTTTTTTTTTTTTTTTTTGCAGATTTATCTATAAGCATGAACGTGTAAGTGTAAACTCGTGAATTGAAAAATGGTGTCAAAAAAATAATTAAAATAATTAATTATTTAATTATTAAAAAAAAATTAAATCTATTTGTAAAAACAATGAAAATAGAAAACAGAAAATAATTGCAAATAAAAATATGGAGAATAAAAAAAAAAAAATATATATATATATGTAAAAATTGCTTTACACTTGTGTACGCATAATCTACATAGGTATATATGTATATATGCACATGTGCCCGTAAATATACATTCTTATATGTTTCATCTATTTATGTTCCTCATTTTTTCAATATTTATGTGTAAAACTGCATGAAGCACTATTGTACTTTTTCTTTTTCTGTTTTTTTTTTTTTTTTTTTTTTTTTTTTACTTGTTTTTAAAAGTGTACATTTATATAGATGTATACCACACATACATGTATGAAGGATCTACATATATAGCATAGCTGTAATACAAACTTAAGTAAATGTTTTAAATATACCTTTACAAGTAAACACCTGTGTGAATATATATGTAGATTTTTTATATTAGTATATATTTATTTAAATATGTGTACACCAAAAAAAAAAAAAAAAAACCACAACAAAACAATATTACACTTAGGACAATCAACTTGTGTTTATGATATTTTATATAAACGTTTTATTCACATTTTGCACTTTAATTTTAAAAAAATTTCTATCAGTAGAAATGTTAAAAAAAACTGTACATTGTTGTAAATAAATGTAAAACAATTTAATGTATGCATGCGTAAACGAAAAACATTGAAAAAAAAAAAACAAAAAATTTTGCGTCTGAAATATATACGGAATTGGAAAGGTCCATACACGGAAGTATAAATATTAATGTATATACATATATTTATACATTTATATATACATATATACATATACATATATGACATATCTATATATATAAATATGCGTACAAGGACATGCAATGCTAAAGAAACAACGCCTTCGTTCTACTCTACCTTTTCCTTCATATTTTTAGAATATATTGAACATAGGCAGGAAAAGTTCAACCATACATATGTACAAATAAATAGAAAAAGTCACTAAAACACATAAATATAACACAGTCTAGTGGCATATATGTCAACAGAATTGTCATGGGAAATTAAATGCAAAAATATTTATTCTATTTTGCGGTTGCAAAGCCAACATGGTAAAAAAAAAATAAAAAAGTAAAATTATGGAATAAAAATAAAAATGTAATAATTTATAATTTAAAAAATAGAACATTAATTGAAAAAATTATATAATATTCTTTTTAAAAAAAAAAAAAATGTCATTTTGCGAACAAATTTAATATGTATATATACATAATGTGGTTTTAAAACTTTTTTATAAAAAAAACATACAATATTGTACAAGGAATATTTTCTTTTTCCATGCTCTTACAAAAAAATATATTATAAGAAAAATACGTAAGAATTCATCGAAAGAAAGATGGTTCAAGGATAAGAAAAGGTGCAATAAAAAAAAAAATAATAATACTTATGCTACTCTAGTACTGTGTCCTTACCACCACCCATAAATTTTACCGCATAGGCGATGACAGTCCTTTCTAGGTAAAATATGCATATACTAACTTATGGGGGACTATATACTGATGTTTCCTACTCACCCTGGGTGCGTATGTATGTATATATACCTATGTGCTATATATATATATATATATATATAACTGCGAATATACGTCCTATCTGCTTGGTTTGTATGAACGTACGAATACCCATATAACAAGTTCCTATATGAACATAAAATTGCGAAATACATTTTTTAAGACAACATTTCTTATTAAAAGCAGAAAACATAATTTTTTTTTAATGTTAGTAAGTTCAAGTAGGTCCACAAAATAATATGCAAAATAGTTGTATATATATTATACGAATACGTGTACCCCCCCCCCCCTTCAGGTTCAAGGCAGAACAATACTTTTTTTTTCTCTGCCTATGAAAAAAAAAGCCGATAAGATTCATTCAACATGGATATTCTACATTTCACATATAGAGTTATTCTTATAGAAAAAGTCAGTTATAAACACATTTTTTTTTTTTTTTTTAAATTATTGTACAAAAAAAAAAAAAAAACTAACTATTTCGCCAAGGCATCCATAAAATAAAAGAAAGGTGTTAAAAAATGAGAGGCATATGTTGTGCTTGCAAATATGTTTAAGAATATGTATAAAAGTTTGCATAAATTTTGAAATAAAAATTTTTTCTCAAAATTTCGTAAAATTTGAATACAAATTATATGTATTTATATGTAACAAATTTGAAAAAAAAAAGTTGGGTTATACGAATTCGTGAAACATTCTTGCAGCAAATTGCTAGACTCTTGTGCGCAATTTTGTTTGCTTTCATGGTTTTATATACATAGATTATGTGCTTATATACATTTTCGTATACAAGTATATATATAGGAAATATTGTAAATTATACTTAAAATTCAAATGAGGAAAAATTGAAAAAAAAAATTTTTTTTTGTTACATTTCTGTTTCCATTGGAAAAACACGTTTATCTTTGTAGTTTGTTTCTATTGTTGTAAATAGATGAAAAAATAAGTGTTCAACTGGTTTCTAATATTTAACAAATATGTATTAATATCTTGTCAAGTGGTTTCTTTCATAATGTGCTAATTCTACATAAATTTTTATATCACATTTATGATGTTATGCTTTGTTTTATTCATGTATATATATATATATATGTAGATATACGTACATGCATAATGTACATGAATGTGAGCACTTAATTATAGGTTTACAAAGGTTACATGCATCTTACAAGTATGATTATTAAATGTTCTTAAATAATTGTTGTATATGTTCATGGTTGTTTATTTTCATTACATTGCCATTCGTGTACATGGAGAACCACATATTATTCCAGAGTATGTCATTTGCGAAACCCTCTTTGAAGTCGACAGAAGTTAATTTTATAGCTTTTTTTTTTTTTTTTTTTTTTATTCTTTTTTTAAATTTTTATAAAAAAACACTTCTTAAAATTCTTTATTCTTTTATCATTATAGGAATAAATAAAAAATTGTCAAATGAAGAATTATCAAATTAGTAAAATTTTCTTATGCATTTTCAAGTTTACCATAGTTCGTTAAACGTTCTTGTTATACAACATATCTGTTTTATTTATTATTCTGGTCCATAAACAAACCACACTGTTACATACTTTATTTATTTATTATTATTATTATTTTTTTTTTTTTTTTTTAATTAATAAATAATATATCTGTTATTTTAATTATTTCTTCTTTTAGCGATGTTTCTTTATGCCAATATACGGGAGTGAGAGGTGTGCAAGGTTAAATTAAACCTGGGAATTTGATTGTGTTCTGCGTAATTTTGTTAAACATGTGAGATAGTTACATGTACAAGGTTCGTATATTTTGCATATGTACATATTCACGGCTCTACAGAAAATTCCTTAATGGTGTGACAAATAGTTGCAAACTGAATGAAGCAATATTTGTTTAAAATGATCTATCCTATTCTTTACATTTTTTACTACATGTGAAATAATTTTTTTTTCTTTGTAAAACTTATTAAAAAAATATCTTGTGTCAAAAAAGTTTATTGTGAATTTAAACAATTTTAAAGTGTAAAAAATTAAATGCTTTAACAAAAAAGTGTTCTCATTCTTTAGCTTTCCAAAATAGGCTGATTTGAGGAAAAAGTACAAAGTTTTCGTACTGTTCAATTTTTTTTTTTTGCTTCAAACATATATACTCGTAATTATATAAACGCATAAATATATAAACGCACAAATGTGTAACGTTCAAAGGGACATGTTCAAAAACTTGTGAACGTATAATCACTTGCGCATGGTCACTTGTGTGTACGCTAAATGTGCCTTCATTTCAATTAAACAGTGGAAAATTCCAAAACGCATACATGAGAAGAAAATTTCTTCTACACAGCTGTGATGTTCCTTTTAAAAAAATAAATAAGTTCTGTGTTCATAATTCTATATCATTATTAACATATTTTGAAACATTCAATTATAAAGATTTATATATAAAAAATTATACATCATTTTGATTTCACATATTGTGCGTATTTTTATGCATTTACACAGAGAATGAGAATACAGAAGTTACATATACGTGTTAGTTTAACAAACATATATATAACAAATTAATATTTGCCTTTTGCACAAAATATTTCCTCCTTTGCAAACGCTTCACATATCCATTTTCCATTCGGGATATAAATCACTAACAGTTTCAACATACTTCTTTTTTGCTTCGTCCTGACTTAAATTTTCAATTGATTTCCAAGCTTCATATTTTTTTCTTTCTTGAAAATTAAATATGCTTGGTGCAGGTATGTTACAGTTTCCAACTGTGGCTTGCTTAAAATATTTGTATAAAAGTAATTTATTCTCCACAGAGATTACTTCATTCTTGGGGAGTGCGTTCACGAAGGTAACACACCTTTCAAAGATGTCGCTTACACTCATGTTACTTAAGAGGCTGATATGAGAAGTAAAAAAAAAAAAAAAAAAAGGGCAGTAAAGAACACTGAAAAATTGAAGTTGCTAAATATGTTTATGAAGAATGTTATGTATAGTTGTTAAATATTAAAATGATCCATTGTTGTTGTACAAATGGAAAAGCAGAGAAGAATTAGTTCATATAAAAAAGTGCGAATTCCATTTTTATTATTTATTCGATAAAATGTTTAAATGGTGGACGCATTTATAAGATTATGTAAGGGGAGGGGGGGTTTACATAAATATTTACAAATGTGGTTATTCATGCGTCAGGAAAACCGTATAAGCATTAACATGCATAAGCATTCACAATCATAAGCATTCACAATCACAAGTATTCACAATCACAAGTATTCACAATCATAAACATTTACAATCATAAATCTTCACACTTACACCCCAGCATTTAAAGATATTAAATTTTTCTTATCACATTTTATTCTGTATGTGGAGTAAAAAGGATGAAATCATTGAGAAAGTTTTATCAAGTACAATGGATAGCACAAATCATGTAAATTGATGCACTTATAGAAAAAGAAAATTCAAAATGCTCTTATTTAAGCCATAGATTTACAAGAAAATCATTTGTTCTGACAATGGAATCATATAATTCTAATATGCAAAAAAATAGTGTTACCTGTTTTAAAGGAGGTCTATATTAATTTGGGAAGGAGGCGGGCCTAAATTGGGCAAAAAGAATGACCAAAATATATAAGGCTAATATGAGGAAAATAACACAATCGGAAAAATGGCATAATAAAACAAAGAATATAAATAAAGAAAATTACAACTCAACATATAAAAATAACAATCTAAATTAAATCTGAAAGTACATTTATTCTTCTCCTAATTATGGAGATGACACATATATTCTTATTTTGATAAAATTTCAAGTTATCTACTACCTTTTACAGCAGATAATATATGATGGTTGAAAAGTAAGAAAAAAGTTTTATATAAGAAAATGTTTCAAATGTAATAAAAAATATGTTTAATTGAGCAAAAAAAAAAAAAATACCATTATGCAACTGTTAATTTTTGCCATCATTCAATTGTTAATTTTTGTCATCATTCAATTGTTAATTTTTGTCATCATTCAATTGTTAATTTTTGTTATCATTCAATTGCTAATTTTTATAATTATTCAGCTGATCGGATTTTACCACTTTATGTTAGCGCTATCAACAGGAAAAAATTTTGTGCGTTAAAATTTTACTTAAAAAATAATTACGTTGCAATTCACGCATTTTAAAAAATGCTTATATAAAATTTTAATTTTTTCGTTTTATTTTTATTGAAAAAATGTCATTTTGTATTTAAATTAGTTTCAAATAAATTGAATAATGTTTATACGTAACTATATGTGTGTGTACGGGCAAAGTAGGGAAATAATGAAAAAGCATATTCATTGAATTTTTTCCAAGCTACTAAGTTAAAAACAAAGGAGAAAAAAAAATTTTAGTGTAGCATTTCCTCACACTTTACATTATGCATGCTCCCGCGGTTATTTATTTAGACTTTTTTTAAAAAACATAATTTATGCTTTTAAATTATAATTTAAATATAAAGAATAAATGAAAAATAAATAAAGAAAAAAGGTGTGATAAATCGTTGATAAAAAAAAAAAAAAAAAAAGGTTTTAGTACATAATTATTTAATTTCTACATGCAATGTTCTTCTTTTAAGATATTTATTATACTTATATAATTGTAGCTTTTTTGGTGTATTTACTTTATTTTTCTCAGTAACATATCTTGACGGTTGCTTCCCATACTTTCTTGCTTCAGTGCATTCTAAGACAACAACTTTTCTATTCTTTTTTTTTTTTCCATATATGGTAACTATAAAAAGGGGGAAAAAATAATAAAAAAAAAATGAATCTAGGGAAAATTTTAACCCTAATTATTATTCTATATAAAATGTTGAGATGGTGTGAAAGTTTTCTATTTAATTTGCATAAGAAAAAATAAAATAAAATAAAAATAAAAAACAAGACTCTAAAGTGTGTAACGTTTTTGTGAATTATTAAGACCGTATATGTATATACACACATTTGAAGGAATATCAAAATTTTTGAGTAAAATTAAAAATTTGCTTTCTTTTATTCATTTTTGGACGGATTTTATTAACATTATTTGAAAATGTCTCTCATTATAACCAATTCTTTTGCTCTTGCAGCAGTTTTTTATTGCAGGGCCTTTTATCATTTTTTTGTTATAAGGAATTATAAATGATTGGCAACATTTTATGTTAGCTAAAAGGAACAAAATTAAATATATGAACAAAGTGTCACATTTTTTCATATTCTTTATATTTTACTAAAAATATCTGCCATCAAAATAAGGTTTACGTTTATTCAGAAACCAAGGAATGATATGTGTGAGGAGAAACTCGTTTTGCACAGGGACGTCTGTACGTGTTCGTTCTGGTATGTGTGAACTTTCATTAATGTGTGAGCAGTTCCTCTCTATGTAATTCGTTCAGTTAATAAACCTTCATCAACTGGTAATGTTTCTTATGGTAATACTCCTTTCATTTATTTTTTATATTCTAAAACCATTTGAACTATGGACCCTTTCCCTTGTGTTCATGTAGGGAAACAAACCTCTTTCTGAAAAGCCTAGACCATGCATCATTCTTCCGTAATTTCAGTTCCTTCCTTTATTTTATATATATGCTATTTTGCATTCATGTACACACGCTTTGGAAAAATTAATGATGCTCTAAATTTTAAAATAACGAAGAAATTGGGAAAAACGTGGGAAGTAAATATGGCGGAAAAATGGCCAAGTTAAAGCAAAAAACGGGCTAACACAATAACGATGAAAGCGTAAAAGTAAAAAATGAGTAAGTGTACTTAAGCTAAGTGGTATGTAAGAAGCCAAAAAAAAAAAAAAAAAAAAACTAAAACGGTGTTTAAAGCAAAATTCCTTTTCTTTTCTTTTTGTTTTTGGTAGAAATATTAAGTATGCATACACAAAAACGTAATTAGGCATTAATAAAAGGCAAAGTGAAAAGTTCATACATGTAATATGTAATGGGGGTTATCGACACTGCATGATTTTTTTCCCATTTTTTAAATTTTTCATGACACATTAACACGTATTTTCTCGTGTGCATTTCAGTTTTACGGGTATTCATTTTTTTTTTTTAGTTCTTTTAAAGCATTGTGCTCTCTATACGGGCTTAAAAAAAATTTTAAAAAAAAAAAAAGTGGAAAATGTTACAATCGAAAAATGAACAACACAGTAAAGATAAAGGAAAAATATATATTTTTTGTAATAACTGTTTACAAGTGCATATATGCACACCCAAGTTGCTCCTAATAATGTTGCATACAACTTACAATAGCCACAATTGCAGTTGAAGAACATATTTAAGGCATAAAAGGATCAATGAAATTGAAGAAGCATCTTTTTGTGCCCGTGTTATGTAGAAGATATTACATGAGCAATGGTGAAATAAGTAAATTTAAAGATAAAAAAAATAAAAGTGAGGATGTGAAAGAAGGACTGAAACCACCAAATAAAGAGGCGAACAGCTTCGGGAGGAAATACCGCAGTGGTGACTTAGCAACACCATATGAAATATACAAATGGTCGAATATTTTAAACACGATAAATGAAAAGTTAATAGATGATGTAATAAAACAGGAAGAAAAAAAAAAGAAGAAAAAAAAAACAATAACGAAGATATATAATAGAAATAGGATTACTAGTTCCAGTAGGAATGATCATTCCAGTAGTTACTGTAGCGATAGAAACTTAATCTGCCCCTTGGACTTACACAGAATCGTACAGCGATACTACATTATGATAAATGATAAGGAAAATGATATATATGTTGAAAATGAAATAAATAATCATTTTTCTAATTTGATAAATACTTTGGAATATCATTTTGATGTTAACAAAGTGGCAATGGAGTTTCTGAAAAGTATAAAAAAAAACGAGTCACACATATTTTACTATCTCTACAATAATTTTAAATTTCTTCATATATTCCCATATAAATATTTTTGGACGTATGAATATGCTGAAAATAATTTCTGTGATGATGATATGCAAAATAAGGAAGAATATGATAATGAATATTTATTTAAAAATATAGACTTAAATAAACTTGATTTATTGTTGAGAGATGAAGAAGATATTTTAAGTGCCCCACAGGAGAAAACAAGGAATGAATGTAAAAACAAATATAATGATGTTCAAAGAAACTGCTTGAATGTTCAGGAAATGGAACATAATCACAAATTGAAATTTATAAATCGGAAAAAAAGTGAGTTATGTAAGAAGGAAAACTATGACCATGTGGATGAAACACTCATAAGCCATGTAAAATTAAAGGGTGAAAATAATTTTATCACATTTGATAAAATTGAAAAGGACAATTCAATCAAACATAATACAATTACCAAGGATAGGGGAAGACACAGCAATTATGAATTTTTGACAACCCCATTTCAAAGTAAAAACAAAAATAATACTCCCATTATTAATTCAAAACGGTTTTTATGTAACATTGGCTCTTCCAGTGATGCAATTGCTGTACAGGAAATGAAATTAAAAAATGTCAACTGTATTGATAAACCTTATGGCATTAGCAATATGAGCAATTGTGAGAATAATAAAATGAACAATGTTGATAGTTTCACCAAAAGTGAGAATTTAATGGGAAGTAATGATAATACGAATAAATGCAATGAAAAATTATCACAGAACAGTAAAGAAGTAAATGTAGAGGATGGAAAAAGAAATAATTTGAAAAATATGAATTACGAGAACATGGTTGATGAGCACGATTTCAATTACGATATTAATATTTTAAATAAAAAAATAACTACAGGAGTGGAAAAATCTGAAAGAACAAATTTTAGAACCAGCAATGTACCCGTGTCTCCCCTAAGCAGAGCAACCGTGTTTGGGAAAGTTCTTTTTGACATCGCAAAGAATAGTAGCGTGGAGTATATTAAAAGCAGACTGACAAACGGATTTGCAAACAGAGATGATAAAAGTGTAAGAAACAGTGACAACCTCAGAGATGTAATCATAAATGAAAAGAACGCCGAAATTTTGGCAAACGGATTGAGTAAAATGAGAGGAGTAGTTTTAAAACTTGGACAAATGATCAGTTTGCAAGACGAGCATTTATCTCCCATATTAGTAAAAGCATTTAAACTTGTAAGTAACTCAGCAGACGTAATGCCTAAGGGTCAATTAATAAGCGTGTTAAAAAAAGAAATGGGATCTGATTATGAAAAAAAATTTGACTCATTTAATTATACCCCTTTTGCAAGTGCATCTATAGGACAAGTCCATAAAGCAATAATAAATAATAAAAAAGTAGCTGTGAAAATTCAGTATCCAGGTGTATATGAATCTATTGATAGCGACATAAAGAATCTGTTATTTATTAATCAGTACACTAATTTGATATTAAAAAATTTATACATTGAAAATTTGTGTAGAGAAATAAAAAAGGAGTTAAAATGTGAATGTGATTACATTAACGAAGCAAAATATTATGCTCTTTTTAAAAACATATTTCAACATAGTAAATATTTTTATGTTCCTACAGTATATAGTGAATACGTAACCAAACATATTTTAGTAACTTCGTATGTTGAAGGTATAACTTTAGATGAAGTGGCACAGAGGTGTCCACAAGCCATTCGTGATTCGATAGGCCAACGAATTCTTTACCTCTGTTTACATGAATTATTTGTCTTTAAAATTATGAACACTGATCCTAATTTGGGCAATTTCTTATATAATGTAGAAAACGACAAACTATGTTTAATTGATTTTGGAGCTACCAGATTTTACAAAAATGAGTTTGTTGATAATTACCTAAGACTTGTAAAAGCATCTCTAGAAGAAGATAAATCTAAAATATATCATTACTCATATGAACTTAACTTTTTAACTGGGAAAGAAAATGAAGAAATGAAAAATTCTCATATCAAATCAGTAATATTAGTTGGAGAACCATTTAAATCATCTACATACAATTTTACTAATAATGACATAGCAAAACAGATATATAAATTATTACCTAAAATTATATATAATAGATTAGTCCCCCCTAGATCTGAAATTTATACTTTGCATAGAAAATTATCTGGGGCATACTTAATTTGCATGAAGCTGAAGGCAAGGGTAAAAGCTGCACATATATTTAATTCCATTTATGAAAACTATAAATTCACATCTATAGATACATATTGTGGTAGTAAACTAAGAACATGAACATACTACAAGTTATAGTATTGTTCGTTGGACGTCCTGTCCAATTTTGTTATTCGATGTCATTATCACGAAGTTTTACAGAGGTTGCATTTGTCGAATCAGGTGTATATTTCCAATTATGTGTGCATATACATTTATATTTTCCACAGTAATATCCTACATTGCAACAGCGTCTCGGTTATTCTTACATGTCTCACTTATTGTAATGTATCCCATCTGCCACAACCTAATTGGGAGAACACCTTTCAGTTTGGGTACCCCAAATGGACAAATATATATATACGTGAATATATTTATTTATTTATTCATTAGACACATAACCACTTAACCATTTTGCCTCTTTTTTTTTTTTTTTTTTTTTTTTTTTTTTTTTTTTGTTATAATTTCCCACATTCTCCACTTTTCATTTTTAATGAGCTGCACTATTGCTTGGCGCATTCAGATACGCCTATCCATTTGATTATTTGTAGAATATTTGAATTCCACATTTGCGTTACATTAAAAGAACACAAATGTCTGTGCATTGTTTTAAACTTAACCGCTTGACCGTAATCTTTTGTAATTATACCCAAAGAAGGTGGCATTTTTCTTTATTTTAAGCTGACCTTTTGTACTACTTAATCAGTCGAACCTCCGGGGGCAGAAAAAAAGGAAGAAAAACATCGTGTTCTTAAAACGAGTTGTTTAAGAGAACTATTGAAAAGGATCTGCTAAGTGAATGTTAACATAGAGTGTTAGGTAAAAGAAGTCAAAATTTTGCTCTTGGCTTCGAAAAAACCATTTCATGAAATATTGAAACATTTATGTTGGCAGAAAATACATCACATGGGAGTAGCAGCATAGAATTAAAAAATGAAAAAATGAGAAAATTGCAAAATGGTAAACGTGAAAAATGGTAAAAGTTGCAAAACGGAAGAACCGCAAAAACATATACGTTAAAAGACATTTGTTGACAACATACATGCCACTTTCTGGTAGATTGTAATGTAAAAAATAATAAAATGCTTGTTATTATTTTTTGGAACCTCTAAGTGCAAATTAGCCGTCCCTTATTGTAATTAGGCGTGTGTATGTTAAAGTATTTCATAATTAGTATTATATTCAAAAGATGTATAAGGACATTTTTTTAGTCTAATTTATGTGAGTGGGGGGTAAATCATTTTAAAATACGAAATGTGGAACGCATTTACGTGTAAATACCAAAAATATACTAAAAAAAAAAAAAAGAAAAGAAAAAAAATTAAGCTTAATTTTCTTACTTCGTTATTTCGTCATTTCGTCATTTCGTCATTTCGTTATTTCGTCATTTCGTCATTTCGTCATTTCGTCATTTCGTCATTTCGTCATTTCGTTATTTCGTTATTTCGTTATTTCGTCATTTCGTCATTTCGTCATTTCGTCATTTCGTCATTTCGTCATTTCGTCATTTCGTCATTTCGTCATTTCGTCATTTCGTCATTTCGTCATTTCGTTATTTCTTATTTTTGCATTTATCTGATAAATATATAGCTTGTATGGTTATATCATCTACGATGTTTTCCTCTTCGTTTAGCCATCGATCCCATGATTCTTTGGCTAAATTTTCAACGGCATCTTGAACCTTAAAGGTCATGAACAAAATTAGGGAGGTTGTAAGGGATTTAATAGCTTAAAATGAAAGCATCGCATGTGAAGTGACAATAGCAAGGAAAATCGATGCCTGAATCGAAACAGTATGATAACAGGTACATACGTAAAGACATAAAAGCACACACATAATCTATGCATACATGCAGAGCAATAGTCATTACATTATCATATCCAAATTCGTAGATCAGGTTAACGGCCTCTTCAGAAGAAATGAATTCCCATACACCATCACTACATATCAAAACGAGGATATCTTCATCTTCGTTTATGTTAATTTCCATGAAACCAGGTTCAGAAATTATACCTATTTGATGACCTATAGTATCTCCAATAGCTCTGCGTGTATGCACAGATGAGAAAAAAAAAAAAAAAAAATAGAATTACAAAAGTGTACATGAAGTAGTATTTCAAATACTGCAATAAATAGAGCATGATATCACGGAGGGTGTTGAATATGTATAGAACTAAATTTAGGAAAGGCGTATGCAATGGATGTGCATGACGGATACTAATGAAATGAGCAACCATATAGGCCAACATGGTGGGGAACAATAAATTTGTTGCATATACAAAAGTTAAGTAGATCATATGCAAATTTATACGTTTGTAGACAAAAATGAGAAAAATGAGAAAGAACTGTAATAGTACCTTGACATGGCCAATCCAGGATAGAATTTATTTTTTAGAAAAACACGATAAGGTATGTCTCCCTCAAGTTTCAGTACTTGACCACCAGAATTTATAATCCTCTTTTTTTCAGCTGCAGAATTGGGTTTATGATCCTTAGTAAGATCGAATGCCTCTAACATATCTGGAAATCCCTTTTTCCTCCTGCCTAGTACAGCTCTAGAATCCCCTACATAAGCTATATATAATTTTTTTTCCTTAAATACATGAACTATTATTGTTGCTGTCGTACCACTCATTGTACTATCAAAAAAGGTTTCTTTTTTTTTTTTTTTCTTTTTGTTTAATTTTTGTCCTTCCTTCTTAGTCTTAATGATATCCCCTTCGTTCGAACATTTTTTGGATTCCTTTTTCCCCCCCCTTTTATTGCCATTCTTTTGATCCTCATTATCATCACTATTTTTATAGTTATCAATATTACTGTCGCTATCAGTGTTAGCGTATTTTTCTTTGCTGTCTGTTTGGAAGTTATCACTAAAATTTTCTTCATCATCTTCATCATCTTCATCATCGTCATCATCATCGTCATCATCATCATCGTCATCATCATCGTCGTCATCGACATCTTCATTGTCCTCTCCCACTTCTTCATCAGAATTTTCTATTTGTTGCATATCTAAATCGAATTGAGTACTCACAATTGAGCTATTTATATTCTTATTCATGTGAACATTTTTATTATTTCCACCTTTACTATTCCTTTTAGGATTAAATGTTAATTCTTCAAGGTACGCATTAGTGGTTTTTTCGATATTTGCATGAATATTTAAAAAGGCATTAGTAAAAACTTCCTTTGGATTTTTTAAAAAATTTTCATTCTTTATAATCATATAAGGTAGTTCCTTTTGTACGTAATTTGAAACATCATGCCCATAAGGCCCATGTCCATCAAAAATTCCATACAACGCTAAGTTTTCCGTTGTAATAATTGTAAAATCGTCTTGATTTGGACTTTCAGGTTTTAATCCTTTTCTACATACATATCCTATTCCATTTTCATTCAATTTATCAACTGAACCTTTAATTTTTACACATTTTTTTTCAAAATCTTCTTGAAAATGCGATGCTCTCACTCCTGCTACGGAAGATCTACTTTTTATTTTTTTTTTTTTCTCTTCATATTTTTTCCCTTCTTCCTTTTGTGATTTTACGCCAACTTTTGTATGGGAATCATTTTCTGACGATTCTTTAAACCTATCTTCATTGTCCTTCAGCTCTTGTATACTTCTCTTTACTTCATCAGTATCATTTGGAAGTTCTCCCTTTGTGCTAATTGAGAGTCTCCTTCTTGTGTTCTTTCTGTCTTTAACTGATTAAGAGTGGGATGGAATGGAGCATATGCAATTAATGTTTACTTGGACATAGACGAATAAATATATGCATATATATACAGAAGTGCATAGATATATACAATTTTATACAGTTTTATGCATATATATAATTATGTATGTGAAATGTCGGAAGGGTTGCCATCACAGTCATATATATACATTAAGGTACATATAGATTGGAAATGCAATGTATTTTCGACCCTTGCTTGGAAGAAGCGGGTTGTGGGTAATCACTGGATAGCGATTTTCCAGTGTATGAAATCAACCACGTGTACATGTGAACACATTACTAGTAGATAAATGCGTATATATACACATATTCATACATGAAAAACGTATATAGAATAATATACTACAACAATGTATACACTAAACAACTGTCATAATTGTGGAAGCAAACGATAAAGATCGCTGCAAAAAGGATTCAATGAGTAAACTGTAATTATGAAATATTAAATAAGGCTACGGTCATGTGCCACTTGTTTGGTTAACTCATTTGTATGATACATTTTTATGAAATGTGCTATGCCACTTATTGGTGAAAGATTTTAGTTACCCATTTTAGCAACTCATTTTATATATATATGAACATATATTTAAATTGTAACGCATGGATTGTGCACGTGCAAAGTGACCAAGTTCTACTGTGCACATTCTGTACAATATGCTATTTTTTATTTGAGAAACATTCCCTATTCTTACTCATTCGGCATATATGTGCAAATATGCATATGCGTAAACACCTCTGCTATTTTTATTTATCATTTAATTAAAAATAAAAGAAATACAAAAATATTACGATGTCTACAACTTGTTGGATGAACACTTATGCATGTGGATTATTTTTTGAATAAATGAATGGGAGGATTAATCATTTATGAAGCGTGAAATTAAAGGGGTGAACATATATATACATATGTGCATGTATGGACGTCTGTGTGTAAGGGCACTGTTAGCACTTATTAAATAGTGAATATATAAACTCCACTATGAAATTATATTTATGCCTAAGTAAAGAGCTCATAGAACGATCAAATTTCATCACTCTCTGGATGGAAAAGAAGTCATGTATGTATAAAAAAATAAAGAAAAAAAATTCATTTTTTCATCTACAATTAAGGTTGCCATAGATACATAAAACTAAAAAATCCGCTTAACTTGTTCAAAAGCATGGCAATGAAAAATGTAAAAAAAGGGATATCTACTTCCATTTTATAACGTGCTCTTCTTCTTTCCTTTTTTTTATTTTTTTATTTTTGCACACTTTTTTCATTTCTACATGGTGTCTACCTTTTACTTTTGCACATAAAGTACTTTACATAATGGCATTATGAAGCAATTACACATAGATTGACAGGAACGTGTACAGATATATATGTTTATATATATATATATACATATGCACGCATGCACGTTCTACACATGTTTACATATGCATGCAAATACACACTCGCATACACCATGTTGTATACTAGTGTGCGTACATGTACGAAGGGATGGTGAGGTTGTTTTTCGAGTTATGTTCCTTATTGACGAGGTGCATGTACCCATATCTTTTTTTCTTTTTTTTTTTTTTTTTTTTCTTTTCCCCTTGTAATATATATATCAAGACATGGTAAGCACCATAATAAAAAGCACAACTTAAATTAATTAAAAATAATAAATACTTTCTTTCAAAAATAAACGAAGGAAAAATGAATTAGTTGTGTGCAAAAATTAAGTTAACTCTTTTTTTAAGAAATAAAATGTGGGGGAAAAGAAAGGGAAAAAATATGGAAAAAACCCCAATACTTACAAAAAACTACAACTACCGGGGGAAGCAAATAGCTAACCCATTTTCACAAACACAAAAAAAAAAAAATATATATTAAAAATGTAAGAAAAATGCAAAAATAAAATAAATTTGGGAAAAGAGGTAAATATTAACTTAAAGGGTAAAATTCGTATTTTGCACAATATTACATTTTAAAATGAATGCTTAAGAAGTAGTAAAAAGAAAAGAAACGAAAACAAAAAGGAAAATAAAATAAAGCAAAACAAAATGAAGTAAAGCTAAACGAAACTAAACGAAGCTAAAACGAAACGGAATTAGGCGAAGTTGAACATGCGAAACTGAACTAAGCGAAACGAAACTAAACGCAGATTAAGAAACACCCGAGGAAATGCAACAGATAATGCAACATGAATAGTCGTGTAACTATTTAAAACAACAAAAAAACTGAAGGAAAAAAAAAAAAGTACATGTGTATGTAATGCTCCTTGAGTAACATATGCTGAAAAGGTACATATATTTAAGTGTGATAATAACATTTGATACGACGGATAATTTTTTCCTTTTTTAAAGAAAAAAATAAAGGAAAATAAGTACATTTTACTTTAGAAAAAATGCAAATAAAAAAAATTTATACGTTTTTTAAAAGAGTCAAAATCGTAGTAAAGTATTTTCTAACAATTTGTGTATATATGTAGCATTAGGCAAAATGAATAAATACAAATTTCTGTCAACAAGTGACAATAAAAATATGTAATTAGCTGCACAGAGATCTACGAGATATCGTTATGCGTGAACACTTTTTTACTAGCGATCACACATTTGTTGTAAAAGTTACGAGTATATATAAAGACACACACATATAATATTATAGGTGTACACCCTTTTATGCTTTTTCATATGTTGACGTAAATTATGTGTACAATATGCATACACGTAAAATTGCATACACACAGTTGTATAAAATTTGATTTATGTTATGTGTATACAAAACTAATCACATAACTAAAGTACATACATGTGCTTACGCGTTGACATACCTATTTCCAAGTTTGTCCGCTTTTTTTCATTATTTTCACCTGAAGACTTATTTATAGGTTTCTCATTCGACGTAAATTTAATGTTTTTTTTTATCATATTCAATGCTCTGTAACTTCGAAAATGTAATAGGGATTTTAAAAGAGCGTTCTTTTGATCTGTATTGTATTGTTTTTTTTTTTTTTTTGTCTCTTGTCTTTATAAAGATAAGCTCTTTTTCAATTCAAGTTCATTAAAAAACCCGTTTGTTCTAATTCTGAGGAATAGTGTTACTTTTTGTGTTTCTTCACGAAAAAAAAAAAAAAAAAAAAAATATACTTATTACTTTGGCACTCTTATTACTATAAGACGCCTTTTTTAATTTTAAAAGTTGCAGCATGGACATTCATTCTTTCAAAGTTGTACAGCATGTGCCATATGCACATAAGCATAAGCTTATAGGTATGTTGGTTATGTGTTTTTTAACACTACCAAACAGCTTCATGCACAACCAATTTAAGGAAAATATTAAGAAATAAATACATACATACGTGTACACACTATTTTTTTAATACGTAATATCAATAACACTACTTACAGCAAGTGAAAAATTGCAGGTGCTCTTTTCGCGCTTTGTGCGGGGGTTATGTAGATAAGTATGTACACATACATGCACCCTCTTAGGTACCTAAAAGTGCACACGTTTGTTTCTATTTGTATGTACTAATTTTTATGGGTGGGTTCGCATTTCCTCCTTACATTTTCACATGTACCATTGTGCAATGCAAAACATAGAAACCTTTGTGGTTGTCACAAAGTGTGTTTTTTTTTTTTTTTTTTTTTTTTTTTTTTTTTTTTTTTTAAACAAAAGCAAATCAAATTCGATGAATAAATATGCTAATATAAGTTCATCTCAAAACAGTAAAAAAAAAAAAAAAAAAAAAAAATAGTAAAATTGGATCTTATCTTAATATTCTACATTATGTACAAATAAATACATAGGCGTACATTAATACGAACTTATTTATTAATTTCCTGTATTTATTTTTATGTCTCGACTATGATGTTATGCTCTATGTTTAATTTTTCCTTTTTTCGCGAACTTTACACATATTTATATTTTTTGTTTTTGTTATTCTTTTTTTTAATTTTATTTGGTCTACTATATATAAATCGTCTACATAAGTTCTTATAAGTCCAAGTACAGCCCAATGTTAGAAATCGAATTAATTAAATGGTGAAAAGAAATTCCGCGCACATGTTCATATCAATATGCACACATAAAACCACTACCTCGCGAAATAGCTTGGTAGTCAGGAGTTTCTATAATTTGCGGACACCTGAAAAAACGTATATATATTTTAACCCCATATTCAAAATAGTATTTCTACATTTTCTAATTTATGCTCCTTTCCTCATTCTCTCGAAGCTGTACTTTTTTTCTATGCACTTTATTTGTGCAAATAAATTTACATTATTGGAAGTTTTAGCTAGTTCGAAGTTTATTTCATCTTTTCATATTATTTATAATGCAAAAAGGAACGTCACCCATATTCATCACATGGTTTGCTTTAGCACAAGAAAAAATTTTAAGAGCTCACCTTAAATGTGCTACACAATTTTAACTATTATTGCCCTGTCTTTTATCTTGGCCTTTTTGTATTTAAGAACTTATAAGAATGTATTACTTCAGGGACCAATTGTGTATATTCATGTATACGTATATGTGGATTTGTGTACACACATAATATCATTTGGGAGAAAAATGATGAAGCTTATATTGTTAAAAAAAACCCATAACCAATTTCATTATTTCGATATGTGTAGATGTTTGTGCGTGCTTTATTTTTTCCCTTCATGTTATAAAAAATATATATATATATGCATATGTATATATTTTTTATGCTATAAAATTGCCAGAAGGTATTATTAAAATTAAACAATTTTCAAGATCAATCTATTTATGAAAAAGGACATAATAATGTAACCCTCTTATTTATAATATTCACTTAACAAAAACAAAGACGTCCATTTTTCTAATTGCATTTTTTGGTTTTTTTTTTTTTACGTCGCAGCATATTATTTCACATATAATATAAAAAAAAAAAAAAAATGGTTCAATTTAATATATGGACTATCAGGGAGTAGCACTGTACATACAAAAACGCCGTTATAAATAAAGCTCAGTTGAAAAAAAAAAAAAAAAAAAAAAAATGTAACAATGTCCTAATAGTACAGCAATAGCATGGTGGATAAATGACAAAAACACAGCAACATGATGCAATAAAACAACAATTTTGTTATACATATGTAATATTTTCAAACCTCTGGGGAACTAAGGACTCTATCAAATATTCTAGGAATATGTATGCTTAAACAATCTCCAAAAGACGTACACCACACACCTCTGTGCGTGTTTACACACAAAAAAAAAACTCATTTTGTAACTCAAAAGATTCCCTTCGTTTCTGTACAAAAGCACAGTTTCTTCCAACTGTTACGAGTGTAGTAATTCGATTCACTTGAAATTAATGTAAGTTAAATCAGTTTTCACAAAACTTGTGAGAGTAAAAAAAAAAAAAAAAGAAAGAAATCGTTAAAAAAAAGTAGGCTTTTTACGAATAAACCGATCAAAAAGGGTGGTCATAAAAAATAAAATCAAAGTAGATCCATATAACACCATTTTCAAATCGTATTACTTCATACAAAGGTCCAAACTAGGACTTTTGACAAATTTTGTTAAACCATAAGTAGATCATGAATGTGTGTAATTCCATACCTCGCTGAAAACGACGTATGAATATATTTTAATTTTTAGCTTTTTCTCTTTATTATTTTTTTTTTCTCTCTTTAAGCAGCTAGAATTTTTGAAGAAGTGATCTGTATGTCAGTTTAAAGTGCATAGATCTTGTTCTTTTTTTTTTTTCTTTTTTTATTCTATTTTTTTGTTTGCAAAAGGGAACATGTAACTTGTGTCTGTGATTTTATAAAGGAACATGAATCCTGCGATTTGCTGTGCATACATGCGTCATAATAAGTTTTTCTTTTTTTTTTTTTTTTTTTTTTACCTATACTCTTATATATGTATGAATGAATATGTGCACTAGTACATGCACTGATGAAAACGTACTTAGAGGTACTCTTACCCACTTTTGTCGATCTTTTTCTTTTTTTTTTTTAAGCTTAAAAATTGAATTATTGTTATAGTTGAACATGTAGAACGAAAAAAAGTCTTTCCATAAAAGTGTTAATATGCAAAAGTCAGAGTGGAGTTCTGCATTATTCTTTTGTGCTTTATTTTTATTTAAATTTTGCTTTATGCGCTTTTTCCTTCATCATGTTTTAATAGGTATACATACATATTATATATAAATATAATTTATAATTTGTTTTTGTTCATTCTTTCACGTTTTCCTAAGTTTCTTTTACTATATACTAGTTTTAAAGTTCATTCCATTTTGTTCAATTCGATTGTTCTCTATTTTCATTTTTTTGCTATAGTTAGCTTTTTTTTTTTTTCTTTTTTTTTTTTTTTTTTCGGGGGGGGAAAAAGTGTGTTTTCGTAAAATGAAAATTCTAAAGGGCCTATTCCGAAGATATGTGAAGCACATCATAATAAAGTTACTAAAATACACAAAAAATTATGTAAAAGATATTACTGATGAGGTAAATGTAAAATCATTTAAGAGATACAAGTATAATTTTTTTTTTGAATTTATTGGTTCCTTTATTTTTGTTTTTTTCATTTCTATTTACATGTTAAATGCAAATCAAAATGAAGAATACATAATAAAGCACACGAATCAAATCAACCCATACAAAAGAAATGACATATTTATTCCAGGAGATAACCTATTCGACAATGAAATTAACAATGTGCATTATGTAAATGATAATAATGAGCAAAAAAATGTGGTTAATATATTAATGGAACAGGAGGAAAAAAACAATGATGAAACTTTTAAAACGAAGAATAAATATATGAAAACAGACCATATGGTCAATAGGTCATCACAAAATAACCGAAGGAATAACCTGAACGATTTAGAAAATACGGAACCTGTTGAGGAAGGAACAAAGAAGAACCTTGTGAAAAAACAAGAAGAGGGAAACGAAACTGCAAGTGAATATGCCATACACAATGAACAGGTAAGTGTAAGCAGTGAAAATGAAAATGAACATGTAATAGGAGATAATTACGAATCAGGATTTAATGAAAAAAAAGAGAGTGAAAAGACAGTTGCTCTGAATGAATATGATAAAAAAGAAATAAGGCAGCAAAGTGATCCAAGTAAGTCAAATGTACATAACAAAAGAGGTGTGGAAAAAGATGATATTGTGGATGACTCTGTCGTTGTCCGCAATATAGAGCATGTGCAAAACCAAGAGAAAAAACAAACCTCGAAAGGCGCTGATAAGGAGAGACTTACTAAAAATGTGGGAACAGTAATTTTTAAAGATTATGTAAATGAATACAGCAAGATAAAAGTAAATGACATTAACAGTATTGATTTGAAGGATATTGATAAATATCAAGTGATGAAAAATTCAGAAAATAAAGGTAATAGTAACCATGCGGTTTATTCTTTTTTTGGATGCTTAATATATGTCTTATTTGTATTATTAGGAGCACATATAAATCCAGCATACACATATGCATTATGGTTAATAGAACCTAAAAAATATGGATTTGTAGTTACGACATGTTATGTTGCTTTTCAATATTTTGGAGGCATTTTGGCTAGTATCATATGCGCACATATGTATGGAAGCATATTCATATATTCATTGTTACCAAAAAAAGAAATTATGAAAACATTTTTGTGTGAATTTATTTCGACCTTTTTAATAACCCTGCTGTTATTAAGTTTATATAATTATAAAAAAAAGTTTATGGAAGAAAATAAAAATGAAGATTCAACTATTTTTAATGCATCAAAACTAAGAAATATGACATCATTATATTCTTTTAATAGTTATGAAGATATATATGGAAATGATGTGTTTAATACTACATATAATAACAGAAGCCAAAATGGAAAAGTGTTTTTTCATATTGATAATAAATATATAAAATATATTATAAATCATATTTTTTATTTATTATTTATTTTTTTTTCCCTATTATTTTTTGTTTTTGTAACCAATACTACGTTGAATCCAATGTTTTCAACATGTACATTGTATACATATTTATACTTTAAATTTTTTCAAGCAAGTGGTTCCTTTAATATAGCTTCAGTTTTTTTATCATTTTTAAGTGTTACGAATATATTACAGTTAATAAAATTGTATATTCAATCATTACCCTTATGGATAGGACCATATGTCGGGTCAGCCTTTGCAACAGGTTTTGTTAAATTGTTTAGAGAGGGGGATGAAGAAATTGTTAATATAATTGACACAAACATATACAACAGTAGTAAAAAGAATGAAACGATACCATTAATAGGGAAACATAACATTAAGCAAAATGCTTATCTTGTTGAATATAATGATAATATCCACTATAATTCAAGTACCTATTTAATTCCCCATGTATTTTAATGATATTTTTATCAGATCGCCTATTTTTTTTTTTTTTTTTTATGAAAACAGTATTCATAATAGTTCCTCATTTCCACCCACCTCTTGAGTGGTCCTATTGTTCCATTAGACGGTGTTGTAACTATTGTTTGCGATACGCGTTCTTCACTATTGCATGTATTTGTTGTCTTTCCCTTTATTGTGTTATTTGTTTTCTCTAATCTATGTTGATGCATTTCTATATTTGCCACGCGCTCCTTTGTTAAGCATCACTGCTTTATTCTTCCAAAACATATACACATATAATCCTTCCAATGATATATTTAATTTTTTTTTTTTTTTTTTTTTAACAACGGAGAATTCCCATATGCTATTAAGTGCATATGCATTTATTAACATGTTCCAGTTCAAGTATTCACGAATTTATTTACTCTTTTTTTACTTTTTATTTTCTTTTTCTTCTTTTTATTTTATTTTATTATTATTTTTTATTATTATTTATTATTATTATTTTTTTTTTTTTTGTTTTTCCATTGTTCTAAAATTTAAAACTTGTTGACCATGTGAAACATACGTAAAAACTCCATTACATTTAATTAACCTTTTTCATTTGTGTAAAAATTTTATTAAAACAACTGTGACATTGTCCTGAAAATGAAAGAAATGAGAAAACCAAAATTACAGCAAATGTAGAATAAACGTGGATAAGATAAACTAAGCCAAAGGTCATATTTGCATATATAATCACGCAAATGTAAGTTTCTCTAGCACATTTTTTGATGATTTATCTTTATTTCGTAGCTTTGAATATACAAAGTATGTTGTCACAATGTGTGTATTTACACAGGAAGATTACACATGTGAGAGAATGAATATATATAGAGTCCAATTACGGCAAAAAGCAGAAAACACATATCTAAATCAAACAGATACTACAAACTGTTTTTTGTGTGCGCACATACCTGTGACTTCTTATCTACAATAGCATGCTCAACCATAATTCTACAAATGTTCTTGGCGTCAAACAATGATTTTTTTTTTTCAACATTCACCATCCTTTCTTCCTATGAAGATCAAAATGAAACGGTGTGGTTATGAGTAGGTATGTATAAAATGTAGCGTTACAATTAGGACGTTTTAGAAATGTATATACATTTTCCTATGTGCACATGCGTACAAAAATGAACACATCCTGGCACAAGCGCACATTTTATCTATTGCTTCTTTCTATTGCCATAACTCTACTTTTCTTAAGTTTTACCTTCCTTGATAGAGAAATTATCTCATTTGTAACATAATTAATATCCACAAAGCTAAAAAAACCATCCGTACCCATGATAATAAAATTGTCGTCGGAACTTATTTTAAATTTTTTAAATGTCCCTGTGCATAACAATCCATATTTCTTCAGCCTAGGTTTGAAAGATGCATCATAAAAAACAGGGGCCATCATGGAGGAGTGGCCAAAGGGAGGAAACCACACCAAAAAAAAAATATACATATATATATATATATATATGTACATATGCATATATGTACACACGCCTATACTGACTCAAGTGTATGAAATTTCATTAACTTACATAAAATCGCCAAATGATCTGGTTACATCAATAATATCATTAACTCGACCATTCTCAATCTTCCCACCATGCTTAATTATCCTTTCCTTTTCGGATATCACCCATGGTTTGTGCGTATCCACTAAATCTATAGCTATATATGCCATTTTAAAAAGAAGGGTAATATATATATATATATATGTGAAGCTAAACAGTGTAGATAATTTCTAAATAAAGGATGTTTTTTTCCCTTTTTCAGGGAAAACATAAAATTCTTCATTTTTTCTTGATTAAAGTAACTAATTTTATAGCGTACCTTGATTTGAATTGTTTAAGAATCTGCACAAATAAGCAGACGAATCTCCTATATTTATTATATATGCATAATCATCCTTTATTAAAATAATAACACATGTTGCCCCATCTAAAAAAAAAAAAAAAAAAAAAAAAAAAAGCAAGAAAAAGGCGTATTAAGCTAATTTATTCTTTTAATTATATCACTAAATAAATCCTTAGAATTTTCAATATGACTGCATTTATATTCAAGTTTAACTCTGTCCTCATTGTGTGTTTAGATAAATTTGTATTCCTTATTTTTTTTGAAATTATATATTTTTTTATTCCATATTGGATTTTACCTCTGCACCCAGGAAATTCAATGAACAAATTTTCGTCGATTTTCTTGCAAGCAGTATTTACACCCTAACAGAGTTTCCAAAAAAATAATATCTTGTATATGTGAATGTATATGTTGTGATTTATTCATATACAATCATTCGTACATAGAAATTCCAGAGGGTGTGAATACAGGTTCGCATGAAACAAAAGATGTCTCTTTTAGTTTCCCCTCAATGTGTAATGGTTCCAAATAATTTAAACATAAAAACTGTAAATTTTTAAACTTACAATTTTTATGAAATGATCTGGTATGGGCAGAGTCTCATCGTATGTTTTCTGAATTGTAGTAAAACTATTTGATAACTCTTGTGCCAAATTTCTTTTTAAAAATGTGGCCGTATTTTTTCCGTTATGTCCATCAATGAGGCAAAAGCAACTGAAAAAAAAAAAAAATCGAAAGAATATGGCGAAAAAATATATAAAGAAACCTTACTATGGTGAAATAGTTAAGTGGGAAATGGGGACTGCAAAAAATATCAGACATATATGCTATTGTTTCAATTAGCCCATGTGCAACATAACTATATGCTGTACACAGAGATCTACTTAAGGGGTAGATATGTATTTGTATTACGAAAAATTAAAATTAGGATGCAGGCCCTTATTGAAAGTCTTCAAATTTTCACATATAAAAAATTCATCTTCATAAGTTTTTTTTACTCCCTTTTCACCATACCCATCACATACTATAGTGTAATTCTCTGAAAAAAAAAAAAAAAAAAGGAAACATATAATAAATATACATATGTGAAATGGAGTACGATACGAATGAAGTGTGTAAAATACTATTTCACAATGCACAATTTTGGATAAATACTAAAATTATGAATTTTCATATATATTGCGTATATGTGTAAAATCATAAAGTATTTGCTTCAAATGGCACTTCAGTCCAAAGTGTCTGCAAGGAAGTACATGTGTTTTTATATGCATAAACAAATAGAGCAATGGTTTTACACTATTTGTTGAACTCAACAATAAGCGTTATTTTTTATTACTCATAGATATTACGTATGTTCCTTCGATTACTGGCATTTTTATAAAAAAAAAAAAAAATATAAGTGGAGGATGCGGTGTGCCACGATATGATAAACGATGTGAAATGTGGCATAACACAATTCTTTTCTATATACTAATCACAATTCTTAAAGGAACAAATTTAAAAAAGCAAAAAAAAAAAAAAAAAAAAAAAAAACAGTTATCCTCTTTTCACATGTTTTTAAAAGTTATTGTAAATTTTCTCTATAAAAAAAGAAATTGAATATAAAAGGTTGTCATACCTGTGATAAAAAACGGGGATTCAAATTACCAAAACCGGAAGAGGAATAGCATAGTGCTAATTTATTTGGTTCTATCCCCATTGAACTAAAGAAGCATTTCGCACAGTAAAATACAGTACACGTGCTTATATTATTGCGTGTATTCATTTAAATATACACAATTAATTAATAGGCACATATTAAGTGCATTTTTTTTTTTTATTTCATTTTTTCATCGTAATACCAACAGTATTTCGCAAAAAATGAGAAAAACGGGAGCGAGCAAACTAGTATTATTTTTTGTTATTCATAGAAAAGTAGGAAGTGCAACTTAGTTTTCCGTTTTTTTATATTTTCATTATGGCAGTTAAGGAGATAATTTTTTTTTGGCGCAAAATAAAAATCCTATTGTACCCTACTCTATAAACATAAATTTAATTACACTCTCATAATGTCACCGTTCGGCAGTTGTCGATCAGGGATAATTCATTTTTTTTACAACATAAGGGTCTAATATGTGCCTATACATATAAATGCATAAAATGGTATGCACACACGTACACATACTTCCTTGTGTACCTATAAGAACCCATATAATAAAAAGGGGGTCCTATTCTTTTCCCTTCTATTATTCGACTAACATGTTCAGTATATTTATATATGCCTAATGAGACTTAAAATGGCAAATTCAATACGAATGTGATTTTCAACTCGTTGTAAAAATGATAGACGTGCTCAATTTGAACTAATATTAGATGTACAAGAAAAGAAAAAAAAAATGCATTTTCACAGTGTCATTTGTTTATACACGACTTATAAGGGATAGTGTAATTAGTTAATTTGCGAAAAATGTTTAAAGTGCTTCAAAAAAAGTTGAAACAATAAAATTATGCGATATCCAATTTCTATTACTTAACGACAAGCGTAATATAATGTCGCATAGTTATTATCAGTACCGGGGAATACAACTTTCTGTAGACAGGAAAAAAGAACTGACGAGATCGCGACTTTTTCATATTTAATGATGCTAAAGAGGTGCATTTTTATGATTTGCACTCTTGTAAATTCTTTTTCATTTTTTTCACTTTTTTAAGCTTTCTTTGCCTTGCATTGGTTTAGTTATATATGTGGATAAACAATTAAATGTGATGAATTAATACATTGTCATAAGGAGGTACATATTGGTGCACATAGTGTTCCTGTAATTGTCTCTTATGGCATTTCATGCAGGCTGCAAGGTACAGGATTTATTTTGTCATATAAAGAAATTATACATATTGTCATTAAAGAATTTTATATGCATGGGTTGTTTTGCATTTTTTTTGCCTTATATTTTCACATAGAAAAGTTTCTTGTTCTCTGTCTTATTCCGTACTATGATTTTTTTGTTTCCTCTTTAATATTAAAAGGTGCATGCCCATGGATATAAAACTTAATTTCGACTTTTATAAATGGTATTGATTTTGTAAAAAAATTATACCAAAAAAAAAAAAAAAAAAAAAAAAAACAAACTCCATTGTTTACCCTATTCGCACATATATAGGCGGCGTATAGGACAGGTTTATAATGGCATTACGCTTTTGAATGAATAAAAATAATGTTCCTTTTTTATATGTTCCTATTGGCCTTTCTTTTTTTCTTCCTTTTTCCCGGTTTCCCTTTTTTCCACTTTGTATTTATTTTTTGTAAATTGGAACAAAAAGAAAGGTAATTTTTAATTAAAAAAAAAAAAAAAAAAAAAAAAAAGAAAAAAAAAGTTACTCTTGAGTGATACATATGAATAAAAAATATATACGCATATATACATGTGTACAAATACAAACACAAGTGTGCATTCTCTTCTCAATAGAAAACTTTTGAACTTTATCGCAGCTTGAGTATATACATTTTGCTGCTTCTTAAATATTTGCAAAAGAGTACTTTCTGGTTATTTCTTCATATGTATGAATAAAAAAATATAACTCCAAAAAAAAAAAAAAAAAAAAAAAAACTACTATCACCCCTTAAGGAAGTGTATATTTCGAGTATATATTGAATACACTATACTCATGTAAATTTATTTGGATTGAGTATAATTTGTTACACCATATGTATAATTTAAGGTGATATTTTATATAGATTCAATGAATTGTTATATTTTGACTTAAATAGTTATTTTATCTTCTTTTATTATTTTAAAATTAATAAGCAAATTGGGGTAAAATAAATTCTATATTTATTGAACCACCTGGGTGTACCATTTATATCATATGAATCTTAAGTGTGCGTAGGTATATTTATGCCCATGGATGATCTGCCTTAATATGTTTTTTTTGCGTATTAACATTTTTTTGTTGCATAGCTTAAACACACAACAAAGGCAAAAGTGTGTGCTGTCACTTCCTTTATATATAACCTTATACTGCATAAAGAATTATGCCCTGTTGGGACGTGAAGTAGTTTAGCAATGACGTGATCGAATGTATGTACGTGTAACATGCATTCATATTGAAATATGGAAAACATTTGTGCATGGGTTTAAGCGCATGCATGTAATAATACATTTTGTTTAACAATTTATAGCATGCACAATTATCAACACACTGCAAAAAAGTTTAAATCTCCCATTGTTCATGGTTTAATTTTTTTTTTTTTTTTTTTTTTTTTGCTAATCGCTATGTTTCCATTGTGCACATGTTTTCTACATTTTATAGAACATATTCACATTACTCTTCCATTTGCTCACCAATAGATAGTATAGATATATTTTTTTTTTTATTTCGTAAGCATGAGCAGTAAAAAGTTAACATTTTTGCCAATTCTCAGTAGATACATTTGTATATGCATGATATATATATATATATTACCTGCAACTTCTTAAAAAATTTACACAGGCATAGAATATTTATTTTATTTACGAACTATGTCATATATATATATATATATATATATACATATAATCACAGCATTACTTCATGCAAACATTTATTCAAAAATTGCTTAAACCTTAAACGTATATGCTATTTTCTAACACACAGCATTATTGTTAACAGAAGTTTATCCTAACGAAAAGTATCCAATATATTTTTTCATACATATGGTGTACCACTTTATGTATATGAAAAAAAATTCAAGAGTTGGTTGTAAATTTTTCATCACATTAAATTTTAATGCTTTTTTGCTTGTGTTTTTCGCCCTAGGAATATTTTTTATCACCTTTTCCATCCATTTTTCTTTTTTTTCGGGGGTATAAAATCTTCCCTTTAAAGCAATTTATTATTTTTACATAAAATAAATATGCACAAAATTATTATAGTGTACATATAACCTATATATACACAAGTTCTGCATAACACGTATATATATTAGCCAACTAGGAGGCACGAATTTTACTCATGAATATATAATTCATACATGTGCTTTTTTTATGCATACCTTTTTACATACTCTTATACTATGTACATATGTACGCCCTTTAAGCGCACATATTAAAACTTGTACAATATATATAATATATATATGAATTATCCATTCATATTCTTTTTTTGTGAATACATGTATATGTATAGAGATATGCACAGAACATGATTTACATATATATAAAATGGTATATGTGCTTATTTTCTTGCCACTCCACGAAACATCCAATGAAAGTGTATGAATTATAAATAAATATAGCACCACCTTTACAAGGGTGAAATAAATTTTATTTTAAATTTTTCATTTGAGCACGCCATTCAAAAATATACATACATATGTATATATATATTTTTATATATTATTACACACATTTGTTTGCGTATGCATTTAACTTCTTTTACTTCACTCAATTATTACAATTTGGGGTGTTGGTGTTTATATTTCCGATATATATATTTACATATATGTAAATATATATGTAGCACCACAACATAAGTAGGCATATTTTTTACTATACTCTTTTTTCCCTATTTGCCTTAATAATTATAAGAAACCCATACGGCATTATAAAAGTAGAAGCTGCATAATAATCATTTTTGTTTGTTTTTTTGTTACCATTTAATGTATGTTCATATTCTGCACGTATATAATATAAAGAGTGTGTTCATAATATATGCATATATATGCAAATATATGGAATTAAATCACAATAAAATAAAAAAAAAAAGAAAGAGGGTGCGACCCCACACCTGCATAACACTTTGAAAATTATATATATAATTTCATTGTATAGCACCAAAAAAGGAGCTTACAGCAAAAGGAAATTTTGTAAATAGCAATTAAATAAAAATATAAACAGATTGTAGAAAAGCATTAAAAGATTAAAAATTGCGTACACAAAAAAAAAAAAAAAAAAAAAAAATACCATAAATATTTTCAACAAACAAAAAAATAAAAACCAAAAGAAGCAAAAACAGTGAGAAAAAGTAAAAAGAGAAACAAAATAAAACTATGTACGCTTGCTAGAAACTTGAAACCACATATGCAACAAGAAAATTTAATTGTTATGTTAAAATAAACAATAAAAGAAAATTTCTTTTTCTCATAGCTTCAAAAAAAAAAAAAAAAAAAAAAAAAAAAAAAAAAAAAAAAAAAAAAAAAAAAAAAAAAAAAAAAAAAAAAAAAAAAAAAAAAAAAAAAAAAAAAAAAAAAAAAAAAAAAAAAAAAAAAAAAAAAAAAAAAAAAAAAAAAAAAAAAAAAAAAAAAAAAAAAAAAAAAAAAAAAAAAAAAAAAAAAAAAAAAAAAA